CATAACAATATTAGTTGAACAGAACATTTTATTCTTGAATGTGAACATCTTTATATTACCTGTAACATAGTTACTGTAAATCATCTATTAATAATAATCTCCCTTATTTCAGAGGTGCATTGGGGTACCTAGGGGTAGCAGATAATTAAACATGTATTTCTTTCCAAACAGTAAATGAATTAAGTCAATAAACATGCTTTTCTTTGTTGAAATTGGGGATGCTGGGAGAGGGCACAAATAGGTGATTTACAGTCTGCAACATAGAACAAGCTACCAATTTACTTATTCTTAATTAATAAACACAACACAACATTTTGTTATAGAGCATTAAATATGGTGAACCTATCTCTGCCCAAGTCCATAGTCTTGAAATATGTCTTCCATGATATTTAAGGCAAATGTGTCTGTGTTACATTTTGTGTACCTCTCATTTACCGGTATGCAAATGGTTAAAGCACAGGTATTACCAGTTAGCCTCTTATGTGCATCAGTACACTGGTGATCAAATGCTAGAGAGCCTTTAAAATTAGGGAATCGTGAACTACTCCCAAACTGTAATATATCATTTAGGGAAAGACTTTTAACAACTGGTGAATCATCTACACTTATAGCCTGATCAGGATTATTCCAATCTGGGCAAGCAAGCACCTTAGATTTTAATTTACCACTTTTGGATTTTTTCAAAAACTGTTGCCATTTGTACACAATTTCTGTTTCTTTGCCATGCTCATCTGTCCCAACAGCTGAGAAACAAGGTTTAAAACACGCTTTGACATGATCGGTGTTTATATCTTGGTACACTAACTCTGCCAGTCCAGCTTCATTAAACTTACATAATTCATGCAACACACCAAAGATGCTTAAACCTTTGCGAAAACTAAAAATTTCTTCAGCAACACTGCTTATTACAACATGCTTGGAACAAAATCTAATTAGATCATCCTTGTCATTCAAAGTGAGAACTGGTTTAGTGTACCCCATGTCAAATCGTTCAGGGAAAGAATTGACTATATTTGAAAGCTCAGCCTCATTATTACAACCTTGAATCTGAATCAGTTTTGTTTTAAACTCTGATTCTGCAGGCACATCATCTAGAACAACCTCTAATTGATTGTCAAGAATGAATGATGCAAGTGAATGGCAAAGAAAATGAGGCCCAGGGCATCCATTCAGTAAGGCAATGGCAGTTAATATTCCGAACATCTCAAACTGGCCTTCTTCTAATGCATGCAAGTTATGTCTAAAGGTTAAATTGGGATAGCTACCACGGAATATATTACCATTACTTAATATACTCTGAAAAAAATTAGTAAAAAATTCTCTAGTAACACCCCCAGTGTCCACTGCTTCTTCCCCAATGAACTTAACTATAACTCTACCCTTTATATCATCTTCATCTTTCAGCAGCTCAAATGTTCTTTCCACCAGATGTTTTCTGGTTACTTCAATAACTGTGTAATTGTCATTGGGGATATCATTCATTTTCAATTCAAGTGCCTCATCTAGTGAACTGGGCTCTGCAGACATCTTTTCCTCATTGTTTGCTGTTTCACTAAGAACAGGCATATTTTCATCCTGTTGGCTCCGGTTGATAGCAAGTAAAAGCATTGGGTCGTCATCATCATCCATGACAAAAATAGGCGGGCTATCTTTAGTTGTGTTCACTGTGGCATTTTTCTCATGTTTAGTGTCATTGTTCTCCTCATTGTCATCAGGAGAAGACCAGTCAGAAAACTGGTTGTACTGATACTCATCACGAAGGCAAAGGTAAAATGTAAGTTTCTTGTAGTCTTTGGAGATAGCCTCCTTATATTTCACCAGAGAGAATATTTCTTCAGTTCCTGGAACAAAGTTAACCTCACTAAAGTCTGGATAAAGAAGGACATAGGGACTTACACGATCAAATGACTGATCAAAGTTGCCATGTTTAATGATTGCTTTCTCAATCAATTCCTCCTTCTCGATATCAGTTTTCACTTTCAATATGTGAGTCTTATTTCGTCGTATTTTAAAGACACCATCAATAACATATGCCATACCGACTTTGATTTCAACTTCCTTTGGTTGTTTTGACTTCGCCCCCGAAGCTGATGCCTCATTTCCACGTTTCTTCTTTTTCGTTGGTTTAAAATCCTCTTGTCTACTAGCCTCTCGAATACGATAAAAGTCTCGAAAACTTAACGTTGAAGACTGACCACGAGACTGACAACTCGTCTCGCTATTTGGTGTTGCACTTGTCGTCGATGTTGTCGGCGTACTTTGCGAAGTTTCTGAACTACTGCATTCACCTGTATCTTTATTACTTGGCAGAACTTTTGACAGTTCTTCCCTCACAGTTTGTTGGATTGTGTTTCTAATATCTTCCTTAAATTTCTCAGACATATTCGATCTAGTTTTATGTATATTCAGTGAGGATATGAACATATGAACGTTGTTGGCGCGTTTCGTGTTTCCACAGTGTGATAAAAAATATCTTTCCGTAATGAACTTTTTCAAAGAAAATTTCCATTCTAAAATTCTTGTAAAAGTTGAAATATTACACTCACTCACTCAATAATCTTTCATAATATGAAGGATACATTAATAACGTGAAAATAAATTTTATTTGATAGCTGCATTTTTTTATAAAAAATTCGTATTGAAATGGAAGCAAAATATTCTCCATTCTGGAAAAAAATCTTCTTAAGTGGAAGGTATAGTAATTTTGAAAATTCGCCCCAGTCTCCTCGCGTTAACCTGCGCGCGCAGCGTTTTAAGAAGTTTAGTAAAGACATGCTGCACATTTTTAGTGAGAAAGTGTGTGTTCATTTTTAATAAAATGTAATATTTTTTTATTGAAGTAATGGTCTGCACAAAATTCGAATGAAAGTGGTAGTAGAAAATAATATTAGTATTATTTATCTTTGTTAAAGTGATGTCCCTTCTGGGCCACCGTAGTAACTGGAGAGGTATATTTTTATATTTTAATTTTATTCGGTCATAGACCTTGCGAATAGGCGTATTATGGCCTTTACCACACTTACATACATGGAGCTTTAGTTGGCATACATGAACGAAGATCCATATACAGGCTCTATAAGTCTGCTGCTGAGCACGTGCAATTAAATTTGCACCACGCTTTATGTTCTTTTAAATATGGCACAACAGTTTTTCAAAGGGTTCCGGCCGAGCACGACCACTTTTTGAAACGTTATGGAAATTTCTTCATTCGCAGCGTTATCATTCAATATTATCCATATTATCTTATCCCAGCCTAGACCTAGGCCTTCTATTTTTATTTATATTTTTTTAATATTCAGCGCTTTTTCACATGAAAAGACTGGGACTAGGTAATTTGGGGGCGGGGCGGAGGAAGGACACAAACCTGACGCAAGCGAAAAAATAGAAGGCCTAGTGGATTTCCCAACAACAAGGCCAAAACTGCCCTGAAACTGCCCTGATTGCGAAATGCCCAATTATTGTGTTCTCAAACAGAATTATTTGCAACTTAACAGCGAATTTAAACCGATACAGGTAAAATAAACTCATTTATAGTATAAACTTACTATTTTTATTTGTATATACGTCTAGAAAATCGGGTTTTTTATCATAAAGTTTGAAGCAACACTATTATTATGTTGACAAGGTGAAGCGAAAGCACAAAATAATAATTCTTTTATTCGCAAGACAATCTACTGTTTTGCTTTGAATAACTATATTTGCGAATTGGGAATGAGGATTTTGAAATTATTGTTCAAATATTACGGATATACCGTTTGTAAACAATGTACGTTTTTATATACAGTACTGTACGGGCTAATAATATATGTATCCGGTTTATTTAATAAATTATAATTGTATATGTGTTTGTATATTTTACAAGCACAAGGCTGCTTCTTGCCAAAATTGAGAAAATATATATTAATGTAGTTGTGTATAAGACAAAATTTCATGAAAGATTCTACTTTTGGTATATATTTTGACTCATTTTGTGCTTTCGCTACACCTTGTCAACACATTAAATAATAGTGTTGCTTCAAACTTTATGATTAAAACCCCGATTTTCTAGACGTGCATACAAATAAAAATAGTAAGTTTATAGTATAAATGAGTTTATTTTACCTGTATCGGTTTAAATTCGCCGTTAAGTTGCAAATAATTCTGTTTGAGAACGCAATAATTGGGCATTTCGCAACCAGGGCAGTTTCAGGGCAGTTTTGGCCTTGTTGTTGGGAAATCCACTAGGCCTTCTAGACTTGCTTCCTCCGCCCCGCCCCCAAATCACCTAGTCCCAGTCTTTTCATGTGAAAAAGCGCTGAGTATTAAAAAAGTATAAATAAGACTAGAAGGCCTAGGTCTAGGCTGATCTTATCCATAATTATTATCTTGCAAGGTATAATGAACATAGCCCTGAGCCCTTCCGCGAGCGTTATCCGTTTTGCCTGGTTGATAGGGTAACCTTACACTTGAAGCCCATTTTTCACTAGACGAATTTGTTCGCGCGAAGCAAAAAACAAATCTTGGCAATGTGATTGGTCAGCGAAAAAATTCGCAGCGAAAAAGTTGGATTAGTTCCCACTTTTTTACTGTTCGCGCGAAAAAATTCGCCAAGTGGAAAATGGGCCTAAAGGTCCATGACACACCGGACGCGATTCGACAACGCGACGCGATTCATTTTTTAGTTTTTGAAAGTTAATAAAACAGCCAATGAGAAATGCAAACGACGATAATTACACACGTATATAGCATAAGGGTGTGGCAAACTATTGTTTTATAAAACCAAATAAAAAGACTTTACTCTGTAACAACTGACCTGTGGTATTATTGATAGTTTTTCTCTTAAATCATGTAATCCAATCTCTTTAATAGACACACCATCAATATTTATTTTACCACTTGGTTCAGCAAGACGAAATAAAGCTGATATTAGGGATGATTTACCAGCACCTGTCCGGCCAACTATCTCAATCTATATAATAAAACAAATAAACAATTAAAGTGCGCATATTTTAGATTACAATGGTTATGTAAACAGTGAAGTCCATTGTAATCGCTGACAGGCTATTTAACACAACTAAAAGAAAATGCTAAACTCAAACCCAAGACTGATGTGTTTAAATAAGCTCTACAAACATGAAGTGCTAGCCCTCGTAGGCGAGATCATGCATGTGCTGTTTGAAAGACGTATTAAAATTGCCTCTCCGAGACCTCGTCTAGTAAGGCTGCAGCAAATTCAGCTATAGAACTATACTCACTAAGTTGTTTGTTGGTTATTATTCTAACCTTTAAATGGTGAAAATTTGATTTCAGAATTACATAGAAAAATAGTGAAAATCTAAATTCGTCAAACAACTATACAATGATGCTTGCAGAAGCATGCGATCCCTACGCTGATTTCAAACACGAGGAGAATCATATTGGTAGAGCTATATGATTCTAAATACATATATATATATATATATATATATATATATATATATATATATATATATATATATATATATATATATATATATATATATATATATATATATATATATATATATATATATATATATATATTTGTCAGGGAAAACAGTATGCAAACTGTTTACGACCTTAGCATTGCGTAAGCATTGGACGTCAATTTTCGCCATCTTGGCTTCACTTTTCTCATAGGCCGATTGACTGAAAATCTTGCTCGTAATACATAATATAGAGCTTAGATATTCCACTAATCCAAGTAGACTTCACGTAAACACCCGCCAAATTAGTGTAAATGTAATACCTTTTCTTTGGGTTTAATACGAAACTTGATGCCTTTCAGGACTGGTGGAAGAGAGGAATGGTAACGGAATACAACAGTCTCACCAATAATTTCACCATGCTGTGGCCAGGCATCTGCTGGTTTACCAGTTAATTCCTCTAGCTCTGCTTCAGATTCGATTTGGGTGTATTGCTGCACTCGTTCTACCGACACCATCTGAATACGAGATAAATACACTCTTAAACCAATATAGCATTAAATAAGGCCAAGTTACACGAAGCATGCAATACAATTTGGAACTTGTAATACAATTTCGGTTATAGACCTGTGTTGTCTAAAAAGTAGCCACAGAGTATCTTCCTCCGCAGGCAATTTGGTTGCAAACAAGCGCAAATATCCCCTGTTATCAGTTTCTTTATAAGTTAAAGGTGCATTGTGAGAACATGTTTACTTCGCTTTCATCGAACTGTGGTACACATCAAAATATTTGCTTACATAATGTAAATGTATACGACTCCGCCCCCATAATGTTTTGTAAAAAGAACTGGTCACATCGTTTGGATATAGTTGCACATGCATGCATGAAACTTTATATAAATGTCCAGTGTAACGTGTATGGATAAATATCAGGATTTTTGGATATCTCACTTGATAGAACTAATTGTAGAAGAGTTTTTGTACCTGGAAATTTCGAGTGTAAATACTTTAATACATTTCTAGACCTTTGCACTGCCACATTATAGAACGATAGTCATGTCATTACCTGATTTTCAACTTCAGCAGTTTGTCTGACACAAAATTGGAACATATCAGTAAGACGTTTTGTATAGAGTAACGATAAACCAACGAGAACAGGATTCACGCCTAACACACAACTTGAAATTAGTGATGTAGTCCTGGAATTCTAACATGGGGCACAAGCGGGCCTGGGTAGCGGTGGTGAAGTTAGCAGTGGGGGGGGGGTGAAAAAGGGGAGTATCTCTTTTACAGATGTGTTTATATCACAAATAATTATAAGCTGGTGGCACCGGTACCTGCCCGCACCCACAGTGCCATCTTTCTCTGGTTTGAATACAGGGAGCCCAAGCGGTGATCTGTGTTTTAATTGAATTATTTCACTACATTACACTAATATGTCATATAATATTAATAATACTCCTATAGTCGAACATATTATAGCAACATATAAGTTGATTTTTCAGTTTATTTAAGATCTATTATTAGCTTATATATTAGCGTGTATCCTGCGAACGGGCTGTCAGGTTCGAAAGGCGGTGCTTTTATATAAGCTAATAATAGATCTTAAATAAATAAAAAACATACAAATCAACTTATATGTTGTTATTATATGTTCGACTATAGGAGTATTATTATTATTATATGACATATTAGTGTAATGTAGTGAAATAATTAAATTAAAACACAGATCAACGCTTGGGCTCCCTATGGTGCCCTTTTCCAGCGGCTGGTTGTTCAAAGCACGGTTAGCACTAACGCAGGGTTAAAATTTGACCCATTGTTTTGGTTTACAGTATATGTATTTCTGCTCGTCTGTTTATTTCAGAACTTTACAGAAAACTAAACTTCGGATGATCTAGACAAGATCTCTAAAAAATGTTTCCAACAAATTGTTGGACGTTTTCTTCGAATTTTACGTTAACTCAGGATTAAGCTAATCCGCATTTGAACAACCAGGCTGAGGAAACGGTGTTGCAGAGACTTTAAGACCCTTCTATACACGATACCACTGGTCGTTACGATTCTTATCCTGGAGTATATGCTCGAATAAATGCGTGTAAAGATGTCACATTTAATATATCGCCATAAACTGATGAACAGGAAATAGTGGCGTCAGCAGTCGTTTTATACGCCAGAATGACAATCGCATACGACTAGTCGCATTACTATTACAACTTTATTTCAATACGGAGCTATTTCACAATATTAAACTAACTAAATATATACAGAGAGAAAACAAAATGAGTGATCTTCCAATAGGCCGTATATATAAAAATTATTATTACTTTCGTTGCAATTAAAGCTTATTTTTGAAACATTGGATGGTTTGAGATCTTTTAAGATCACAAGGTAAACTATTCCAAGCCACCGCACCCCTGTAACTAAATTATTTTTTCTTGAAATTAGTGCTTGGTTTAGGTGGAAAATAATTTTGCACCTGTCTCGTTTCGTAATTGTGTACGTCATCGGTTCTTTGAAATAAATTTGATATGGAGCGAGGAACCATTGAATTTCTAACTTTGAACATTAGTGTAGCAACTTGTTGGTTCCTACGAGTCTCCAGATTGTCAAGGTTTAGGTGTTGTAGAAGAACACAGGAGCGGACATCATATCCACACTTAGTGATAATGCATGCGTGCAGCTCTGTTTTGTAAACGCTGCAGTTTATCAGAAAGTGTGGAGCCGAGGCCGCCCCATACCTGTGAACAATAATCAAAGTAAGGTTGCACTAATGTTTTATAAGCAATTAGTAAAGTTTCAAGGTCTAAGAATTCTCTTAATCCTTTTAGTACATTCAAACCTCTATTTACCTTAGTTGTTATTGCGTTAACCTGCTCATTCCAACTTAGCGTCTCATCTAACATTAGACCCAATGACTTAATCTTTTTAACTCGTTTGATTTTTTCTGTGCCGAGATAGATTGGAGGATCTGTTTCTATTAAATTTAGCCTTTGATAAGATCCTATAATCATATATTCAGTTTTCTTAGTATTTAAACTGAGTTTGTTTACGGTCAGCCAGTCAGATACATTTTTTAGGTCATTATTTAGTGCGTTTGTAACAGTATTTATGTCATTGCCAGATGTATCAATTTCGGTATCATAAGCAAACATGTTACACTTAACACTATTTAAGCAATTAGGGAGGTCATTTATATACAGTAGGAATAACAGGGGACCAAGAATTGATCCCTGTGGTATTCCACTAATCATGCTTGACTCTTTAGAAATATTTCCATTTACCTGGCAATGCTATGAGCGATTGGATAAGTATGATGCAAACCATTTGTGGGCAGTTCCGGTTATACCGTAACAGTTAAGTTTATTTTATTAATAGTATTTGGTGATTAACTGTGTCAAACGCCTTCTTGAGATCAAGAAAGACGACTCCATTCCGCACACCAATATCAATATTATGATATAGCCTGTCAGTGATTTCTAGTAAAGCAGTTACAGTGGAATGACCAGGTCTGAAACCATGTTGAGAGGTAGATAATAGGTTCTCATCTTGTAAATATAAATAGAGTTGGTTATGAGCAACCTTTTCCATGAACTTTAGCAATAGTTGAGATCACTGATATTGGTCTATAATTATTCATGTCATGTTTGGGTCCATTTTTGTAAATTGGCGTGACTTTGGAGATTTTCCAGTCGTGTGGAAATGTACCCTCTGATAACGATTTGTTAAATATGATAGTTAAATGGTTTGCTATAATTGGTGCTGCTACTTTTACAAGTTTAGCAGATATTTTATCTGGACCTGTTGCCCTATTTGTGGCAATATTCGATAAAAGATTGAGTATTTCTTGTTGGGATACCTCTTGGAAATGGAAACGAGCATTTGAAACGTTAATGTAGGCCTCAGGTTGTTTGTCGGTTATAGGAATATTCCGAGACAGTCGCTGGCCAACTTCTATGAAATGTTTGTTATAAAGGCATTTGGGATATCCTTGTCCTGTACTTCTTCATTATTTTCATTTTTAAAGTGACCTACATGGGAAGTTTTCGATTGTTTGTTTATCAGTTTATTTATGCTTTTCCACGTGTTTTTTTATATTGCCTTTGTTATTACTAATTTCGTCTGTGTAGTAAGTCTTGATTGTATTTTTATCAGTCGATTATACTGATTTTTTTCAATTCTATAAGACTCCCAGTCATTTGGATTGTTTGTTTTACAAGCTTTCCTCTTTAAGTTGTTCTTTCGCCATTTATTGGTCAAGAGATTTTAATTTATCCATGGCGCTCTTGTTTTGCCTAGTCTGCGTTTTTTTAATGGTACATGTTTGTCAATGATTTTCGTGAAATTACTTTTCCAATTAAGGTGGCTCGCTACAGTTTATAGAAATGTTGAAAATGCGTTAACTAGATCACCTTTTTGAAGAGATGATGCTCTTTACAAATCGAAATTTTTGCTGCCGCAGGCAGCTTCCTATTCTTGTGATTTGTTCCCAGACCTCTTTACCGAGCTATATGAATGCGACAATGAATTGGATTTAAGGAGGCTCCCTACAGTTCCGTGCGGGATGTTCGCGGGACAAGTACGTGAACTATCCCACGCAACTGCATGATCAAAATAAAACAAAAATTGACCATGCATTTTTTAAAAATAAAGTTATTTCTGAAAGGTTTCTAATGGAAAAAAGCGTTGAATAATACTTCGTTTTGAGTGCCAAATCACTTGCGAGTCTACACAGCAATTCTACATATGATACGAATATCACTAGACCAGAAAATAGCTACGAAACAATATTTAGTTTTAATTTTTTTATACATTGTCAATTGACTCAACTGTAAAACATTTGCAAAATTGTATACAAACGTTTAAAAAGTTGTTTACTTCTCAAGAAAACGTTCACGTTTTTAGTCATGTTTCTACAAGATTAAAGTGATTATATGTAAACAGAAAAATATTTCAGTTTCATAGCCTAATTGTTCATTTTTAGCAAAAAGTACAAAACCAAATATGAAACAAAAAAACACGTCCACCTGTTAATAGGCTGTTACAGCTCATAGATTGAGTAAACGGCAGGATTCAATTAGCTTCAACCTTGTTTTCATCGATTTAATCCTTCACAATAATCCTTGGCTGTCCATAGCACTCAAATAAATCGAAAAGTTGACAAAAACAAAACAGTAAAACCAACATTGCGGCTCGATTTTGCTGAATGAAAACTCGTTCTGCGCCCGCGTACAATCTTTTACTAGTCAGCGACGCTTTTCAATAGGGGAATTTCTCGAGTTACACGAGGCTATTTTCTAACTTTATTTGCATTTTACTCATTAGTTTCATCGGTGACCTATCTTCAAATTTTGACCACGAATTTATTTTGCGGTAAATTTTATAAATTTCAAATTTTAAAAAAATCTGTAGTGTGGAAATTTCGCAATAAATTTTTCGCTTTTAAAAAAATCACACACTACAGAATTTTTTAAACTTTCACCACAGTTGCAGAGCATCATTCCTTATTGATATATGAAATAAAAAAGATAGGTCACCGACATCGTTTTTGAGATAGCGGCACATTTATGAGTTAAATTGGAAGGCTTTATGCTGTCGTCATGTTGCCATGGAAACATTGACATCGTCGAAATCTAGTTCGAAATATTCCTTAGGTGACCAATAACGCCACCAAGTCGAAAAGAATTCGCGTTCTGCACGAATAAGCCTGTTTTACGGAATTATTGCTTAAACAAGAATAACTGTAGGGAGCCACCTTAAATAGTATACAACCTTGTGACTTATGACATTCGGAGGATATTTATCTAAATGAAATGCCAGTGATCTAGCATCAACAATATAATTTATATTTGTTTATGCAGGAAATTAGGTGGGAATTTCCGGTTTCGATTGTTTCTGGTTTGGGTTAATTTCGTTCCTTACAGAGACCCTTCAATGTTTACAAAATAGTGAGTTTTGAAGCAAAAATTAATTTTGAAAGTTGTCCCGAGAAAGCCAATTGAGTGCATTGTAAACAATTTCTAGCCCAGCAAGCAGGATAAAATTTCCTTATATATTAAACGCAAGCAAAATTCATCCTGCGAAGAGGGCCAACCCTGCTTTTCCATATAAAACAGCCCTGTAGAAATGTTTCTTACAATATTTTTAAATTCCCCCCCCCCCCTTAACCTTTTTAATTCTCAAATAGTTCATTACACATTTATTGGTTAGTGTTAGAAAAGGGGTTGGGGTCTGTTTATCCATACCTTATCTTAAATATTCCGACTACAGTACAAATAGCAAATCAAACTCGGCATCAAACTACGTACTGTTCCAGTACTTCGTATTAATATACAACTAAATGAACTAATTATTAAAAATTAAACTGACCTTTAAACGGAAGAAATTGATTGGCTTGTATATATTGGTTTCTTTGTCATATAGTTCAATTGCTGTTGCTTGTAAATGTTTTATAAACCAGTACTGCCATGTAGCGAAATTTCGGGCCGTCTTTCACAACAAATAACATCACAATAACTGCACATCTTTTTCTCTTTAATACAGAATCGTTTTCCCCGTCCATTGAGTTATAATTTCCAAAACTAACCAGTCGCTATAACGTAAAATAAGCGGGTATTTGTGAACAAAAATGCCCTTTGGTATGACACGAGGTAACCGGCGCCATCTTGTCTTCTCCAAACATAACAGATTTTCCCGCCAAAACCCGCCCCCGAAGTCCCGTATGTAAATGACGTCACAAGTGTTGTGAACGGGGGGGGGGGATACCATATTTGGTGGTAATTTTTTTTCAAATATACGCACTAAATCCAATTTTAATCTCTTTAGCTTCGCTACTTTTGCTTTCCACATATTGTTTGACCCAACCACGATTGTAACATAACAATGTTTGCTCGCTAAACATTTTAAAATCAACAAAAATACAGCAGTGGCGTAACGGTATATCAAGGGACCCCCGGTTCAAAATTTTTGAAGGCCCCCCTAGTAAAAGTGCCAATGGCACGAGTCGAGTGCCGTATATGCACAAGTTTTCTAGGGGGTCCAGGGCATGGTCATCCGGAAAACTTTTGAATCTAGACTCTCTGAAATGCCATTTCCTGGACTTTGGGGAGAGATTTTACAGAATTCTGATGGTCATAAAACGACATTGTAACATATATCAGAGGCCCTAGCCAATGTTTTTGCCCTATCGCCTAAGCCTGGGGGCCCCCATTTGGGTTGGGGGCCCGCGGGTTCACCCGGTCTGAGCCCATAGTAGTTACGCCACTGAAATACAGTATTATTAAATCAACCTCATTAATTTATTTCATAATTTATGCTTATGCATGCTCTTCGGCAAGTTCGTTCCCAGGTCTTCGGGCGATAATCTGAAGTTGTCTGAGCCACTGAACTGTATACAGAACTGAATAGAAAGTCATTTTTTACGTTCAAACCTTACTTCGTCAGGGGTTTTTTTCAGGGATTTTTTTAACTCAATCTTGAATTGAGTTTTGAAACTGAATCTTCTCACCAAAGTTTCAGTGCAGTAAAAATGAAGTTGTTCCAGTTATGGCCGCTGAAATTTTCAAAAAAAGCATGCCAACAAAACTAGCTTCATAGCATGTACATAGCATACACTTTATAAAATGCTTAAAAAAATGGAGCTAAAACCACCTGCATTGCATCGAGGGAATTACATTCTCCAAGGGGTGTTTCAAAATTGGGAAATTTGGTATCGGAAGCGGAAAAAGTTGTTGGTATATCAAACTAGTCTGGTTCAATGCCTTTTAATTAAGGCCCATCTACACAATGCGATTTTTGCTTACAATTGTTGTATGCAACTTGCTGACACCATCCCTGCGATGCAAATCGTGCCCTGTAGATAGCCGTACAATTTAAGATCGTGCAACTTTCATACATTTTTTTATGAAAAAAATAGTTCAAAATGGCGGACATCAACGAGAGAAAGCGAAATTGGTACGCTTCCTGTTCAAAATGTGAACAAGGCAAAGTAAAAAAAAGTAGAAAGAGGGTCTAATATATCTCTCGGTTGGAAATGACACATACAATAATCGTACTGTATAGAAAGACGACACAAAGTCGCAGGGATGGGGTCAGCAAGTTGCATACAACAATCATAAGCAAACATCGCATTGTGTAGACATCTTCGACATCTGTTGTTAAAGATGGCTAGGAGGTTGCTGTATGACAGGGGCAGAGAGTTTTGAGGCAGTGGGGTTGATTGTTTTGTTAATGTTGCAATGTGGCAAGGGGGTTAATGACTGAGGGTGCCCCCCTTGGACAACAGCCTGTGAGCAGTATTTAGCAAAAACAACGCAAGCTAGCCGAAGTTGCTGAAATGATTAATAAAGGTATTCTAGAATGATATAGGGTGCTGAAATGAAATTCCATGGTGGGGGGTGGAACTTTGCCTGACTGGAAAGTTTGGAAAATTCAATAGTATATCTAGAAAGCGTATAGAAATATCCGCTGATCTTCGTGATCAATCGTAAAAAATTCCAAATGTGAAAATATAAATGATTTTTCGATTGAACTAATAATCGTGGTCATACTAACAACTACCATCAACAACCGACAACAAGCAGCAAATTACTGACAACAAGCACACAATTACTGCTACAACAAGCTCACAATTTGAATTACCGACAACAAGCTGAAAAATACCGACAACAAGCAAATACATACTTTCATTGTATTCTTATAGTTATTTGTATGAATGCATGGCTGTATGAATTGATGTAAATAATTTATAGCTTGTCTCTGTTTGTTACTTATTAAACATTTTAGACACATTATACGCATACACACATTATAGAAGTTGGTAGTTCAATCAATCAATCAATCAATCAATCAATCAATAATTTATTCAAAGTACCTACAATAGTTATATTATTATAGATAATAGGTTAGTTAATACTGATTTTCTACTTGAAATTTCGTTTCCTATCTATACTTTTATATGGTGTCTGCCTACGTGAATCCATCATCTTTAATAGCGGAATGTTTTAACTCAACAATGTTTGACAAAATCTGTATATATTTTGGGTTTCCTCAAAAACAACCAAATAACTATAAGAATACAATGAAAGTATGTATTTGCTTGTTGTCCGTATTTTTCAGCTTGTTGTCGGTAATTGTGTGCTTGTTGTCGGTAATTGTGTGCTTGTTGTTAGGGGTGCACCGGATTTCAAATCCGGCCGAAATTCCGGCCGGATTTAAGAATGGGGTAAGCCATCAATTTGGCAGCTTTAAAGTTTAAAAAACACTTATATTATAATAAAATATTAAGTTATTAACAAAAATATATTTAAAAAAGGTTTAAACACAATCAAAAATCTAAACTGACACTAACTAAAAATAGTAAAAAACATGAACCGCCATTTCAATACTGAATTATCACAATTTATACCCAATTGGGACCATTACCGGTTTATCTCAAATCCGGCCGGAATTTTTGCCCAAATCTGGTTCCAGCCGGATTTGAAAATTCCAAATCAGGTGCACCCCTACTTGTTGTCGGTAATTGCGTGCTTGTTATCAGTAATTGTCGGTAATTAGTATGACCCAATAATCGTACTGAAGTATGGCACCCGATTCTTAGCCTGCTCACAGACGTTGTTATTCTTATGCCAAACGACGAATTACTACCGTCTGCTTACCCGAGCTGCATATTCAATTCCCTTTGTTTTAGGAGCCAATCATCTGGCAGTGTTCAAAAGAGTTAGAGCCAATTGGAAGCCGCCTTATTGAGAGATTAGCTACTGGGGAAAGCCCTTGCATTTTTTGCAAGACTCAATTTGCATATGCTCTGTGGCTTGCTAAAACACTAGGTTACAGCGAAGAAAATTTTCTTGTTGGAAAATGTAAAGAAGGTAGCTGCGAAAGTAGTCGCACGACACAAAAGCCCTCAGGATTTTCAGCGGCAAAACTGAAACCTCGACAATCAGATCGGCAAACAACTCTGGTAACGACGATAACGTTACCTGTTCACCTTTATATATAGGGACTGCTAACATCTTAACTAAGCGTTTAAAACATGACAAAGCAATAAAAGTTGTCTCAAGACAAATTTCTTATAACTTTTTTTCACTGTTAGTGCACAAGTATGTATTAGTGACCGGTCGAAAACAGATTTTGACCGAGCTAAAATCAAGTTGACCGGTCATTTTGACCGGAGACCTATCGGCTGTTATATTGAGCCCTGCAAATATAAAAAATACACATACAAAATACACATATAAAGCCGAATAAAATACTACCATTGAATGCAATAATACTTGTACTACTTGTGATTGAAAGAACAAAGTTCTGAATATTTGAACCATTAAAATGCAGTCAGATAAATTGGGATTTGGAAACATATAAATGAGCATGTATTTTTTTTTTTAAATCACGAAGCATGCCATTTTAGTGGAAGCCATATCGGATGTCAAATGAGAAAGTGAATGCAATATCGTTTTATTCAAACAAAACCAGCATTGTTCAGGAAGATGCAATAAGATTATTGAATAATTTACAAAATTGTTAGCAGTTAAATAGTATACAACCTTGTGACTTATGACATTCGGAGGATATTTATCTAAATGAAATGCCAGTGATCTAGCATCAACAATATAATTTATATTTGTTTATGCAGGAAATTAGGTGGGAATTTCCGGTTTCGATTGTTTCCGGTTTGGGTTAATTTCGTTCCTTACAGAGACCCTTCAATGTTTACAAAATAGTGAGTTTTGAAGCAAAAATTAATTTTGAAAGTTGTCCCGGGAAAGCCAATTGAGTGCATTGTAAACAATTTCTAGCCCAGCAAGCAGGATAAAATTTCCTTATATATTAAACGCAAGCAAAATTCATCCTGCGAAGAGGGCCAACCCTGCTTTTCCATATAAAACAGCCCTGTAGAAATGTTTCTTACAATATTTTTAAATTCCCCCCCCCCCCTAACCTTTTTAATTCTCAAATAGTTCATTACACATTTATTGGTTAGTGTTAGAAAAGGGGTTGGGGTCTGTTTATCCATACCTTATCTTAAATATTCCGACTACAGTACAAATAGCAAATCAAACTCGGCATCAAACTACGTACTGTCCCAGTACTTCGTATTAATATACAACTAAATGAACTAATTATTAAAAATTAAACTGACCTTTAAACAGAAGAAATTGATTGGCTTGTATATATTGGTTTCTTTGTCATATAGTTCAATTGCTGTTGCTTGTAAATGTTTTATAAACCAGTACTGCGATGTAGCGAAATTTCGGGCCGTCTTTCACAACAAATAACATCACAATAACTGCACATCTTTTTCTCTTTAATACAGAATCGTTTTCCCCGTCCATTGAGTTATAATTTCCAAAACTAACCAGTCGCTATAACGTAAAATAAGCGGGTATTTGTGAACAAAAATGCCCTTTGATATGACACGAGGTAACCGGCGCCATCTTGTCTTCTCCAAACATTACAGATTTTCCCGCCAAAACCCGCCCCCGAAGTCCCGTATGTAAATGACGTCACAAGTGTTGTGAACGGGGGGGGGATACCATATTTGGTGGTAATTTTTTTCAAATATACGCACTAAATCCAATTTTAATCTCTTTAGCTTCGCTACTTTTGCTTTCCACATATTGTTTGACCCAACCACGATTGTAACATAACAATGTTTGCTCGCTAAACATTTTAAAATCAACAAAAATACAGTATTATTAAATCAACCTCATTAATTTATTTCATAATTTATGCTTTATATGCATGCTCTTCGGCAAGTTCGTTCCCAGGTCTTCGGGCGATAATCTGAAGTTGTCTGAGCCACTGAACTGTATACAGAACTGAATAGAAAGTCATTTTTTACGTTCAAACCTTACTTCATCAGGGTTTTTTTCAGGGATTTTTTTAACTCAATCTTGAATTGAGTTTTGAAACTCAATCTTCTCACCAAAGTTTCAGTGCAGTAAAAATGAAGTTGTTTGAGTTATAAAATTTGTGACGTGTCGGAATTAGTTTTCAGTTGGAAGCCTGACAAGCCATCTTTAACCAGTTTATAGTGTCCTTGCTTTAACACATTCAGTCTCAATTACATTTATTGAGTACAGGTGTCAGGCCCCGGTGAGTACAGGTGTCAGGCCAGGTGTCAATCTTCTCTGCAAAAACGGACCCAAGAGAAAATCCTGGAAAAAACCTTGTTCATATAACCATGGATAATAAAATAAATGTTATTTTACAATCCATGATGGGTTTAACCTAGCTTGTTTTGGCTTGAACAACATGGCCGCTGAAATTTTCAAAAAAAGCATGCCAACAAAACTAGCTTCATAGCATGTACATAGCATACACTTTATAAAATGCTTAAAAAAATGGAGCTAAAACCACCTGCATTGCATCGAGGGAATTACATTCTCCAAGGGGTGTTTCAAAATTGGGAAATTTGGCATCGGAAGCAGAAAAAGTTGTTGGTATATCAAACTAGTCTGGTTCAATGCCTTAATTAAGGCCCATCTACACAATGCGATTTTTGCTTACAATTGTTGTATGCAACTTGCTGACACCATCCCTGCGACGCAAATCGTGCCCTGTAGATAGCCGTACAATTTAACATCGTGCAACTTTCATACATTTTTTATGAAAAAATAGTTCAAAATGGCGGACATCAACGAGAGAAAGCGAAATTGGTACGCTTCCTGTTCAAAATGTGAACAAGGCAAAGTAAAAAAAAGTAGAAAGAGGGTCTAATATCTCTCGGTTGGAAATGACACATACAATAATCGTACTGTATAGAAAGACGACACAAAGTCGCAGGGATGGGGTCAGCAAGTTGCATACAACAATCATAAGCAAACATCGCATCGTGTAGACATCTTCGACATCTGTTGTTAAAGAGGGCTACGAGGTTGCTTTATGACAGGGGCGGAGAGTTTTGAGGCAGTGGGGCTGATTGTTTTGTTAATGTTGCAATGTGGCGAGGGGGTTAATGACTGAGGGTGCCCCCCCTTGGACAACAGCCTGTGAGCAGTATTTAGCAAAAACAACGCAAGCTAGCCGAAGTTGCTGAAATGATTAATAAAGGTATTCTAGAATGATATAGGGTGCTGAAATGAAATTCCATGGTGTGGGTTGGAACTTTGCCTGGCTGGAAAGTTTGGAAAATTCAATAGTATATCTAGAAAGCGTATAGAAATATCCGCTGATTTGGCAGCTTTAAAGTTTAAAAAACACTTATATTATTATAAAATATTAAGTTATTAACAAAAATATATTTAAAAAAGGTTTAAACACAATCAAAAATCTAAACTGACACTAACTAAAACTAGTAAAAAACATAAACCGCCATTTAAATACTGAATTATCACAATTTATACCCAATTGGGACCATTTGTCACCATTACCAGTTTATCTCAAATCCGGCCGGAATTTTTGCCCAAATCCGGTTCCAGCCGGATTTGAAAATTCCAAATCAGGTGCACCCCTACTTGTTGTCGGTAATTGCGTGCTTGTTATAAGTAATTGTCGGTAATTAGTATGACCCAATAATCGTACTGAAGTATGGCACCCGATTCTTAGCCTGCTCACAGACGTTGTTATTCTTATGCCAAGCGACGAATTACTACCGTCTGCTTACCCGAGCTGCATATTCAATTCCCTTTGTTTTAGGAGCCAATCATCTGGCAGTGTTCAAAAGAGTTAGAGCCAATTGGAAGCGGCCTTATTGAGAGATTAGCTACTGGGGAAAGCCCTTGCATTGGAATATATTGTTTGCATTGAAACTTGAAATTTGTTACTTGTGTGTGGATATATTTTGGAAACTATAGCGTTGAACTTTACGATGTTTACGTAGAATAATATTGTGATCATCTTCTCGCATGTTGAGCAAACAATTGGTGTATATAAAGTGCTAGAGCAATGCAGTAGGCGAAATTTAAATTTTTGTTAACAATGTCAATGACAAACAATCAATCGGGAAACTCGAGTATATCAGGATATGTCCAAATGTTGCTCTTGATACTTCCTATATGCCATGACTTTGACGAAAACTTCTAAAAGATTAAGCTCTCATTGTCATGTAGAAAAGTATAGCCAAGTTAGAGTATAAACATTTCAAAGTTTGGGCAAATTGGAAAATTCATCACGGCACAATTAGTTTACTTTGAAGCTAATATTTTGCCACAGTATTATATCAAATTTTCTGTCTTCCGAGTTCTGTTGTCTTATAAAGATAAACATCCGTCAAAAGTTCAAATTTCAGCGAAATATATTTGGCTTTTGATGCTGTCTCGCCTGTTTGGCTTCATGCATTATATTAAATATGGCAATCTTGTCCACGTTTTAAATATAACCGAACATCTCCAAATATGATCATTAATGGTGCATTTTATTACCTGGACAAGTATCTTTAAATTCAATTTATGTGCAATTTTGAGCAAAATTCAACCTATACATTTATATTTATTCCACTCCTAAATCAACTGAAGTCACTTTCCAGAATTTGGAAGGTAAATTCTGATTGGTCGACGTAGCGGAATTCAGTTTGGCGCTTGGGTAAGCAGACGGTAGTAATTCGTCACTTGGCGTAAGAATAACAATGTCTGTGAGCAGGCTACCCGATTCTTACATTTTCTAAAGTAGTAATATAAGGCCACATAAAAAAAATGGTTGGTTAGCGTCCTCGCCCGCCCACAAAAATGGCCCCGCTCAGGATTTTTTTATTTTAAAAAAACCCAACTTTTATTGATCAACAGGCTCTAATATATGTAGTATTTCTGTCAACTGTAAGTGGCGAAATTGTGTGCGAAAATGACGGTATGAATCATATTTTGAAATATATAAATAATATCTGTACTGCACATGAAAATCCAGTTTCGGACCCAACACCAAGGCGTTGAAAACAAAAAAGAACGTCCGCCCGCCCACTTTTTGGCAAAAGCTAAGGACGCTAACCAACTATTTTTTTTATGTGCCCTAAAATAGTTTTTTGCAATAGCTTTCAGCAATTCAGGCTGGTAGTGGATATTTCAGCAAAGGCGTTGCGTGCGTGCGAAGTGAAACGAGGTCGGGTCCGGGTTTAGTTTTAGCCGTCGGTTGTCTGTTTGGCTTAGAAATTTTTCTTAAAATATTTTAGAATTTTTTTTCTCGAAATAAAAACTTTCAAATAGTTTATTAGGGCTTTATTGGTTAGGGTTAGAGAAGGGTTTATCTTAAATATTACGATTGCAGTACGAATAGCAAATCACACTCGGCGTACTGTTCCAGTACGATTAGCCACTTCGTTGAAACAACAGCGAACAAGGAGCTAAAAGTTCATGTTTATAGCATATAGCTTCAATATAATTCGATATTTTACTTACCCATACTTTGGCAAGGAATAATATTTAAACCATCAACGAATTTTAAGGTTTTTTCCAACAATTTTTAGATTAAAACCTGTGCAGATTTTGCAGATGAACGCACAAAGTGGAATTTTAAATCTCCCCCTAAACGCCCGCTAACAGGTGGGCTCGAAGGGCGCGGGCAACTAGAGTCTGGGAGCCTGGGTCTCTGTGCACAGAACAGGTCCCTGATTGGGTAGAATCAAATGGTAGAATCTAAAACGGCTTTCAATTCGTTATGTGTAGGCCAATCAGTGCTTTGCAATTGCAATGAGGCCAATCCAAGCCAGTCCCTCGTCTGGGACCCCTGCTATTGTGATAACTTGATGTTATTTTCCCAGTCCCCCCCCCCCAAAAAAAAACAACCTGGAATTGCGGAACGGGTTTAATATTTAGAAATACTGTGAAAAATTGATGTAAAAAAATTCTGAAAAACATAATTAATTAAACCCCTTTTATCCAAAAACAATTTGAAGAATTTTTTCTAAACGAAAGGGACCCAAACTTTCACCCCTCCTCCCCCCACTAAGATATATCGGTCGGCACGTCCCTGAGCAAGAGAAAATTTAGTGATAGGCGCGGCCAATATGTGCTATAGGATTTGGTTGGCCTACCACTATGTTAAAATACACCTCACTGGTAGGAATTGTGCGCAGTATAAATTAACCTGGTGCGTGCAAGCATTTGTACTTTAATTACTTGAGATCGTTTGATGACGTCACATGTTCTATAATTCCAAAGGCCTGATGTTTTTTGTGGCGAGGGTGCTTATTGCAAGCATCCTTGTTTCATGGCTTGGCCATGTTACGTGCGGCAAGAAAATTCTTCATTCCATCAAGGATTGTAACCAACAGACAGTGGGTGTGGTCGATTGCAGATACCAAGGATGGCAGACCATTCCTTATGACGTGTTTGACTTTCCCGTAGGGAAAAGTTCCATGTAAGTATTGAAATCTGCCGTGGAGGCATTTGAAGTACGTGAAAAAATTCAAATTATCACATGTAAAAACGCACAAGTTGTAAAAACCTAATGCAGACGTATAGCAATGCTGTATTGCTGTTCCAACAACTTCTCAACTGGATGTGTTCGCACTGATTGTTCCCATCTTGGTCATAATTAGTTGTCAACGGCATGTTGATAACGTGCTACAAGGTTGTTGAGCTCAACAGACTTGTTGCAAGTATACGCCACTACTCAACTCCAACAGAAAATTATTGCTGTATGTTCTTATTTCATTGTTTCAGAATGCTCGGAGGTAACCCGTACGCATGCGACTGCAGTTTGGCGTGGTTCTACAGAGAACGTCCTTTTAAAACTTGGGACAAGAAGATCATCAAAGATCTTTTCCAGTACAGCATAAAATGTGCTTCTCCTCCGGAACACAAGGGAAGATTACTCACGGACTTACTGGAACATCACATTTGTCCAACCTTAAGACGTAAGCCGTAAGGAGCTTGTCACACCACCATGCGTTTGCTACCCATTGAGCGCCACTGCTCTTCCCGTTGATGAGCGAAATCGTGTGGCGTTAGACAAAGTAAAATAACAAAGTAGAGCGCATGAGGGCGCTTTACCACTGTGTTAAAGTTTATAATGAAGACTAATTATCGTTTCGATACTCCAGTATGATACGTGATGGGAGTTGAATGTATACTGTTGTCGCACACACGTAAAAAATCTATTGTTAATTAGAAAAGTCCTTTAAAATCCCATTTCTGTTGTGTTATATAGGAGAGTATTTTTATCAAAATTATTGTAAAGAAAAACGGGATGTGTTGAACTGTGATTACGGCAAAAGGACTCCTGCTTTAAATATATTTGAAACGAAAATGAAGAAAATGTGAGTTTATTATTTATCTGGAATGCGAGAGTCTAGAATGCAAAGCTGCCTAATTTTAATGTCTTTCTGAAATTAGGAGCTATCTTTATATCTGATATGCACACAAGCGGGTGTAGACGTTTCCAAATTCTTTCTATAACAAGAATTTCTGCTCGTTTATTTGATAGAAGTTTGAAGGGATTTGGCTACCATTGTGATTGCAAACTTGTTTGGTTTATGAGAAAACTAAAGCAAAAGAAATACAGAAGTAGGCTGTTGAACCCTTCAGATATTGGCAAATGTATATATCCTAAACGATTCGTAAATAAGAAATTGCAAGATCTCACAGAAGATGATGTTTGCCCACAACTACCACGAATAGGTACGATACATTCATTGCACTTGTTGGTACAAACCTGAAACGCTACTAACAAGCAGGGTTCTCAAGGGAGTGAGGTGGGTGGGAGGGTGGAGCGTGGCAGGACATGGAAGGTTCCAGAGTTTATTTTTGGAATAGAAAGACTGGAATAAAAGATTCCGATATATAGCGAAGCTACATGTTGAAGCCATATAAATGATCTAATGGTTGGATCAGAGTAACCAAAGTACAGATTACTAAAATCGATACAGACTCACTTAAATCCTATGGCCCCCAAATCGACATGGGGTCTCAGACTTCTCCGTGAGGCCTCCTCCTTCTTACCAACCCTAATACTAAATCAGAGACAAGTGATCTTTTGTGCCATTTAGGAATTGCTTTGTGTTTCATGGAACATAAAAAACTGATTTAACAACGGGATGTATAAAAATGTAAATGCACAAGAGGGAATTTCTTTTTTATCTACAGAAGTCAACGCATGCAAAGGCCGTCCCTCGCCATGTGACTATTTTGTCAGTAGATGCAAGAGGGATAAATATACATTCAAATGTGAAGGTAAGGAAATGAAAACATTTCGTATGTTTGCAAGACACACGAAAACATGCATTAAAATAACACCGCGGTCAGACGTCTGCGTGTCGACTGGTTTTTTTTAAAGTACTGGAAATAGTATGGCTAGGAAACAATGTTTCCTGGTTTGTCCACCTTTAGGAAACATGGCTAGGAAACAATGTTTCCTGGTTTGTCCACCTTTAGGAAACATGGCTAGGAAACAATGTTTCTGATTTGTCCACCTTCAGGAAACATGGCTAGGAAACAATGTTTCCTGGTTTGTCCACCTTTAGGAAACATGGCTAGGAAACAATGTTTCCTGGTTTGTCCACCTTTAGGAAACATGGCTAGGAAACAATGTTTCTGATTTGTCCACCTTCAGGAAACATGGCTAGGAAACAATGTTTCTGATTTGTCCACCTTCAGGAAACATGGCTAGGAAACAATGTTTCCTGGTTTGTCCACCTTTAGGAAACATGGCTAGGAAACAATGTTTCCTGGTTTGTCCACCTTTAGGAAACATGGCTAGGAAACAATGTTTCTGATTTGTCCACCTTCAGGAAACATGGCTAGGAAACAATGTTTCCTGATTTGTCCACCTTTAGGAAACATGGCTAGGAAACAATGTTTCCTGGTTAGGAAACAATGTTTCCTGATTTGTCCACCTTCAGGAAACATCTTCGAAAACTATAACGAGAAGACAATCTTTCTCCACGTCTTACAGCAATGACCTTTTAATGTTATTTTCATTGCAGATATCGACGAATGTGCTGAGAGAAATTTATGTGATCTTAAAAAAACAAACTGTATAAATTTGTCACCACATTTTAAATGTGTATGCAAACCTGGCTTCGCTGGCGGAACGTCGCCTTGTAGAGGTAAATATGTCATTGTAGTTGTCGTTGTCATTGCTGTGGTTGACTGATCATGGTATATATTTTTGTTGTCTTTGATTTTTGTTGTTTTGTTTACTCAGCATCGTTATACTCGTGTTTACATCCAAAGTTATTTTCATCACTACATTGTGTTAAGGAAATCTTTCTCTTCATTTCCAAGATATCAATGAATGTTCAAGTAAAGACCGCTGTGGCAAGAACGCCAAGTGTAGGAATTTCCCAGGCTCGTATGAATGCAAATGCAATACTGGCTACAAAGGAAAAGGAAAAGTTTGCTTTGGTAAGATTGTGAATTATTCTGTTTTGGATTCCAGAATTTTGTAATCTTTAATTTTATGTGTACACACAAATATGGATGCTTTCATTCGCTATATATTGAGCAACACCAGATTTCACTGTTTTAAAGATACAAATTTTAGGAAATGCGTTTCTCCAGGATTTCCCTAAATCCCGCGGGGGGGGGGGGTCATTTCTGCTGTGCACTATTCATCTTTCTTTAATCTCATTTATTTCTGTATTAAATAATATTTTACTTTGCGATCTTTCCTTACTAGATGTCAATGAATGCCTGAGCAAGGGTACTTGTTCAAAAGATGCAAAATGTGTCAACACTCCTGGCTCGTACAGTTGCGCTTGTAATTCTGGATTTGAAGGAGATGGAAAACAATGCAAAGGTAATGATGCAAAGGAAGCGATGAGTTTCATCAACTCTCATGCCCCGGTCAAACGAGAAGAAGAGTGCGTGAGAGTTGATGAGAGTTGAGAAGCGAGAGTTTTCTCAACTCTCATGCCCTGATCAAACGAGAACAAGAGTTGCATGAGAGTTGATGAGAGTTGAGAAGCGAGAGTTTTCTCAACTCTCATGCCCCGGTCAAACGAGAACAAGAGTTGCATGAGAGTTGGTGAGAGTTGAGAGTTTGCATGCGAGTTTTCTCAACTGTCATGCCCCGTTCAAACGCGAACAAGAGTTGCATGAGAGTTGATGAGAGTGGACTGCATGTCCCGCGTGCGTAGCGAAAACTCATCAACTCTCGTTAAAATTTGTACATAACTCAAAGTTGATGAAAGCTGGCAGGCAAACGCGAACGAGATTTGCAACTCTCATACCAAGGTTTTAGTGTAATCATATGATCAAATTCTTGCGTAGAAAATGACGATCATTTCTTTTGTTCTTTTCCCCTCCAAACAGACATTGATGAATGCAAAGACAAAAGGACATGTTCAACAAATGCAGATTGTTCTAACTCGCCAGGATCTTATCTTTGTCAATGTAAACAAGGCTATACGGGGAACGGGAAAATATGCACAGGTATATGATACGAGATGGTAACATGGTCACACTGTGGGCACAGTCACCAGAATATATATACCATACAGGGACTGTTGTCCCCTTCCTTAGAACAATTTCTAGATCCATGAAATATCGTAGAATATTGAATTGTTTGTTTAAAGCTATTTAGCGAGGGCCTTGAACATTGTATTAACCAGATGTCATCGATTGTCACCCTGGAATACATCCATATCTTTATCCGCAGATATTAACGAATGTTCCTCCAATCAACATACATGTCATCGAGATGCAAAGTGTATCAATACATCACCTGGCTATCAATGTCACTGTAAACCTGGTTATAAGACATTCAATTATGGAAGACTTTGTGAAGGTATTGTTGTTTTTGTATATTTCGCGTTGTTGTTGCTGCATATTTTCACTAATGTTGCTCTCTGGTTATTCTAATCTATATTCTAGTTAATGTAACCAGGACTTCCTAGATTGGGTTATTTTAAGTTAACCAAGAAGTTTAACTAGGCGTTTTTAGAGTGTGCCGTTCTAATATTTTTCTTTCTTGTCCTTGCATAAAGATGTTGATGAATGTGCAAGAAAGACGTACTGTGCTAAACAAGCAAGGTGTGAGAATAATCCTGGATCGTTTCAGTGTGTTTGTAAATCTGGATACAGCGGCAATGGGAAATACTGCGATGGTAAGATTGCTAGGCCATCCTACGCGTGTAAACGTCTCACAACTTTTCAACAGGATGTGTTCGCACTCCTTGGGTTCCTAGTCGTTCACATCAGTCGTTGACAAGTCTGGAACAAGTTGCTATCATCTTGTAACAGGGTTGATTGATGAGACCAACAAGTTGTCGCAACAAGTTGTTCCAACAAGTCAGATATCGTCTGCACGTAAAAAGTTGTTATGATGACAACAAGCTCGTAGCAGCCTAAAATAGTGAATTCCCAAACGTTTTTCCATGGTTGTTCACAACTGGGAGAAAAGATCACCAAGCTTGACTTGTCGATTTTCATTTTTTATCTCCATCCAGACATAAATGAATGTGAGGACAGCGAGCAGTGTTCATCCAGTGCAAAATGTCAAAACATGGACGGCTCTTACAAATGTACTTGTAATATTGGTTACTATGGCAACGGAAAAATTTGCAAAGGTAGGATTACTTTCTTTCATTCAAATTCAGCCTCAGTCACAACACATCATTGCGGTTGTGGATTGGTGCGAGGTAAAACGTATCAACGTATACGATTACTGTTCTACCGAGGTTAGAACTACCGCGGTTTTGTTAGATCATTTCTGGATTGTATATAAACATAAATCTCTATCGTATGTAGACATAGATGAATGTTCAAAAGAAGATGTTTGTTCAATGGCCAATTCAAAATGTGTCAACACTCCTGGATCGTATCAATGTCAATGCATAGAAGGATATTCACGGAATGAAACGCACTGCTCAGGTAGATAACTCGTGACTTCAGAAATCATGTTGGAACTACGACTATGTCGCGATCACAATGCTTGTCTTTCAAGCTAGGAGGGTTCAATCTTTGGTCAGACCTCTACTCTCAAGGTCTTAAAACAATTGAGAAAGTGCTACCTTTACATTGACATCAGTAAAAGGTTAGACTTTCGCGTCTTCTCGGATAAGGACGTTCAAATCGTAGGTACCTCGGATCCACTATCAATTGGGCAATAGCTTGTTGGGAAATCCGCTCACCAAGGAGTGAAAAACTCAATAAACGAATACAGAAAATTTCTCTTGAGTGTAGGTGCAATTAGACTAGTTCAGTTTTAGCACATGGAGTGTGAATTTGATGGAAATTCTTCATTCTAGACATGGATGAATGTTGGAGTAATGAATTCCCTCATAATTGCGACAAGAATGCAGTGTGTATCAATTACCCTGGAGGTTATAAATGTCAATGTAAAGAAGGATATGAACGTTTCTCGGAAACAGAACCATGCTTCCAGGAAGGTTAGTTTTTCAACCATGTATTCATATGTTGCTGATAACCATTCGAGCCTTCTTAGAAAATATCACAAAATATTTTCGATAGACAATATCACAAAGACTTACTGCCAATTAATTTCGTTTTCAGAAGTCCTCACTCCATTTTATGAACGAACCAATGTCAGGATCGCGGCGCTTGCTGCTGTCGTGTTTCTAGTTCTGATGATGATTGCTTGTTGTTACTGTTGTAAACGGTGAGTAATGTTTCACAAATAAATCAATTCAATTGTTATTCTGGCTATTGAGCCTCGATTTCGTGATTGAGAGGATTGGATTTAATCTTGCATACACGAAAACGAGGCTCCATAGTCAAATGACGTACTTTTCGGAAGAGTGTATGGACAAATTTTAATTTTTAGTTGCTGCAGAAGAAAGGGAGAAAGTTCGAGTAAAGAAATGGATGGAAGTGAAGAACCTCTGTTGTACGGGCCTGACATCCCTTTCGTACCAATGGATATGTCACCGTAAGTTTGGGAGTTGGGGGGGGGGGGGAGCAGGGCAAACTGTCCCCCAGAGAAAATTTAACTTATTAATTTTATATTATTATAAATAGTTAAGCCAAATGGTGCTTAAAATCTTGTGATTCAGAGTGCATAATGCAGCGATAAGCATCTAACTGACATGTCTTTGAATGCATTGAAATTTGGGTATATATTTCAGCAGGTGGGTATTACTGCTCCCTGGTGAAAAAATCAGGTGCCTGAATCTAACTTTTCTAAATCTTAAAAAACGTCATGTTACATTAGGAGTTTTATGGAATATCCCCGTTTGCATAAGCCAATTTCACCGATACCTTGTAGTTTTTTTATGCGTCCAATAAAGCTGACAAAATAAAATAAAATAAAATTAGATATATTCTCAAGCATTTTTCTTTCTTATCTTTCAGAATTTCGAATATATCCATGGTATCTGCATATTCAGAAAAACAAGATTTTGACTTCCACTACTATGATATTGAATAAAACAGGAAAAAAATGTATTCAAGCTGGATTAAAATAAAGTATTTAAGTTTCTGCAAAGACTCTACAAGGCTGCTATCTTTTTGAATAATTCGATTTTTAGGAAACGTTTTGCCAGCACGACGCAAAGGATTTTGTCAAGATCGTTGCACTATGTTGCCAAGCAAAACCCAGATTTTATTGCAAGAATAATACATATTTTTCCATCACAGTACCCAATGTGTATTTTGACATACTTAGTAATCATCATAATCTATTTCCTCGTCTGAAGATTCGAACAATGCGTACGTACCCTCTGGTGTACTGTAACAACAAAAAACAACTTTGTTTCACATTGATACATTGGCAACTGCACACGTAAAAACGTAAATCTTGAGCAAACATGTAGTAATGATGCTCCAACAACTTGTCAACAGGATGTGTTCGCACTGCTTGTTCCCAGCTTGTTGACAAGTTGCCAACGGTTGTTCACAACTTGCTACAAGGTTGTTGAGCTCAACAGACTTGTCACAAGTTGTTCCAACAACTTGTTATCGTCCTGCAATTCAACAATTTGTCAACAAGTTGCGAGTGGCAACCTTGTAGCGACTTGATAAAATAACAGCATTGTTACAACTTATTGACAAGCCTGTTGCGAACACATCTTCTTGACAAGTTGTGAGATTTTTGCATAGGAGGTGAGCCCACTTTTCTATTCAAAACTTTCACTTACTTTGTTTTCCTATTAGCATGTGGGTTAAACTTGAACACATGCTGGGTAACTTCTTCATTCTTGAGCAGTGCATCAGCATTATTCTTGTTGTTTGGTTCATTTTGTTTCTTTCTGTTCTTCCTATAAAAGAAGAACACGTTGTAAGATTTGGCAAGTATCGAAAACAGCATAAAACATGGTTGTTACACAGAGCCTCCAAAATGCATGTTACCTGTGAAAATAGAGTCCTAGTCCAGCTACCACGATAACGAGCAAACACACTGGGACGACGATCACGATGATAAGAAGTGAATTGCTTCTCGACGCCTCATCTGGACAAAATGGAAAACATAGAATAGACCTTATGCATAATGACGTCACAAGGCTTGATGCCTGCAAGGAATGCTGGTCTTAGTAGTCATCGCCTGGGAAAATTAAACAATTCAAAATGGCCACTATCGTAATTTTCCCAGGCGATGACTACTAAGACCAGCATTCCTCCCGGGCATCAAGCCTTGTGACGTCATTACGCATAAGGTCTATTCAACTACCTGAACAACACAAGTAAAACTTTCGTTGGGAGGTTTTACTTGTATTTTTCGAGGTTTTACTCGTTATTTTGAGGTAGTTAAATCCTTTCTGGTGTTCTTCTCACGACCTAGCTGTGCTGGCACTATGGCTGGCACAGAATGTTCAAGAAATCTTGAGTGTCTGCAGACGTGACGCAGGAATCTCACCTTTCTTAGAGCAAATTCTTCCACTGTTATGTTCTTCGTATCCGTCATTACAACGACATTTATATCCTCCCCATTGGTTCATACATAACGCATTCTTGTCGCAGGTATGAGTATTTGTTTTGCATTCGTCCACATCTTCATAAAAAGAAAATAAAATTATTTCACTCACACAAGCAAAAACCTCACAATTATTTTCATCAAGTTGCTACAAGGTTGTCACTCACAACTTGTCAACAAGATGTGTTCGCAACAGGCTTGTAGCAAGCTTGACAATAAGTTGTAACAATGCGTTATTTCATTAAGTTGCTACAAGGTTGTCACTCACAACTTGTTGACAAATGGTTGAATTGCAGGACGATAACAAGTTGGAACAACCTTGTTGGAGCAAGCAGTGCGAACATTGCCTCGTCCCCAGTCGCTTTCAAAGGGAGGAGAGGAAAACGAGAAAAATTTCTTTGTTGGGCGCGCGAAGAATAAGGGGAAGGGGAAGCATTGCCCGGCAACTTATCACAACCACTGATCTATATAGATTGCAACTGCACTGCACTGTGTCCAATGAAGGGTCTGCGGAGGCAGGTACGAACACATCATGTTGACAAGTTGTTGGAACAGCATTGCTACAAGTCTGCTACAGGTTTGTTACAACTTGTGCGTTTTACGTGTGTAATATAAAGTAACAAATGTCTATGAGTAACTAAACTGATATATTGATGAAAAGATAGGATATACATCATTTATATACAACAACTTGCCTAAACATTGACCATGTTTCAAGTGATATCCAGGAAAGCATTCACACGAGTACGAGCCAAGGGTGTTTTGACAATTCGCCTGAGCTGGGCAGACCTTTCCATCACATTCATCTATATCTGAGTTAAGAAAATGGATAATATAAAATTATATTTTCAGAGTGTTATAGGTACAGTCGAAAATTCGGCGTTACACGCCGTGCTAGCAATTTTCCAATTTAGACCTGCCAAAAATAACAAAACTATTATGAATAAAAATTAAAGTGACTGGTGACTCCATTACCTCTGCAGACCTTCCCGTTGCCATGGTAACCTTTCTTACATACACATTTATCAGGGCCAGGTGTGTTTTTACATTCTGCATAAATTGAGCAGTCTTTTTTCGTCTTGCATTCATCTATGTCTGAAAAAAATAATACAGATATATAACTATAGGAGTCAGTGTTTCATATTGATAGGGATAGAACTACCTGAACAACACTAGGAGAACTTTACCCTTGCATTCTTTTCCATCCCCAACGAAGCCAGTTAAACAAACACATTTGTAAGATCCAGGAATGTTCACACATTTAGCATTCTGTGAACAAGGTGATTTATCAGTGCATTCGTTCACATCTAAGAAGAACAATAATGATTTTGGTGGAAAAAGCTTAAATTGGAAAATTTACTCATGTATAGCAGCTTACGTACGTTTTTGTTCTTACAGCAATAAAAACCATTTAAAAGGAACAAAAACTCTTACCCCTGCATTGTCTTCCATTATCGTATTCCGTGAAGTCAGGTTTACACTGACATTTATATCCTGGTTTAGTATTAATACACTTTGCATCTTTGTGACACTCATCTTGCTTCGTAGCACATTCATCAATGTCTGAGTAAAAAAAAGATAGTTTATGGTTTTTAAGATCAGGATTTCTATAGCGCAAATTCACATGTGGATGATATAATCAAATGCGCTTTACATCAAGTATTACGCTTACCTAACTACATATACTAAGCTTAGACTATTTATCTTTACAACAATTGTGATATTACTTTCTTAACTATGTTTATCCTAACCCACCCTGTCAACTTTCCCTGTGGGAGGAAACCGGAGCACTCGGAGAAAACCCACGACTTTCGGCAGAGCGTTGACTGACTCTTTTCACATGAGTCCGTAGCGAGAATCAAACCCATGATCTCACAGGTTGAAGGCGCTTTCTCTGAAAACAAATCAGCGTCTTGTAACTGAAGCAGGAAAGATACTAACCCACACATCTGTATGCCATCTTTCCAGCAAGCTCACACGTCGATGTTTTGGGACATGGACGAGCTTTGCAAAGATCAGGTTCTGTTCACGAGAAAGAATAGACACGAATATTATGAAAACTTCGGATTGCTAGGGATACAACTACCTGAAAAATACAAGGAGAACGTCGACGTTTCGAAAGCCCTCCGTCCTTGTATTTATCAGGTAGTTGTAAATCTAGCAATCCAAAGCTTTCTTATTTTATTGCCACTACCTACACTGGTACGTACACTTATAATGAAGTGAACGAAAAACAAGACCTGATCTAATCTGCATGAATCTAATAATGGGTACAAGTGTAAAATGGTAGCCTAAGAACTGCTTACACGTATCAGTTTAATTAGTGACTTTGGGACTCAGCTGGCCCGGTTAACCGGGATGGTTCCTTTAAGCCTGGTGGCAATTCTATCGGCGATTTTTCTGCTGGCAAATGTGCTCGACTGAATGATATGCAAGATCTTATCACGCGGCTTTGATAAACATCAAAAATGACATTTCAAAGTTGAATTAGCAATAACAATATACCTTTTTGAGGGCAAATATCATTTTCATTCAGCGTCACAACTGCAACATTTAAAAACGTATCTGGCGCTTTACATGTGATGCGATCAAAGTTTGGGATTAAACGTTTCCTGAAATACCGTAGGAGATATCGAACGAACCAAACCATGTTACAATCGCACAAGTACTGTCCAATGAGCGAGCTTGAAAAACAACGATAAATCATCCATGAGCAGTAAGTACAAAAAACTAAAGAGAACTGCTATATTAACAAACCTATAACGACGTACATTAGAAAAAGATCATGTTTTCATGCAAGTGCATTTTGCATGAGTGAGCTTCCTAAAGGGGCGAAAGCCACTGACCGAGTTCTAGATAAGGAAACAGACACAACACAGAATTGTACTCACAATCCTTGTTTTCGCACAAAAATATCATACGGAATGTAATCCAATCCGCGATTATCGCAATTCCAATATCTGCTTTTACCAGCTGGAGGATTACAGAATTTCTTAAAACTGACTCTTTCTAAAGAAATTGAGAACTTCATTTCTACTCTTCATTCACACGAGCAAAACACGTGATAATATGAAATCACAGATTCTGTGATCACAGAAACTTTGATAGTGTACACCAGACTAGAGAGGCGCATACGATACGATTCTCTTACCTGCGTCACAGATCTCTTCTTCCTTCAATTCTGCGATTTTTTTCATGTTCAGTTTGTCAGGATAGGCGCATCTCATCTCATCCAAATCCTTAACGTTTTTTCTCACGTCGGCTGGCTCACGCAGAAACCACACGATGCTGCAGTCACAGATGTACGGGTTTTCACTGAGGTAACTGAAATTCAAAATACACGTCGAAGATAAAGTGCCCTCAACTCAAGTTTCGTAATATATCAGTATGCGAACAAACAAAATAACAGGCCACAACTCGAAGCAAACTGTAAGATAATAATTGTAATTTTTTGACTAAATGTCACAGCGAGAGTTTGTATAACAGATAAAACGGACGAGAATGTTGTAAATGGTTTGTGAAACGTTTTGATGAGAACATTCGTATTCTTCAACTAAATTTATGATATTTGATATTAAAATAAATGAATTATATTTGGTGAATAAATCCAACTTAAAGTTTATGTAAATCAGCATGATTTTATATCAGATATACAAACTCCTTCACGCTCATGATTTCTTTTGTGTTTTCTTCATGAATTATTAATGAGTTTGGCACAAATATGTACGTCTGTAAAATATTATGTACTTACATATTATAGTACCCCCAACCCTTGTAATAGTCGTAAGGAACGTTTTGAAATCCGTGATTTGTACAGTTAAGTTTCTTTTCCTGATCGTTGCGGCAATCAAACACAGAAGGTATCTTTGCCTTGCCTTTTATCAAATCTAAACAACATAACAACAATATCAGCCATATGACAAGACTGGTCTTTCGAACCGGTCCCAACATTACGATGGCGTCATCAGCATCTCACGCATGCTTACATTGAAGTGTTGAACATGACGTCATAAAGAAATTAATTCTTATTCATTTGCGCACGCGTAACAATTGCAGGAAATTGAAATGTTAAAATGAAGCAAGGTGCTGCTTACATGACACGACTTGTCGTATACGATTGGCATTCTGGCCGGTATGAAAATGACTGCTGACGCCACTATTCCTGTCTATCAGTTTCAAATGTGACATTTTTACGCGCATCTATTGGAGTACATATCGGCCAGGATATACTACTAGTCGTATCATGCATAGATGGACCTTTACTTTAGATTTATGCCCCGATCAAACGAGAACAAGAGTTGCATGAGAGTTGATCAGAGTTGAGTGGATATTACCGCGAGCGTAGCGAAAAACTGTTACTTACTTAGCCTAGACTATTTCATCTTTACAGCAATTGTGATATTACTTTCTTAACTGTGTTTATCCTAACCCACCCTGTCAACTTTTGCCCTGTCGGAGGAAACCGGAGCGCCCGGAGAAAACCCACGACTATCGGCAGAGCGTTGACTGACTCTTTTTACCTGAGTCCGTAGCGAGAATCGAACTCACGAACTCAGAGGCAAACTCTCATCAAAACATTGAGCCAGCTGAAAATTGATGAAAGTTGATGAGAGTCAATGAGAAATAACGGTCAAACGCGGGCGAGAATTGCTCCGCATCAACTCTCATGCTACTCACAATACGACGGCTTAATAAACGAAGTTCGGCGTTTATTCGAGGAAGGTGTCTTAATTCGGTGTTTTTGTCGAGGCCATTAAACTGACATCTTATAGTGACGGTTGTTTCTTCAGCGGAGCAACAGAGAGTAAAGTGAAAATTTTGAAACACAGCTGTTAACGGTTGTCCGCGTAAATTTTTCTTATGCAAAACTATCATGTTAGATGATAAACAATATAACTATTGCATGCGCCTTGACCCGCACTAAATCCAATACCACATAAAAAAACGTTTTGTTGATAAAAACCAAGACAATGCCGTTTTGAATACAATTTTACTAGCCCTATGAAAGAACAAACTTGTGACTGCATGCAAACTGCTGTGCACATGCAAATTCTTGTTTTTGTATAAAATGTAAAGCAATAACTTTAAAAGAAAATCAAGCTTAGTGTTGGAAGAATGTTTTGTACTGTTGCACATCTTTATTCAACACAGACCGATCGTGGATTAAATCAATGAGATTTCGGTTGCATGGTCGTCAGACCAAATGTCTTTCATGTCATTCATTCTCATGGAAACGCTCTCGGGGCTTCACATGCAGTAAAGCCTCGGTGAAACGAGGCCAGAGTTGATGAGAATCGGCAGCCATGCATTGTACGGCAGACATTTCAAGCTCTAGATTAACAAAATAAGGGTCTGATGAGTGTTCCTATGTTTTAGTATTATTTTCGTATCAATACGTTTGATAGATTTTGAGTTATCCTGCTGTTGATGCATACAACTTTATGGGCAAAATTACATTCAAACGTGTTATTTTCTGTTTAATGTAATCGAGGGAATATGTAAAGCCTTTCAAAACCTCAAATAGTTTAAAACTGTATAGTTTCAATAAAAATCTTATTAATAATTTAACTTTAATTACAGCTCAACTATAGCAGCGTTCATTTTGCGTGTTCATGACAGACCTAATTGGACTGACTTATTACCCCGCGCATGTAAGCAAACTATCCTAATATTTAAGATAGCAGCATTATCATAATTAGCCAAAATTCATTGTTTAACGAAGCAATTATGGCAAAATACAAGCGGGAACCATATTGTCGTTTTCCTTAAAAGGCAGACAATCGGAAGGCTTTCAAAACTCGCACGAAACATTTTCGATCACGTTTACACGCGAAAGAAAAAAATGGAAAACAATTAAATGAAGTAAACATTGCATTCAGTTTAAAAACTAAAGAGTTCAAGCTATGCAGCTGTATTTATACTGCATAGTTTTATACGCTTTCTCAGGTGCTGTTCTAGGAACATATTGGACCAGTGCCATTACAACCTATAAACTAAACAAACTAAACTGGGCAAACGCTTTCTGGAATTAAAGAAAGGACATGCACAACATTGCGCAAATTATTTTAGTCAGTAATTTTAAGGAGTATTGCAACAAAAATGTTTACAGTTTCGTACGCATTTCGTTTAGTCAAAACAGCTCTTTTCAGTTTAGGAAAGACACAACTGTACGAATTGTGACGTCTGTAGGACGCCCTAAAGACGTCAGAATTCTGTGAGCCAACTGAAAATGTAAGTGAATCAGCTCATTGGCGTCTAAAAAGGGTAAATACTATTAAAATAAAAGGTTGCGTTCAATATAATTATACAGTTATTGCCATTAGGCATTAACCGATTAAACTAAATTAGGAAAGTGTGGGATATATTATTGAACTTTCATTGAAAATAGCAAGTTAGGTACTGTTTAAATATGTGTCAGAAAATTGACGGCATTATCACCGTATGGTATTTGTACGACACTTTCAAGAGTTCTTCGAATATGCATCGTGTGATCAATCATTCTGCACATTATGCTCTGCCACGCATTATTTCATGACAAGTTACAATTTTTTGCTTTTCTTCTATTCAAAATTGCGACAATGAAGTGGCAAAAGTTGGGCATGAATATAAAAACGTTTGTTAAAGTATTGACACCAAGCACACTCACTTATTACCGTGTTTAACTTCAGCAAGAAGCAATTTAATTTTAAGTAAAGATAGTTTGTTTAAATTGTGTTTAGACTGTATATATTGACTTTACTATTACGCGTATTTTCTGCACGGGGGGATTCGCTATTCTAAACTGATCTCGCTAGAGATCCAGTGTTACCACAGAAGGAAACCTACACTAAACCAACATTATTTGCACTGGATAGCTGCATCAGTTCTAAACTGTTCTTCCAGAAATCCTGTAAGGGTCATATCTTGTCAATATTAATCTAATCTTAATTTATACTCGAGAACTTTCCGAGGTGTTTCACCCAGCGGCTGAGTGAGCGTCAATATACTACTTACTATACATGCAACGAAACCGAACTAGTACTCAGAGAATGACTGGAAGCATTTGTCACACATACACTATAAGGCGACAGTACTGAATGAGAAAGCTACGGGGCAGGGTTTTTTTCCGCCAGGGGGCATCAAGATCTATATACTGAAAGTGAGACTATACATAGTTGCTTGTAGAGAGAGAGGGAGGGAGAGAGAGAGAGGGAGAAGAATCCTAAACTAGTTTATCCCAGTGTACAAGCTGAGCAAATCGATCAATGTCCACAAGTATCCCCCCCCGGTAATTTTAGAAACAGCCAACATTTGCCTAAAAACTAATTATCCTTGTTGAACACTCGTCATGCACACGTGTCAGTTAAGTAACCCTTAAGAATAATAAACCGAGGCAAAGAGGCCGACCCAAAGACTCTCGAACATGTGCGAGCTTCCTAGGCTAATCGTTAATAACTAATGATTAAATATGCAGAGTTAGGACAGGCTTTTGAGCACATTCGCATGTATACTGACACGCAAGTTTAGCAGGACAACTATTGGCTAAGCTGCTTTGATCGAGAAAACAGGTAAGCTCATAAATCCATTATATTAGTGCCATCTTATCCAAGTAACCTATTCCTTAAACGCAACGAGAGTTAGGATTTAAATAAGAGGGAATAAAGAAGATGTATATATTCCACCACATACAAAACAGGGCAAGATTTTCCATTCTAGAGCTGTAAAGATTTGGAATAGCATAGACAACGACTTAAAGAAATTACCTTAAAAACATTCAAAACTAAGTTGAAGAAGAAAATGTTAGGAATTTATTATTGTAAAAATTAAATATTTTATATAGAAATTTTGTATAGAACTTTTAATATTATAAATGTAAGCAAGTATTGAAAAGCCGGGACTGGGAATGCTGTATTTTATAATAATATTTCTCAGAGATTGCGCTAATCTTTAGCGGTCCTGGCAGATCGAACAGCCTTTCTTCAAATTAAACTTGAATGAAAAAGTAGCGATTCTAATCGGGCAAGATAAGGTGGATTATGTAAGTTCTGTTCATAAAAGTATAGCCCATTTACAAAACGGCTGTAATTGCGAAGTAATAAGATTAGGAGAATGTTTTTTACCAAAGTACGCAAAAATATATCGTACTCTCTGCAGTAATAATATGTATATAGCTTACATGTATGGAAGTTCAATTCACGCGATTTAATTCACCACCGTGCGCTAAATACCCCACACACATCTTAAGGGGGCAGAAAGTTTCTACTTTATTGCAATGGCGTTGGCTTATCTTATGCCCCATATTGATATGGGGTTAAAATGATCATGCAAAAAAATTGATATGGCATGTGAACAACTTTGTTCAATTGTCAAACAATCGTTGATCATCGCTGAATTACTGACATTCAAAAGAGAAAAGATAAAGTCGGCTTACAAGAAAGTCAATAATTTACACTCGTATTCTTTTGTTTGACTCGTTTATGTATTGCACAGGTCAAGGCTTCAAACTGCTCTCCCTAGAGGTCCACGAAGGCAATTATTGGAGAGTTTAAGCTTCGCGTTATACGTCAAACGGCAAACGCGAGGCAAAGAAAAATTTTACGATATCAGGCAATAAAGAGTAAATAAACTTGCTGTTTTAAAACTGAAATACTTAATTATTCTTTCGACGCAAGAAAGAAAATACGAAACGAAAACGTTCAACGAAAATTTTGCCAAGAAAATTTGTACCTGCCGTTCCTGGAAACGTGAAGTTTAAACTCCCTATTGCATGGTGGTTACAATCGAAAGGCTTTCACTGAGAACATCGAAGATTTTAAAATCTTTTTCAGGTGTTTGTTTCGACCAAAACACTGGAATATTGAAACGCTTTCTCCTTCAATATTCAACTTAACACGTTCTTGTCAACACGGATGTCGCACGAAAATTGGTATAACTAATTTTGACGGAATTTTGCATCACAGCGTTCGTGTAAGGAAGCAAAAACTTTAAGAGTCTTCAGTATGTTTTGTCAAGTGTTGAAGACAACCACAAACTCATACAAACACAGTTTTTAGTGCACTCCGCACTTGGGAATCTGACATCCATACGTGCTGACAAGTGACAACACATCGCTTGCTTAAGCACGCTAAAAATAACGCTGTAATAATAAGAGAGGACCTCAGAGAGAACAGTTAAGAACTGATAGAGATGAAAAACTCGGCGCGAATGGGGTTCTGCATGGACATTTAAGGCTCATACAGACCGGACGCGATTTGGCAACGCGACGCAAATTTTCAGTTTTCAATGACATTTAATTTTAATATTTTTCTATGTTTTTCAAATATTCGGAACCACTTAAGCAATTTTAGCTATTTGGGTCTGCATATCTTGTCAAATTTTGATCCGTTGATGGTTTTATTTGTTTTTGAAAACTGAAAATTCGCGTCGCGTTGCCGAATCGCGTCCGGTCTGTCGGTGGGCCTTTAATTAAGGCTGCTTTGCACTCTCAACTGAAGCTTCTGTGATCACAGTGCGGGCTTGCATGGCTATATTTCAAGTTTTGAAAGCCTATTTGTAAGAAATATTTGAGGGAAGTGACTAAATGTTAAACAATGAGTCAGATCTCTCAAAACTTTCTTACCAATTCTTCAATTTACGTATGAAAAATTCCTACTGTGATCACAGAAACTTTGATAGTTTGAATCAGCCTTAAGGGTTAAGTATATTTTCTTGAAATATTTTAGAGCCAGCATGTCAAGCAGACGTAAACGACGTGTTCCACAATGCGCAAGATGTCGTTCCCACAATACCGTTGCAAGCGTCCGCGGTCACAAGAGAGAGTGTCAGTGGAAGGATTGCACATGCGCAAAGTGTTTAATGGTGACAGAGAAACGACGTGTAACCGCTGTACGTGTTGCTATACTGAGGCGCGAGAGAAAGCGAAGAATGTCACATACCATGGACGCTTTTCATATTGGTTTGCATGGTGCAAGCCCCTGGGGTATGATGGGACAAGTGCCTGGAACATACACCGCTGAACAATTTCACGGTAAGTATGCAGGCGCCACTGATCTCACAAATAGACTGTATAGCGCAACACAGGTGGAGTTTAGAACAGATAGAACTATACACATCAATGCACAGGTTTTCTCCTCCACTTGACCAATATGAGAACTTTTACTTTAACTTGCTTTTAACTTGTTTCAGACAATCGAAGAATGGTTCCTGGCAGTGAACCCTACTACAGTGAGATGCTTCAGATGAAATACCGGGGAATGCACCCTCACTACGAGAATACGTACCACCACATATACCCAAGGGAACGTTTACCCTGCCGCGACGACGAACCGAATAAGACGGACAGCGGTATTACACAAAATCTGGAAAGTTTCCAACATGAATACGAAAGTTTTATGCGAAAATTAAACGATGGTGAATTGTCTCCTAGCAACAAGACCGAGATCACGCAATCACGTAGCTCCTCCCCACGCCCCCACCGAATTTGTATTCGGCCAACAAATCCACATAGTCAAGTGGATATTTGTAGACCTCCAGTCACACATGGGGATATATACCAGCCCATATTACCCCATCCAAACCACAGATATCTCCCAATGATGCTTAATACCCCACTTACCCTTACATGTCCCTGTCCAAAGTCACCTGAATTTCCTTATGGCGTTTGTATGTAGTTCACAATGTGTCCAATTGTCCCAAGTGAATTTGCCCGACTTTGGTGGTATTGCCATCTCTGTAGCATTTGCATGTAGCTTGTGGCCTTATAGAGAAAAAGATTAAAAATACTGTAAAATGTATTCTAGCTCTGGCGATCGAGCTGTGAGCAACCGCGGGGACGATCGCGAGGTTGAGCTCTGCGCTCTGTGTTACGTTTGTATAACCTTATACAATAGGTAAAGGGAACTTAAACTATATTTAACATACACATTCACAATATTGTAAATAAAATTAGAAACATTCAATAAATCATTCAGAAATATAAAGTGTATTTAGTTCTGGGCATTAGTGCATTTTACAGAATCTTGATAAGAAGAGTTTCTTGATATATTCCTTGTTTATTTGTAGCTACTGCATGAGTAATTATAAAAAGACATCGTACTGGATGCCTGTTTCTGTTGTTGAGTGTTGCGATCTCTCTGTGATGTGTAAAATCATTTGGCTGTTTGTTTTAAAGTGTTAAAAAGATATAACGTTAACTATTAAAATCCACCTTTAAAAATCTTGTTCTAATCACAGATCATTGTTTATACCAAACGTTGTAAAAGTCAACATTTCACTAAAAATTCCGAATCCAATATCTCAAGGAGTGAACGACAAAGAGTTTGTTTGTACATCATTTACCATCTTGAGTTGAAGAGAACAAAGAGGCTCTTACGTGACGACACACAGCTACAAGATGGACGGGTGGCCGGACATTTTGCCGCGGAAAGACACTTCGCCGAAAGACATTTTGCCGAACGGACTTGTCGCCGAAAGACATTTTGCCGAAAGGACAACTTGCCGAAACTTTAAAGGTTCGCTTACACGGTCAAAGTTTCTGTGGTTAAATTAAAGTCATTGTCGACTTTGATGACAGAAATGTTGATGACAGAACTTTGATAGTGAAGTTGTTTCGTTTTATATTCTTTCAAGTTTTTGACAAGTTTACCGAAATTTCGCGATATAAAGAATAACATCATTCAACATCATTCATGAATGTCAAGGTAAAAGTTTATTGTGTATATATTTTACAAAAGCATGCTTGCAAAATGCGTGTGGACGCATTAACAGTAGCAGATAGACGCTCTAAAGCTATCGAGATATTTCGCGTGCTTGGTCTAATACACTCAGGGGTGTAGCGAGTGTTTCATAATTGGGGGTGGGACGGGGGGAGAGGCCTCACTTTTGCGGACAAAATGGGCGTGGTTTGATGTAGTCGGGGCGTGATACTATGTTATTGAAATTGTTACAAAATGGGGAACTAAAGAGCATGCTGAGTTTGCGGCCAGTATACTTTATTCTGTCTAACGTCAGACTATTTTATTCGTCAGTGCTAAGGTAACCCTGGGCCAATGCTTGATTCAATAAATCATTACCACACCCTCGGAATTCAACCGGGTGTTTCCCTCATTTTGACTTCACATACCGGACTATAAATGGCGAACGGAATAACGATTATGCCCTGGTAACAACAATATAAACAACAAGTACAATTACCGGATAAGGTAGGGACAATATCAAATTTAAACGGTTGAAATTATTGTGCCTGGCCGATTTCTACTAGAGATAAAATTATCCGCAAAGATGCATGACGCACTCTCTATGAAGGCGTGTTAGTGTAAACACAAGACGAGCTGGATAGGAATGCTTCTGGAAACAAACAATGCGTACGAACTGTGGTACGAACTACGGCTTTCGTCTCAACGGATGTCCTTCCTGCAGTTGCTGCCCAGTTTTAGGACGTTCAAGGACAACGTCATCGCATTTCCACTATACTAGATGATCAGTTTGGACGATTTGGGAAAATTGTTCGTTCCCGCAACTCACACAATTCATGAGTGCCTTTATAATAAATGAAACTCAGTTCCTCAGGTCATCAGGAGTTCATTTGTTTGAACTGACAGTGCGTGCGTGATGACGTCAATGTACTCAAATGATATTACGTACATTGAAGCTGAACAGTAAATGTAAGATCATGTAATAAACAAAGCCATCGCACCTTGGTCTACACAAGAGATTTCAAAGTATTGAATACAGCAACCTCTTACAGAAGCCACACAGGAATTGCTGTCATCAAAAGATGTGAGTCTAGTATTGATTTGAACGTCGAATGTACAAAATTCAAAAGTAATTGTACGTCTAGGCAGAGCCGGCAAGCTTACTTATTAGATCGTAACAAGACAATGGTTGGTATTTGATTATAGTCAAAGCCGGCAGGAATCTAGTTACTCTCTTAACTTGTCACACTAGCTTTAGAATAAGACAGGGTAGTGTAATCCACATGCACAGATAACAAAATTAATAATATCAAGTGTAAAGGATGAAGGTATAGCAACATTGCGAAACGAAGGCTTCATTCAGTATATCGTTCCGGTTAATGTATATGCGAAAGTGTTAAATTGCGTTGGCCTTTATATTCAGATATATGAACTGTGAGCTTTCTCTATTTAGGCAGTGTAGAGTAATATTTATGTACAGTATAACAAAATAATTCATTGTAGGTAAGCTAGGAGGTAAAATTGTGAAGCGAAAGCTTTATTTTGACGTCTTTACTATATAGTGTTTTATGTGGGCAAATCGGAGCGCATCGTTGAGACTATACGTCTGAGCGTTGGTAACATGAGTTGTCAAATTTCCAATAAATGAATATAGTGCCACAATCTTTAGTAATAAAATAATGATGAAATACATCGCTCTTTAGGATCTATCGCCTGCATCGGATGATTTAAACCATTTTGCTTTTCGTATGCAAATTGCCATTTCAAATCATGTATATAATCAAATAATGAAACCGATTGTCTTGATCACTTGTTCTGCCAGTCATACACGTAGATACTCAAACAGATTGAAACATCCAAACATTGACTTGAAATGGGTAATTTACGATACAAGTAAGCAGGACTGTTGTGTGACCTAATTCATTGCATGCCTGTCAAGTGGGAAACGTCCTCGCCAGTCACGAAATGTTATAAACAGACCGTTGTCGTACAGTCACGCACAGGCGTGATTTATGCTAGAAACTGATAATTTATTTGGACGAGCTTTGGCAAAAAAAAAGTACGTTCGTATCTTTTGTGAACTATTCATACTCGTCTATTTATAAATACGACCAAAGGCATCACAAATGCGTCATCGTCAAGAGGAAATATCATTGAAGTTATTAAAATTGAACTCGTGTCAAGATTGAAGCCCTTCAAGAATTAGTTCTATTTCGAGTAGGATGCCCCAAAAAACCAAGACCCAACAATAGCAGAATGTTTTCAACAGCCCGTAGAGCTTAGGAATAAATAAATATAATGTTGTACAGGGTTATGTTATGTTGTCGCGGCACGAGACAAATAACTAAAGTATTATTCGTCACATCAATTACAGCATGAGTGAATTGGATGAAAGCAGTCCTCCCGATGACGATCTATCCCCAAATGATCCGTTAAATCACCGCATACCCAAATGTGCACGTTGTCGTACACATGGCACGGTGTCATGGCTAAAAGGACACAAACATTTGTGTGAATGGCGCGACTGCACGTGTTCGAAATGCATGGTGATCACAGAACGACAGCGAATCACAGCCGCTAGAGTAGCGCTACTCCGACAACAACGTAAAGGCTACGACGGCCGTGATATGACTGAAGAGGAGGCCGATGAAGAATGGCAGGACGGAGACTTTATACCTGAGCCAAGTGCATTTCAAAGACCATCTATGGTTTCCGTTGCTGCAACACAGTTCTTGGAAAGCTCTAACCAAGGTCAGTTCATTCTTTCATCGATATATTATTACAATGTTATTTCCGGCCAGCATACGCGTGTTTATGCCTCTTGTCACCAAATCCACGTATTTTGTCTGCTCTATTCTTACCCTATCATAAGCGTGCGATGAATCAAGATTTTTAGTTTTTATTGGTACTCCAACAACCATTGCCATGTATCTGAGATGTAAGAAAGACTCAAGGGGTGTATAAAGTACACAAGGGCCTTCGTCGGAGTAACTTCCCGCCTTCGCTCGAAACGTCAAAGTTCTCCTTGTATTTTTCAGGTAGTTGTATCCCTATCAATCCGAAGCTTTGTTATTCTTGCCACTGCCTACACTGGCACAGACCATTCTGACTGTATTGATTTGATCTAAAAACTAACTCTACTCTAACACAACAGGTGGTCGGAGTTCACCAATAGAAGAACCAAGTTCGTCCGACGAAGTTAAGGGGACACGTCAATCCCGTTCACCAGATGACAACTTCACTGGTGTGAAAATCAAAGTCGAGTCCACAGATGAGGATCTCGATCTCGATCTTCGACCGAGCTCAGCGTCACCACCTCAACGGACTATGGGTGGAAAGCGACCACACATTGCGTATTCACCGTTTTCGTCGGAGGGGTCAGGTCGATGGGAGAGGGACGCACCCCCAAAGCGAGTGAGGCTGAATCCTCTTGAGGTGTTGTGTAAAGCATTTCCTGGACATGGTCGGGATGTACTGGAAAGAATTTATCGGGGTTGTGGGGGAAATGTGGTGCAAGCTATTGAGTGTGTCTTAGAGAACGAGGGACCCGCACCCCTACATGCTCCTATACCTATCATGCCAAACCCCACTCTCCCACCTGTGATTTATTCGGGGTATGCACCCCGCGCTGGAATGTTACAAAATACTGAAAGGTTTCCTCCAGATACTCGCATGGCAGTATACCACAACAACCCGCCCGCACCGCGGGCAAGGCCCAGCCCGCAAGCTCTGATACCATACGCGCATGCGTCTGCCAACAAAAGCCTTGCAGAGGAAAAACAATCGGCGGAAAACGGGACGAAATCGAAATATGAAATGAAGAAAGTCTACTGTACGAACTGTGGACATAAATTTCAAGAAAACGATAACTTTTGTGGGAACTGTGGTCAGAGGCTAACATTCTAAGCCCTGCTTATTGTATCTCTCTAAATGCGCAGCTGTCTTGTTTGTAAACGGTGTATTCTGTCGGAAATGCTGGAGGTTTAATTTGTCCCACCCACCAGAAAAAGGAATTTCCGCCCCCGCAAACATGGCTTTGCTCTATAGATTAACAAATACAGGTTATTTAATTTTCTTCAATAATGTATTTAAGACTCGATTTCCAGTAAAAAACTAATCACCTTGAATTAGCCGGCTCATTCGTGCCAATTTAGTATAATTTCCCAGCAACTGTTTTGATTAGTGTATGCTAGATTGCGTAGCAGGCGCTATTTAGGAGGGAGTGTGAGAGAAACTAGGGGAGGGGGCTCCCCCTAAATAGCGCCTGCTACGTAATAAGTGTGTGTTTTTGCCTCACTGTTGTTTTTCAAAACTTTAGAAAATGAAACGTCGGTCAATCCAGAGATAATCATTGTTGCAGTCACTTCCTGGAAGATTCCTTCTTCCTTGGGGAATTACCCATGTATTAAGCTAACCCTACAATCCACATAAATGATGCGCGGAATCTGATTACTTGGAATTACTGGTCATAAGATAAACAATTCCAATATTGCTTTCAGTACCGTTTTAGCTTGAATTGAAAAAGAGTTTTGTTGAGTGATTAATGTTGTATATTGGTGTACTTGGATCAAAATAGATACGTCATATTAATTTCCAGACGAAGGGTTCAGCAAAGTCAAATTTTGTACACATTTTTGAGGTAGTTGGACCCAATCAACTCTTCGACGCTGCCATGTAACTAGAACCAATACAACACTCAAGCTCAGGTTAATACTTATCTACATAAACATTAATTATTAAGGCCTGCAGTTACACAATGCCGAATTTGTTTGTGACGATATCAACACATGCCAGTAACGACTGTAATGTCTGCTCACAATAAAATTCCCCTTTGACAGTTTCGTCTTATTTTGACATATCAGCGCAATTTCAAGTGCTAAGAGACTATACTCCCGGAAACTCAATGTTGTGCACAACAAGTTGATATGGTATCGTCTAACTCAGGCTTAAAATCTAGTTCTATTGCAATAAAAATAACTAAATGTAATATATTTAAGTCTTATTTTATAGTTTGCTAAATTTGTCAAGCAATCGTTCCGTAGTTGTGCATGTATTGATACGTGACCTCAGGCTATAACAGAAATCTGCCGAAACCTAACCGGAAATTGAGCACTCATCTAATTGCGTGTCGATATTTTACTCACTAAAACACTCTTTTTCACGACAAGCTGAAACATTGCTCAAACAAGCAATATATCTAGAAATATATCTGGTTTTTGATATAAACATTAAATTTTGTGACTGGTATAGTTCCAACTAAACATATTCCATGAACCGGCCTTGATCGAACTTCAACCCTAATTCCTGCAGCAATGCGGAACACGAGTGGTTTCTTCCAAGAAAAAAGTGGAATTTAGTAGGAGTCTTTTTCTTCCTGTAGTCTATTAAAACGAACTGAATTGGGAAGTAAGGCATTTAGCGGCTTGTTTTCAGGCCAGATGGATACGGTTTCTTGCAAATAAATGTTACTTTTTTGTGAGCTCTTTGTGCTGCAAATATAATTAGGGACAAGAGGGGAAAAGGCTGGATGCATTTTGTCAAAAGAGAGACAAGGTAAATCTATTTTAACCGTCCGACTGGTTTTACTCGTAATTTAATACCACTGCATGCAGCAATTTCGTGAGGGATTTGTATGCACGTGGTCGATGTGTAATACATGTGTATGTATGGTTTGGTGTTTTATCAGTTAAATGTTATGAGTATGATAGTTTCACATTAAATACTTGTATATTGTGTTGTTATATGTATTTTCTTTATTAAAACTATTAAACAACGCAGTTGGTTTTCCTCGGAATTCAATACTTCAGCAAGTATTTGCATGTATGAACGTATGGTATTAATTGTGTTTTATCACTTGTTAATTTAACGTTAGCTATGAGCATGATAACAGTTACACATTTAATATTTGTATATTGTGTATACTTATGATTTTTTTGTATGACAGTGGAAATCAATCAGAAAAAGCTCTATTATAATTATTATTACAGTTAGGTAAATTCTTAACATTGAAGTTCAAATTTCAGGTAAAATCCTCCGACATGCACACCCCAACTTCAGATGCTTCGCTACGTGCCTGCTCTCAAGTGCAAGTATATAAGAATGATTAGCACTGCACCCTTTGACAATGTATTAATGATATTTCTACAGAGAATTACGCCATATGCATTAATTAGGACAGTCGAATGAAAGAAACATTAGGGAGTTTACTCTTCACGTTTGCGGGAACGGCAGGTTCGAACTTTCTTGGCAATTGTTGAACGTTCTCGCTTCATATTTTCTTTCTTGCGTCGAAAGAATAATTATGCATTTCAGTTTTAAAACAGCAAGTTCATGAATTTACTCTTTATTGCCTGATACCGTAAAATTTTTCTTTACCTGGCGTTTACCGTTTGACGTATAAAGCGAAGCTTAAATTCTCTATTTACACTGACTGTACGAGAGACGCTTGAACGACAAGGTTATAGAGTAAAAACTACATTACTCCGCTATATATAGACACTAGCTGGCAATGGAAACTGAGTATTATACTGCAATAGTTATACAGTCCTCGAGGGATGAGGCAGAATTTTGTAGCTTTAAATCACACTTATTCCACACCATGTTTTGGAAAGAAAACCTCATTCGGATGGGAGCAGTAAATTGAAAGAGTTCCCATTCGAAAATGAAAGAGTTCCCCAATTCCAGAATTCCACTTAATCCCCCTCTGTCTTTCGTGCCCGCTCAAAAGGTGAAATATTATGCAATCTTCATATTTCTTTTCCTGGCTCATTCTGAGAAGAAATGCATGTAATCTATTTCTTCATTGGAAAACATAATCTTCATCGACTTTTCACCGGTGGACATGATGACATTTCTTCCAATAACTATTTATTTCAGGACAAGTAGATGTTTTTCTACCTCGTTTTGTACCTTGTGCGGCTTGTGCCTTAAGGCTAGGGGTGCTTTCCTTTAACACGACCAAACCGGTCAGAACGGTCAAATTGTTGAATGAAACACAAAACTTTGGGCTTCGGACCTATCTGACTGGAAAATTTTGATAACATTAGAATGAGGTCCATTTTCGCTAGATATTTGAGAAACATAGACCAGATCTTTCCATTGATAACAGAGAAAAGAATTCGTGTCTGACCGGTCAGGCCATTGAATGGAAGCGCGCTAAGTTGCTGAAAAAGTATTTTTCTTCGCTTTCCTCTTTGCACAATATTTTCTTTCTTTTGCCCCCCCCCCCCTCACCCCCCACCCACACACTTTTCGAATGGTCGTCTAAAGGGACGAGTCAAGCGTTTCCGACTGCGAGTTACCTCACCGGTTCAAAACCATGACTACAATATTATGCGATTACACTGTATTTACACAGTATGATTAAAAACATTAACGGAACATTAGCGCAGCGGTAGCTTCCTCCGCAGGCATCGCCTTTAGATTAGCGGGAAAAATTTGCTTGCGGAAGTGAACCACGAGATGCCTGTGAAGGAGGCCACGACAAGGTCAACACAAAAACATAAGAAGCAGCCATGCAGTGTGTAGGTTGTATTAAAGTGTTCTTGTAATATGTTACCCTCGTGAAATAAAGTTTTTATGTTATCTTTATATATTACACAATACAATACAATACATGGTTTGTGTTTGAACTACCTGATAAAAGAACTATACCTGATTAAACTACCAGATTGAACTATACCTGATTGAACTACATGATTGAACTACTTGATTGAACTACCTGATTGAACTACCTGATTGAACTACCTGATTGAACTACATGATTGAACTACCTGATTGAACTACACGATTGAACTACCTGATTAAAGTGTTGTTGTAATATGTTACCTTCGTGAAATGAAGTTTTTATGTTATCTTATATATATTACACAATACGATCAAGGGTGGGTAGTAGCGAAGTAGTTGTAGTTCGCTACTGTAGCGAACTACAATTTTCAAGTAGCCAGTAGTTTTTGACTACTTTTTTAAAACAGTAGCTGTAGTTATGGCGAACTACATTTTGCCTAAAAGTAGCCAAGTAGTTGACTACTTTTCAAACAGCGAATCGCTATTCGCTACTTTTTAAAATTGTTAGCAACTTGATAGAATAGCACAATATTGAGACACGGTTTGCTTAAAATCAATACTTAGTAGTCAATTTGCACGCTTTGTGTTTACTGTTGCTACTCGTAAGTCGATTTGTTATAGGTTACATTTTAGCCTGAGTCAGTAGAGCTCCAAATACAGTAAAACTAAAAAATATAGCGTAGCGAAATAGCGAAATAGTTCGCTATATTTTTTAAAGCAGTAGCTGTAGTCAGTAGCGAACTACCTTTGTTCAAAAGTAGCAGTAGTTGTAGCTGACTACATATTTTTGAAGTAGCTGTAGTTATAGCGAACTACAAAAATTTTGTAGTCAACCCACCCTTGAATACAATACATGGTTTGTGTTTGAACTACCTGATAAACAAGGTGGCACATGTATGACGCACATCATGGCAACTTAATCTCATATTTAATCTGAGGTCAGACGGTTTAACCTTTTTCCTCCACGCTCCGTAGGGTGATTTTCCTTGATCAATAACCTTTTATAACTTTTCTGTCCATGTGGGTGGCTTCGCCTTGCCAAACGTTCAGCAGGTTTAATGAACTGGTCAGGAAACACCCATAGGCGGTAACCACGTAGTATTTTAATGGAATATATACAGAATATTATAATACTACGTTTTGACTAATCTATTGTCATGATCATATTTAATTACATTAATTCTCGAGGACGAGTATAGATCACGTTGAAACGTAAAATTATAATAAAAATTTCCGGCGTTCCCTTAGTAACACCCACTGGCCAGTAATTGACGTACTATTGACTCGTGCAGAATGGCATGTCGACCGATGCCCATGATGTCCAGGCCGGTTTGTAACAATTGTCTGTGGCAGAGTATAGATCTGTAGGTGGTGGCAATAATATGAAAGTTTCGGATTGATAGGGATACAACTACCAGAAAAATACAAGGAGATCTTAGACATTTCGAGGGAATTCGAGCCTTTGCTGCAAACGTCGAATTTTCACTTGTATTTTTGAGGTAATTGTATCGCTAGTATACTAATATATAATTGTCACGAGTGACTGCGCACTTCAGGGTAAAAAGAACTTTATTGACTGCACTCAATGACTTGTGAGTCATGATTTGGTCACAGGGTAACGAGGTGGTATATGTCATATATATATATTTATATATCGACTACATAAAAGACACTTTGATAACTGCTGCGGTTGAGATGAGGAACAGAACATTCGTCCCAATTAATAATATTTGCTATTTGATAGTGTTCAGTGAAACCCGAGATTGTTAGGTATCTCGTCCGATCAGGCTCCACTTTACTGCACATGGAGGGAATTTGAACAAACGTCTTAAAGCATTGCTTCCAGTTCAAAACCAGTCTATACATGTTGAATTCCTTAGTCGAACATATGATACCTCGCAAAACAAGTTTACTCCAGAATTAACCAACGCGGAAGTTGGGCCGGAAGTCGGGCCGGAAGTGGGATGTGCATCAAATTACGATAAACAGGAAACCTACCCACATGTGCCAACGTTGTATTTGCTCACGCTTTGTCTTGACGTCATTGCCACCACAATAAGGTTATACCGGGTTTAAGCAGGTTATAAAACACGTTGGTAGGCAAGAAACCGCAAAACATACGAAAAACACAGTACAGCAACAGCGACAGAAGAACATTGAGAGGGAGTATTGAATGTTTGTGACTTGGAACAAGGTTAGAAGTAAAGTTTTGCTTAATTAGCCTTAGCGTCTGGGTTCCGGTTACAATTTTGGTTAGCGAATAACGAATAATGTCGATAAGTAGATTCTGTATAAGAATTTCAATTATCTAAATATAACATAGGTAATGGGTTGTTACAATATATCCAAAATAACTCATCCAGTTCGATATACGCCGATATACCTAATTTTGGTAATTTTGTGAGACATTCCATGATCATGAGACAGTTCACATCTCTTGCTGTTATTGGTGCAATTTTGTAAATACAAAATTCACATTGGTTGATTTAACCTCGTATTTATACTCGGAAAATACTTCAAATAATAACTGTTTACCAAAACTTGCGCGATCAAATAACGCAGCGTGCCAGCAGGGCGATATGTTCGGGATTGAAAACTGAACAACTCTCGTTGTTCATGAATATTATATAATATCCTACTGATAGTATTCGTTAAATTTAAAAGGAATTAGACTATATAGTACATGTTCACAACAATAGTAAATGTATTATGATGATTTATATCTTATTTGCGCGGTAGATAAAAAGCGACTTTTGAAAAAAGATTACATCAGTAAAAATTTAACTCTGAAAGCGTTAGTTATAAATTAGTATAGTTTAAGATGTTTATATACCTTAATAAAGTTCCCTTGACGGCAAATTTACATCTAATATTAGAATGATACTTTAGTGCTATGCAGTATATGGCACGATTTACCGTGTTACGTCATTTTTCTTAGCTAAAATGACGTAATTTTATGCCACGTTTGTGACAGCGTAGGATGACATAACAATTTTAATCTTATTATAGTGAGTGATATTCCCCATTGGGTATCAAAATTGCCGATTATGCTATACGCATGCTGCTCATGTGACTGACGCGTGATTTGCATGCACTCGGCGAAATTAATAGTAAATACTGTCAGGCACTCAGCTATAAATATATGGATTTGAAATTCAATTAGCGGCTGTGTATGTACTGATCTTACGATGTGTCTGGGCAACAGAATGTGTCTTTTATTGGTGCATGTCATGAAGCCACCATGCATGCCATTCATGTGACTTACCTAAGAGCCAAATATAGACACATTGAACTAAAAAACATGGTGAGTTATTGTTTGTGTTATGTTATTGTGTTATGTTTTCGAGTTTATGTTAATTTGTGCATGGTCACGCTGATTGAGCATTTGAGCTCAATGAATTTTCGTATGATGAAGTAGTCGTCCAATAGGGGATAGCTGAGATGCAACGTGCAGCAACGATGAAGTTAAGACGCAGGATTCGTGCATGGTAACGTACAGTTCAACATCAAACAAAGCTCTTCTATTTTGTGGCTTTGAAATTTGCCAGAACATCATGTTTTGACAGACTAGGTGAAGCCAAAGATGGCGCATATATTCAGAGTCAGTGTCTGCTCTGCAAACGCTTTCACCGCAACAGTTAGGTTTCAGTAAGAATGCCAGCTGCCATTAACCAATCAGATCAATCAATCAATCAAAATATTTAATCAAGATACCTACGAGCTATATACAGGAGGTAGGTCCTTGCAGGAGGATCGTAAGGTTAACCCTATATGGTTAACCCTATATATGCATCAAACGTTATCTTATCAATTATTTCCGCGGTCGTCATGCATTTATCCACTGCAAGGGTGATTAATCTCTGTAATTAACAGATTCAATCTACTTGACTAACCAATCAAATGCGTTCAATCTACTTGACTGACCAATCAGATGCGTTCAATCTACATGACTAACCAATCAGATGCGTTCAATCTACTTGACTAACCAATCAGATGCGTTCAATCTACTTGATTGACCAATCAGATGCGTTCAATCGACTTGACTAACCAATCAGATGCGTTCAATCTACATGACTAACCAATCAGATGCGTTCAATCTACTTCACTAACCAATCAAATGCGTTCAATGTCATTCAATCTACTTCACTAACCAATCAAATGCGTATGAAACCAATGAGAGGTAATGGAAGCCAAATTATCGTACAGCGGAAAATAATCCTTTTCATTACTAATATGCCCAGCGCCAATAAGTACAACTGATTAAGTACTCGCTAATTGAAAATCCGGACAATTAAGTTCAATTAACATTGGCCCTTATTACCGCAAGAAATTGGCAGTTCCGCAAAACACAGTGAACGTGAATATCCGGACCTTTGCAAGCTAACATCGCCAGCGGCTAGCCATGCTGGATGCGAGGCTGCGAGCAAAGCTTGAATAGTGCTACCCATGCTGTTTAATAAGGAAAGAAGTACGCTCAAACCTCGACTACATTAATAGCAACTGACAACTCCATGATTTTACCTAGGAAATGTTTCTTGTCCTTTCAAGTCGATGCAGAAAACATGTTATCACCATCTTATTCTTGATAAGATCAGCGACGATTTCGATAGAGAAATTACAGTTAACTAGCTTAAGGTATAATCAAGGTTAATTACGGTTTAATTACAGAGATTAATCACCCTTGCAGTGGCTAAATGCATGACGACCGCGGAAATAATTGATAAGATAACGTTGGAACAAAATCTGAATCCTTAACAAGAAAAGGAAATCTTGATTGAGGTTGCATCAGCAGTAGCGTAACCGCAGAGCGATTTTGGAACGCTACCATGCCAAGCTGTTTCTGTCACGAAGGCCAACGCCAGCTGACAAGATTCGTTTACACTTTATCCGAATTAAAATTCCATGAATCTCTGTGACCATATTTCAACAATCCATGACCTGAAATCTTGGTAAATAAAGACTAAATATCCATTGGAAACAGCAGTCAAACGTCACATGCAGCAGCATGCACAATTCAGTCTCGCAAAAACACTTACAGCAATTCATGATTTTGTTATGATTATAAATCCATACAAGCACTGGTAAACCACTTGATGACCTTCTTTAATACCCGGCAGGAAATGGAATATACCATAATGCGTTTGGCCAAAACCTCAGGATAAACATGAAGTCATTTTTTATGGTGTTATTGTTACTGTCAAGATTTTGTTGGCATTTCAATCGAGTGAGATGCCAAGAAAATCTTGATATTTACCCATTACCTACACATGGCAGTATCCTAGTATATATATACATGAACGTATGGTTCGAGCTCGACAACTGGCCTCTGTAGCTCAGTTGGTTAGAGCACTGTTCCGGAATCACAGGTGCGCAGGTTCAATTCCTGGCAGGGACCTGTAGTTGCATTTTTCGCAACTGTTTCTGGTTAGGTCTAAGAAATATAGTTCAAAAACTCATTAATAATTCACGAGGAAAATACAAAAGAAATGAATGTTTAATCAATGTTTGTAAATCGGATACAGATTTGTCCTGATTTACATAAACTTCAGCTTTGATTTTCTCGACTTAGGTTTATTTTTAAAATTACTTCGCCAATGAACTCATAAGATGGGTCATTTACGAGATAAAACATTCGCATCCGATCTGTATCTGATATACAAACTCTCGCTCGTGTTTTATCTAGTACTTCTCAAATTCATTAATAATTCATGAGTAATTCAGCCAATGATAATCACCTATTTGATCACAAGATGCCATTTGGATAACCCGGTGAAACTTGATGAAAGTCACTAGTGTTTTCATCAAATATCTTAATTACGCATGCAAAATTACTTCAATAGAATTCCTAATTACTTTACGCTTGGTTAAGAATTCTATTCAAATCAGCAAACGAAAACATTCTGTTACGTCTCGATTCATTTGAGAAGCCATATAAACAACTCGAGCTCGTGTCTCACCGGGATATCCAAACACTCGAAAACAATGTATGAAAACACTCGCGCTTCGCGCTCGTGTTCTCATACATTGTTTTCTCGTGTTTGGATATCCCGGTGAAACACTCACTCTCGTTGTTCATATATTACATAAATGTACCTCTACCCAAACCTACGTTGATACAGACTACTCAAGTTAGAGTTGGAATCTCGCTTTACTGAGCCAAATTTCTACGGAGCATTTCCGTGTTAGAATACATGTAAACATTTTATATGTAAAAATTTTATATATTTTCATTCACTGCACGACCGCGTTTTTTTGCGCCATGTTTTTGCAACTCTTGACGAAGGGCCTTCGCTCGAAACGTCGAGTTTCTGCTTATTTTTTAAGGTAGTAATATAACCACTCAGCACAGCAGTTTCACATTGGTACTACCCACACTGGTACAGACAGTTTTAGTATACGTGTTTTCCCTGCGCATTACCTGCATAAGACAGTGATTTGTAGGTATATAATGCGCAAATCTTAAATTTAAGAAAAAAATGTTAAATTTTCTATCCAATCTAGTCCATTCATCTCACCTGCACGTACAAAACGCGGATGAAAACACAAGTTCCTGGCGGAAGTATAATTAATGAATTAATTGCGCGGGCGCGGAAGTATACCCAAATATAGTAAAAACAGGTGAAGATATCATGATATCTTCACCAGTTTTTATCATATTTGGGTATACTTGACCGTATTTCCGCGCAATTAATTCATTAATTATACTTCCGCCAGGAACTTGTGTTTTCATCCGCGTTTGTACGTGTTAGGTTTGTCAGAACTTAACAAAATATCGAACGTAATAATACGAAACTATGTGGGAGTAATGGACTTTGTCCAAGGTCAAATTGATTAAATTGGATGAAATTCGTGATTAAATTTGGGAAATTTAATGATGAGAGAATTTAAATTAATGAGAAAGTTGTAAAAGTTTGTAATTCATCATGTATTGTGCAGGCTCTTAATGAATTGAACAGCGGAGTTTTCTAGGAGACATAACCATACTCCTTGAAAATTAAATTGTTGTTTTAATAGTGGGTGCTGAGTTGGCACAACAACATTTTTCAGGCAAACAGAATAACATTTTTGGAGCTTCAACTCCTTAAATTTACAGTGAAATAAGATTAGTAAACAAGAAATGTTGTGTTCACTTCTAATACGGTGATAAATCCATATTATGATAGTCTAGGATTGAAGATTCGACCAGATGACAGATGGTGGGCTGAACTATTCCCATCTGTCAGTTTTGGTATTACCGGTAAAAGCAATATCTGCCCACATAGGTATGTGACGGTTTGAACTTGGGTGTCGAATTTACTTAGTTATGTTACTGTCAACGACAAAAATTGCATAAAATCTTCACCTCAAGAACGAAAGGGGTTAGGTAATTACAATATAACATAGTGCTAGCAAGTGCTTCCAAGAGCTCTCTCACGGAAGGGGATGTTCTATGAAGAGGCTGTTGTAGAAACGGAGTTCCTCTTCCTCATAGAGTGAAGGCTATCACAAGTCGACTTCTCTAATTTGACTTCATTACAATAATTATTTCTACATCGTAAGCGAACGACATAGGTACGAGAGGAGTCCAATGAGGGAAATAGGATCCATTCATTTCTCTCCTCCCCTTCAAAAAAGAAGACCAATTGCACTTTTACGTCAAACGTCAAAGTTTACAATGTCAATGAATGAATGACAGCAATATAACTGAAACACCTGTGGCCCACATATACAATATATACAAAATTATTAAAGCTACTTTAAATTTAAACGTCTAAAAGCTACTTGGAGCAAGAAAAAAATATATCAAAGATCTTAGGATTATAAATACTTGATTACAATATCAAATGACTTGTCAACTAAGGTTACCTCCAGTGTTTAATAGTCTTTTATTGTCACATGTAAAATTTACAACACAAACTACGGCAGTGTACATATACAAATGTTGCATAAAATGCTACAAGAAGTGGGTGGTGCTACTCACAGCATGAAGTGCTTTCAAGTTTCAAGGGCGATACGGAAGGGGATGCATGTAGTCTACGAGTTCCCCCTCCGCTATTGAGAATGGTAGTGATTTTCAATACCAGTTGTTGTAATAACACATTACACATGAATCATGTGAAGTAGCAATAATACATCGATGAGGATGAGAGTTGACGAGCTTGATGAGAGTTAGCAGTTCATCAACTCTCATACCTTACTCATTCGAGAACAAGAGTTGTATGGGGGCTGAAACGAGTACAAAGTCTCATCAACTCTCATCGAACTATAGCTTGATCATGAAATCGACGGGGTTTGGCGAGAGTGGATGAGTGAGTGCATGGGAGTTGGTGATGAAAGGCGAGCGAGCAAGTTGCAGCACTCATTCATCAACTCTCATCCTCGGAAAAGCTGCTTCAAGACATTGTGACTCAGTACTGTCTAAGATCTCCGGATTTTCCGGAAGGGATTGAGAGGCAGCAATGTATTGAATGTGTGGCAATAAGCACGGTTTCTGATCAAGGAAGATTGTATTATGATACTTATGATATGCGGATCTTGACAAATGACATGTATCTACCAGTCGAGTGATGTGGATGTGCCTAAGTCTAAGAAGCAAGGCATGCCAGACGAAACATACTGTTCACAGGTAGGATTGACTGTTCAATAATATAGTTAAACTGTCGTAATTTGTGATTGGACTGTCTGTCTTTTACTTGTTACGATAAAAGATTAAATACATTCGGAGATTTTAAGCAGTATAATTAATTAACAATGTGTTGATTGTTGAATCTTCTAGTTCACGGCACCTACAGCGATACTTTGGAGATATCAAATTTTGTCGGACCTACTATATCTTACTAGCTCTAGGCTAAAGCTATAATTGGATATAAATTCTTCTCAATTTTAACAACAGAAATTCGGTTCGCGCTAGAAAATGAGAAGAACAGACTTCCAGGCCTTGATGTCTGGGAATTTTTGGCACACATATGGGCGGAAGTTCGTGACGTCAAAACTGCAGTGAATAAGTGATCATGCTCGCCCACTATCCTTACAAAAACATCATACGCCTTCGCCTGACAGCATGGATACAATTATTCGATATGCATATTTCGCCACAGTACAACCTAATGTGACGCCTCCTCACGGTCATACAATGCTCAAATCTAATTCACTCCAGTTGTTTAGGTCTTTTCAAGATCGTGACAATTTCTATGCCGGATTAAGGCTCCTCACGTGCAAACTTCCTAAGAGTAATGCCAACAATTTTTAGCTAACTTAAATATTTCTCTCCTAGAGGCTAGAGATGCTTAAAATTCCACGGACACAGACTATGTTTGCCTACAGGTTCTACAATATACATAAAAATTTCGTTGAGACACATTGCGGAAATATACAAGCAGGGTTAAATTGATATAATAATATGATGTGTGTTGTGTAATACTGCAATGTATTAACTGTCAGCCTCGTCACTGACTACTTCAAGTTCCATTCCGTTAGGTCGTGAAATTGTCCAGATCACGGAAAGCCGGGGCACCAAAGTTTTCGCTACTTAACAGATATATCTCGGGGCTGATCGAGTTAACTTTATTGCAAAATATATCACTACATAATGAAATGAATATAATTATATGCATAGATACATACAATTGGCTAAGTCTTTACGTGTACAACAGAATACATATTACGTTGTTCTGATGGCGATAGAAGAAGTTAAGGTATTCAGGAAATTCCAATGACCTGCGTGGAATATAGCCCACGCCGAGAGGTTAGCCTTCGTGTTTAATGAACTACACGCCTCTGCATGTGGAGGATATATGCATGCGTACAGATCGCCTAGCAACGATCTTTATCTTTCAATGGCTGGGATACCTCAAGCGATTTTCGTGCTTCCATCAAGCTATCGTAGGTGCAGCTAATTAGGAAACTCTTTGAAACACAGAGCAGGTTCCTGCCTCCTCCGCAGGCCCTTACTGTTTGTAGATCAGTGTATATATAGACATATCAGTTTAATATATAGATCAGTGGCTGAACAAATCTGTTGTGATCCATCGTCCCGCGCGCCCCCATTAATTTTCGTCTTTTACTAATTAATTATTTGATAGCAAGCGACTGGGGACGAGGCAGGAGCAGGTTCTGTTGTCTCCGGAAACCTACCCTGCATAATAGCAGACCCACCCTGCAAAGCAGACAGTCACGAGGGTTAGGATATAGAAGTCATTAAACACGGATCCAGAATTGCGGAATTCTATTCGTTCACCTGCAGATATTATTCTGGAATGTCTACCATACAGGCTAGCGGAACATGCCGCACTCAGTACTTTCAGCTGTTGGTGTGAAGGATGTAAAACAACCTTCGCTTCAAGCTTCGATACTAACTTCCTGACGACTTACGCTTAAACTGCTTATATTTTTCAGGTTGTTGTTATTATTAAATATTGAATAATCTTCCAAAGGATATTAAGACAAAATCTAGCGTTAATTCCTTTTTGCCCTTAAAACTATTTCTTAGAATTCCAAAGTAGAATCAATCTTAGAATTCTAAAGTAGAATTAATGACTTTGTATATATTGTATATGAGGGCCACAGGTTTTTTAGTTCTATTGCTGCATGTGTTTTTACCCTTTTTCAGTTGAATAAAGTTGTTCATTCATTCATTGTTCATCTTTCACACCACCTGTCTGTTCTCATCTCTACCTTCACAGACCGTTTTTTAAAACTCCATAATTTCAGCAATAAAAATAGACTGACTACTCAACTTAATTAATCAAATAGACGCATACTCAACTTCATTTCATACAACTACATAATCACATTACATGTTCATTATTAGTTTAACTTCGTTCCCAGGACCTTCTGGTGGATGAAAGTTTCATGTCTTTCAGATTGTAATAAGCAATAGGAGTATAGGGCATCCCTTTAGGTTAAAAAACCAATGAAAGTGTATCTACAATCGATCTTTAGCAGACAAAGACACAATATTCATTCAAAAGTCTTTGTATCAAAGTTTGTTTAAGCATTGTAATCACAGGAACCGTATATTGTCAACCAGCCTTGAGATAATTAGAGTTTAAAATATAAGCAGTGACTCCGAACAACATTTTGATTTTTAATCGACGTTAATTTCGACCAGTTTGTACTCATACTCAGGATTAATAATAGTGCAAAATTACACTATATATTATTAATCCTGAGGATGAGTACAAACTAGCCAAATGTTATTCGGAGTTATTGTTATTTGTATTTTCTTAAAATACTGAGTGGTTCCCATAATAATTATTGTTCAATACGGAAATATCGAGAGGTGCATTGTGCCAACACCCCAGGTAGACTGAAGTGTTCAGAGATGCATTCATTTGGGGCGCACCTTAAATTACATAACTTGACTTGTTGTGGTCTCCGACACCGAGTGTGTGGTTCCCACTCGGATATATCAGCATGCATGGAAGGAGGTGAACAACAGTGCTCTACAATTCCTGCAATGGCATGAAACCACATCAACAGCCATATAGCGAGGGTGTGATCAAGACACTCGGATATACATGTGTACAAACAAGTGTTCCAGCGCGTATCATAATTTATTATATACACAAGGTCTGGATATGAGGTATTCTGCAATCTGATTGGTTCTCTACTAGCAGGATATTAGCTCATATCCTGCTAGTAGAGAAAAACAAAATGGCGGCCAAACTGAATTTACGATGTTTTGCAAACGAGAAAACGGCAAGTTGTCGCTTTTTATAGCCTTCACAGGATTAAAAACACAATGAAAAAACTCCCACAAATTGTTTTCAGGTTAGCAAATAAATTTTTAATATTTGAAATGGTTAAAAATATATAGTTTTGAAAAAATAATCGGCCGAAAGAGCGAAGATAAAAACATAAACAAAATAGAAAAATATTGAAAATATTCGAAAAGCAAAGTCTGTGAATTCAGACCTTGTGTATATAATAAAACAGTTATTCCACTCACTCTCGTCGAATATGTGCGATAGCCGATTCGGCGCTACGCGCCTCATCGGCTATCAGCTCATATTCGACTCGAGTTCGTAGAATAACTGTTAAATATTATGCATGTATTATATGATATGAATTATTAATGATTCTGACATATTTACTGACTAATAATATGTGATGTATGTACAATATAGGTGCATGGGCATGCTTTCAAATGTCGAATGCCACTAGTGCCAGCTATAGTTTCACAATCCACACATTAGAGCAATATGTAGATGTATAATATTTCCTAACTCGTGTTTTGGTTCACGAAATGCTAGAAAGTGCGAATAAATATATACTATTGCTGTATCGAATCAAGGCAGCCACCGACAGCTGTTTCATCCAATGAAGGAAACATGAGATGGCGAAAGATTCCTTCGTTTGGATAAAACAGGCTGGGTAATGGCAACCATGAGGTCAACTATATAATGTTTCATCATTCATTTATCAATTATACATATATTTATCAATATTATAGAGAAATTAATAATCAATAATAACAATCAATAATTAACAGCATAGACAATATGTGTATATTAATATTATATAAATATACTTGATCAAATTTCTTGAGTCGTTCCACAGTATATTTTATTATGCTTCGGATCACTGGGTATACAGTAAAATGAAATGCTTTTATAATCTATACTAAACTGATTACGTTTTCTTAAGTGTAATCTAAGTTCTCATATTTAATATACAACAAGAATATTCCATCAGTTGAAAGTATTCTAAACAATTTCGTGTCACTGAGGAACAAAGAATACATCACAAAGAGGAAACAAATTACAATGTCAGCCTTGTATAATCAAAGAAGCAACATTCTCATGACAGCAAACACGATTGATTGAATTCGCTGCAGCATATCAAAGAGCGAAAACAAAGAGAATGACGTCATAATGACGTCATATTGACGCAGAGGATGGCAAAATATGCAAATTGCTTTGCTGCTTTATTAAGCATTATCATATACAGTATATGTATACATTCAATTATGAAAAAGCTTTTAAAAATTGCAATATATTTATGACTGGCATATATATAAGTATTGTTATTGGTTCCGGAAAGTACACATTCTTTTCTACTCGGAAATGACACGGTCGGGCTGAACAAAAGGTGTTTAAATATTAACCGCTGTGACATCTTACTTCACGTCATTTTAGAAAGGACGAAAAGATTTGCTGAAAGTTCTACAACAATAACAAGAGTACAATCATATACAGTAATACAAGTTGAAGACTGAAGTTCACAGACCTACATGAAGGAAGGCGATAATTTAAGGTAGGAAAAAGTTGCCATGAACGAGCGACTATTTTTACGGCACGGCTAAAAATGGCATCCGTTATACCAAATTTAGCGCTGCTTATAGCGAGTAAACGCTTTGAGCAAAGCGTTGAATGGAAATGCCATTTCTATCAGTGCCGCTGTACTAAAATTAATCTAACTGGGCCTTATACGAGACTGAAACAGTCACACAGTTGTCAGACACATTTTATACTTATATACTTATCACTTCACGGACAGTATTAACACTTTTACGACTATTTTATCTACAACACAAACATACATAAAATCAACAATTATATTCATTGTATACATATATACACACGTTTTTGATAACATTATAAATAATTGACTAACATATTGTATATTTGTTTCTTGAAAATGAAATGTTTATTAATTAATCAAAACGTATATATGAAATACTGCATGTTTTTAACCTTGTATAGCCTTGAGGCTAAAATATAGTTGATCTGTAGTTAATCCTATATAGTAGCGTGCGCGCAGTCTCATCACAATCAAACCATATGTCAACACAATAATCCTATAGACGATTTGAACAATCTAAACGTATTTGTGCATTGTGACAAAAAGATGGCAATCCGAAACAGCCCACATGTCCTTATGAGAACGAGGAAATAAATGCAAATACAGCAATTGTACCACATTATACTTATTTTCACTATAATTATTATCACATCTTTTAATATTAAAATATAGCAATATTAATCAGTTGCTCCAATATAAGAACATATGAAAAATATTTTTCATTACATTTTCTATAGTACACTCACCCCCCCCCCCCCCTCCGAAACAGAACGAATTCACCCTAACTGCAAGATGTATGCAAGATGAGGGGGTGGCTCTCATTGCGGTTAGATTATTTACCGTAACGTATTTCCATATATGTCAAAAGAATCTAATATCTATAACCGAGATGTCTGCTTGGGATAAATATTCTAGAGTATAAAATATCGTAAAGGTCAAGGTATAATCTTTAGAATGTCAGCAGGAAATGAGAAAAATAACCATAGAATGTCATTATGAAATAATTATAAAATTAAAAAGCATTTAAATGAACTTGTATGACTTTTCCCAAACCACAAAAATAATTATATTACCATTTACGGTGGCTTCAGTATTCTAGCAATAGAAATAGTTTCTATTGATTGTATGCATATATTAACTGTATTAAATATAAGCCGATGCACGCGGAAACGACGTTGTTCAAAAGTTTCCTCAAAATCGTTTTTTAATTGAGAGCAACAATCTGTCAGCTTGTTTTATTCTCAGATTCTCAGCTCGATTAGTTTTTCGTATTAAAAACTGATAATCGTAACGATTCTGCAGCAAAATTTTTAATTTTCAATGGATTAGTACACTAGCTTCTTTCAACCAGCAACCAGCAATTCCAATTCCGTTTTAACCCACTTGGCGCGCGGACATAAACCAAGCAAGCCACATGTGCCCTGGCAATGCACCTTAATCTTGTTATTTTACTCTGTCTAATGAAGACGACTTTACTCGTCTAGAGAAACAGCTGCACGGACATTGGTTTGCCAGATTATTTGTCTATGTCTTACCAAACTAAACTAAACAATTTTGCTATTTATTGATACCTTTGTCTAACGACAGTCGATTTTTCAATTTCGTTATACGCGATTTAACCATAATTTGTTCTAATGCGCCCTAATTTGTTATTTTCCTGTGTCTAATGCCAGATAATTTTACTAATTGAGGGGAATTGCTAATTGCATTACGTGTAATTAGGTGCCAATTAATGAGCTTATCCAATTTTTAAGAGTATTACATCAACACGCGCACATAACAAGACCACAAAAATATTAGCACTACGGTAGTTCGTGCAAAAATCCGCGTACGTGGACTTGAAACTCAAACGTATTTCTGGAACTTGGAATTTTTGGAATTCGATGAACGTTATTGGACTTCAACAGTACAGTATGCGAGCAAATATTCCTACCTCACGTTAGAAATGTCACACTGCACGAAACAACTTCATCATCCACACATATTTTGGTCTTGACAAAATCTAAATAAATTATGTTAAAAAATTTGTAACGAGCCATGATACCAAAGAATAATATCATCTTGAAATTAACTCAAGATATGGTTTAGAACAAGACGAGTTTTTGAAACTGTAAAATGCAATCATCGGGAATCGTGGATGTGTGATTATTAACCTGCGATCAGGCATTTGCAAAATAGAGCCTGATCTCAGGTTATGTGATTAAGGCGATGGTAACTTTGAAATAGTCGGAAATTTACATTGTCTTGCATTGATTCACATCTTCATTGGTTTAATTCCTCAAAGTCTGTAATTTAATCCAGTAATTTATAAGATGTCATATGGAATTGGGAAACTTAATCCAGTAATTCTATACGAAGGCGTTTCTGAGAACGCTTAGGAAGAAACTGAGCTCCGCATTAGGGAGTTTACGTACGTAAGAAGGCGACGTCAAGATGACGGCCATCAATAGTGACATTAATCCTATAGCACAAAAGAAATAATTAAAAGTCTAGCAGGGTTTTCAGACGTCGTCCAATCTCTATTGACGACAGAAAAATGCATATTTCACGTCTCATATGGTACTCAAGCATTTCAAGCCGTGACACATGGTTTTTCTTGCAGAGTTGATGAACATTTCTCTGAAGGTTAAAGCTCTGTTTTACTTATTGGAAACTATTTTAAATTCATACGAAAATAAATACATGATTGCCATACAATCATTTATTTCAAACAGTTTTTTAGCCGTCGTCCTGACGTCTCCCTCTTACATGCGTAAACACCTTAATATTTCATCGTCATCATAAATCATCATACAAAATTTAAAATAGTTTAAAAACCGTTCCAGTATTTCCGTATGCAAAACAGGCTATATACCTCAGGGCTGTACGTGCGAATATTGATTCATACATCGTCTTTACATCGTCACGATGCCAATCAAGTACATGTTAATAATAAACTATTCAAAGAAGGTCAAGTTCACGACATTGACAATCTTGTAAAGTTTTACAATCTATCATTTTTGGCGTAGCGAAACTTTCAATTTTCAATCGACTGATAGATTTGTTCCAGTCTTTTTGATTGAAAAACGGCATTGATCGACGCATTAAAAATCTTCGATTCTTAAGACCAGATTGATAGGAACTTTTCATATCGTGAGTGGGCGTGTGTGAATGTACAAGATGTTACTTGGCAACGTAATTTGTCAAGGTCAAGGATTGACGTTCAGGACCCAAATGCGTATTAGAAATTCAAAAAAAAAAGTTATTGACTTCCAAACACTTGAATTGATTGCGCATTTGTTATTTTGCATTCTTTGGGAAGATGGAAGCTTCCAGCTGGCCCACAGGTTATGCTATATTATACAATGCCTACAGTATAGATGAGAGAAACATAAGGATTAATGGGACTTCACTCTTCTTCACACTAAAACGCTGAAATTCTAAGATTACTAAAAGCTGGCAAATGCAGATGTTGTACATATCATGACTCAGTTGATTCGTCATGCTGACATGCTTACTAATATTTACGCAATGAGTATAAGCTCTGTAGAAACCTAATAATATAATTACTCCATTGGCTAAGAGTGCAAGTCACTGAATTAGGTTCTGCATAATTTTTTCATGTGTAATTCAGTAATAGTATAGTCTTTCGTCCATTTGAAAAAACTCTCGTAAGTTTTCCAATGACTCGTGCAATTTGAAAAACTCATTGGTGAATGGTGTTTTCCATGATGCCACTCAACACCATATTTACTGTCACCTATAAAACATCGTTTCACACAGTGGCGGCGCCACGGGGAGGACTGGGGAGGACACGGCCCCCCAGTTCTCTTCAAGGTCAATTTTCTAATTTGTCCAAATCCGGTGAGAAAAATGGGGGGAGGGGGGTACGTATGTGACATCAGTCCAGTTATGTGAATAAAAACCGGTATTAAAAGATTTACTTTTGACAAAAGACCATTTCATTATTTCATATATGCGGTATTTACCATTAGCATAGTACAGGCGCTGATTTCGACCGCCGAAGGAAACCATAATGGGTTAATATATTTAATAATAAAATTATGTTGACTTCAATTTTCACATCAAAGTAAAGTCAGTTTTTATATATACGTATATAATCATGAAAATATCGTGTGATTTGTTCACTTTATAATCTTCGGAATTCTGTATAATCTTACCCTGAAAATGCAGGAAATCGTTTTTCAGGGAGTCTAGATTTCAAAAATTTTCCGGGGGGGCATGCCCCCGGACCCCCTAGAAGTTCCTCGCGCCTTTGCCGCTCGAAAATCCACCCCACTTTTAAAAGGCTGGCGCCACCACTGGTTTCACATGCAGTATATGGGAAGTTTTTTATTCAAATCAAGATGTGATGAGGAAGAAATTTGTGTACATGGGAACACTTCTTTCCTCCATGTTTTCATAGGAGGCAAGAGAAGGTCTGCAACAGATCTCACCGACAGATTTCGTTGGAAGCAATTCTTCTAGCCTGCGTTGCCGGCGTTTTATGAGCCCTCATAAAACGCCGGCAACGCAGGCTACAATTCTTCGCGATCAAACGAGGTTGAGAGTAAATGAGAGTAAATGAGAGTGGATGAGAGTAGACAGTCACGTTACGGGGGACATTTCAAACTCTAGATGAACAAAATAAAGGTGTGATGGGTGTTCCAACTATGTTTTAACTTCAATAGAATACATGATAGTGTTGGGAAAACATTAAGAACAGCTAACCAAGCTCGCGTGACTCTCACGTAGTGCACTCTCATTCTAATTCATCCGGGCTTCACATTCCATTTCCCATACACCCTGTTGATAGCGGTCAGAAAAAATTTCTTCCGCTATAAACGCATGTTTAAATACATTACAGACGTGCCCGGTGCATTTCTTGACCGTAATTTTAAGAAATTGAGAATTTTGCAAGCGTCCGAAATAAAGTCAAGATTTTATGAAAATAAAAGTGAAAATAAATAATAAATAAATAAGCATACTATAGTTTACCATGTATAATATAGATATATATTACAGGACCTCCCTGAAACACTTCGGTGAGTGGAGCCTCCTGAATAAATATTATTATTATTATTATTATTTATTAAAGTGAGATGAACCAGTGCTTTATTTCACATTCAGTAAAGGAACGCAAAAAGCTCAAACGAAGAACAAAATATGTCCTATTTTCATTTTGCCAGGAAATGCGCCCACATTGTGCCAGCTCAGAAGCTGACCACAAGATATACATCGTGACAGTAAATTCCAAGCAAATATAAGCAGTATTTGTCGGGAATATTTGTTGAATAAGCGTGATTAACACTTGACCACATTAATGCATGTGGACCGATATGTATATATGACATCAGCAAAATGTGAACCAGTTAAATACTAGCAAAACAAGTATAGAAAACGTGACCTGTACTTATAAGTTAAACACTTTGGATCACGTAGAAACAACGTTTGTAACGACGAAAGCATCTATTGCAAGGGAAGAAATTATGTCATTGCAAAGGTAAGTGTGAAAAATTGATTAGATATACTGTATATATATTATATACACTAGTGTCAAGGCTGAATTGTACAATTTAAGAAAGTGAATTTTATAACGGGTAATGCACACGTGAATATTATGTACATTAATATACACATAAATAAGGCCAAGAGTAGGCCTATATTGAGACTCGTATTTAAAACGTGACATTGCAGCGTGGGCATATTTACTTGACAACGATACAAAACACGAGTGTACAAATTGTTTGGAAAATGACATTATTGAATTGACAACTGACTAAAAACTACTGCACAATTATTGATATGTTGCTTTTGTGTTAGTATATCTGTACTTTTAGAAACAGCTGAGGCGTGACAGAAATACAACTCAATACTTGATAAACACCAAGCTGAGAAGGTCGACGTCTCGAGCGAAGGCCTAATTTGTCGGTCAGGAATTACTAATGCCTGACGAAACGACAAAGTTCTGCAACTTCTGCTTATTTTTTCAAGTAGTGCATCAGTCTGTCTCGTAACGCAGTTGTAGTGTTATCGTCGCACTATTAAGCTTCTTACAAAAGCGTGAAAGAAATTCTTTCTCTTCTTTAAGACTGATATAATGTATGCATATAAATATCGCTACGTGATTATAAAAACGTGTTTCAGAGTTGAAATACTATAATTATATATAGACTGAGCTAATTCCGCGTTGCAAGGACTTAATGATACAGTAACTATAGATGTGATTGGTCAGTTTAAACAACCGTTATTTTCATTTGCGTCATTTGTTCATGAAACGTGCGGAAGAAGGCAAGGTCGTTTCAAAAAACAAGGTCGGCCTTCAGTCAAAGAGTATCGGATGTTTTACAGTAATGAATGAAAACTTTGAAATGAAACTGCGCAGTTATACAACTACAAGATTTTTTCAGCATAAGACTAGCTAAAAATATTGTATAATACACCCTTCCGAGAAGTACGTCATCTTGCCCATACAGCCTCGTTTTCGTGATTAAGACATTATGACATACACGAAAACGAGGCTGTAGCTTATATACAAAATGACGTAATTTTCAGAAGGTTGTATTGTGATCTTTCACTAACTTTGTGAACTTTTAACCTGAAAACTGAGCGAAAAGGCAACAGGAATTACCACCATACTCACGCATTAACAATAAGCAGATTATCTAAGTGATGCTTCACACGTGAAGTGTTAAAGATGATGAATGCATTGACTTTTTAAACGTCATGCATGCCAATTCCTGAATGAAAATGATTTGTTTAAAAATCTTTTCTGCGCGGTAAAAACTAACTAATATTTTGATTGAATAATGCCTAACTTTAAATGTAAAATGTAAACAGAACCTTCGGATTTAAAAAAAAAGTTAACAGACGCCGGTACTTGTGATTACAGTATTTGCGTGATGTTTCAGTTCCAGGAAGACGAGATTAGGGACAATAATCTGGGACTCACGTCATACGCTGGCTGCGATTAATTTCGTTGTGCGACAAAAGCAGATTTGAATCAATTCAAAGAACACAAGGACACGTTGTCTCCAGTATTTAAAATTTTATCAATGGTTTTGTCGCACAACGAAATTAATCGCAGCCAGCGTATGACGTGACTCCCAGATTATTGTCGCTAATCTCGTGTTCCTGGATTTAAAATTTTATCAATGGTTTTGTCGCACAACGAAATTAATCGCAGCCAGCGTATGACGTGAATCCCAGATTATTGTCGCTAATCTCGTGTTCCTGGAATCACGCAAATATCGAATCACAAATACCATGCATCTCAGTGTTATTTCTTGAAATGAAATTACTTGCTTCCGAAACTATCACGAATCCCGGTAGTTTTTACTACAATTTTCATCCTATGAACAAGTTTGGATAAATTCCATGTCCAAATTAAGGAAACATAGAAACAAAGTTATGTAATGACGAATTCTCCCGAGTTCGAAAGTAATACAGAATTGGCGAGGCAATCTTCCATTCATATTCATATTGGGTAATATAACCACTGGGCAAAAGACACGCAGACGCAAAAGGAAACAGATTTGTTACATTTTTCTTTAATTTAAATCAGTCAGCCCAGGCACTTAAAAAGGAACGCGCAAGAGGAAATCGCGCTCAGCTGTTATATACAGATCAGTGGCTGAGCGCGCGCCTTTCTACAAAGAGACCTGGGAACAAGGCTGAAAAGAAGTCTTAAACCAATCTCGTTCCCAGAGTTCGCGGGTTAGGTAGTGCCATGCAACCCGCGAACAGGCATACTCTGGGAACGAGATTGGTCTTAAAGCAGGCAGTCTGAGTCCTCGCATACCAAACTGGACTTCAAGTTATAATCTGTGGGGGTCCAACGTTGGCGACGGCGACCAATAAGAAATTGGTTGAAGATTTCTCGACAACCACTTCTTTTGAAAAAAAACATGTACTTCTTGCCGTTTCAAGAGAAGGTACTTCGTCAGTACATCTTAAGAAATATGTATGTGAAGAAATCTTCCGAAAATCTTCCAGTTAAATTCAAGCGACTCAATGACGAAAACAAAGGTTCTATAGCCGTGTGGTATGTTTTCTGTGATTTCACTGACTATTGCTATATTCGGCTTGTTTGTAAAGAATGATAAGTACTTTTAAGAGGCAAATAAAGTTAAGTAATGTATTCTTTGGCTCGAATACAAAAATGCGAGTAATTGTGTTTTCTGATGTTGCCGGTATTGGTTGCCAAATTCTCTAATGGCCGATCGCCGACTGTTGTGTTGAATTCCGTTTGTATTAAAGGCGAACCTACTATTGTTTGCACACAATCGTTACTAAATATGATTTCATCGCCATCGCCCAATTTCCTGCTGCGATATACAAAGCGTATAGTAGCGCAGCAACAAACATCTATACATAGAAGAGTCCCATTTCCGGAAAACTTATCAATAACTCCCACATTCTCGGACCAGAATATCAGAAATTCTTTGTCTTTTGTTTGTCCACTGGAAACAATTTAATTATCAGAACAATGCATTCGAGTAATTAAATATCCTGGCCTTGGCAACTATATTGTTGTTCCCTGAGGTGTAATGAATGATAGTAAAAAATCGTACTCAGCCGACAATGACGACTATTCTGGAAGCATTTAAAAAATGTATGATATATGATATAGTACATTATATAAAGATTTTAGATTTTCAATTTCCACTAAACACATTGACGCTGATGACCTGACCGGAACGCGAAGAGAACGAATTGTAGTTGGTACGTATCGGTAGAGAGTGTACTCTTTTGTTTTAACTTGTTTCTTAATCTTTTGTTTAAACTTAACTCCGTTTCCTTTGCTAAATTCTCCACCAGAATTAGATAAAATAAACTATAATCACTATGAGCAAGCATATAGATCATGTTACATATACGTAGATAAAACTGAGTTGCTTTTAAACTATTTTTTTCATTTGAAGAAAAGAAAGATAAGTCATTATTAGGAGACAAGTAATCTTCTAGTTGAGCATGCTTAAAAATACAAGTTTGATAATCTGTTGAATCTGATGTCGTTACCCGTCAGAACTTCTCAACTATGACATGTATATTCGAAGAATGAAAAAATCTTTTGGCGTTAGAACAGTTTCCATGCCTAAGTGGGATAGCACCGGAATATTTATCCAAGTGATTTGTGAGGAGGGCAAACATTAGCTGCTACAGGACGATGTACTCTGCGTCCAAGCAACGTCGTCATTAAGTCTCTTCCGGAGAACATCTAGTCCATCGATCTATAATTTTCAACTTTGATTAACGAAGACAGTATAGACGGAAAGTTCCTTTGGGGAAGACTAACAACCAATTTGTACAATTATAATTTAAAGTTTCAACAATCCAAATATAGCTTTGCGTAATAAACACCGTTTTACATTAAGCCGTTCCCATAATTATAGTATCATGATATTGTATGTAATTGGTTTGAAAAAAAAAACCTTTTAGGGGAGAGTATTGTATTTCTGTTGAAACATTACACGACCGGCAAACGCGTGCTATAGGTGTGGCAAGGAATAAGGTTGTTTACGTGAAATTGTCACGTTTCTGGAAAACTACTTGGAGTGTTTGGTTACGTCGTCTACGGGCAGAAACAAATAACATTAATCTAATTGTTGTTTGTTTTATGTTTCCATTACAACGCAAACAATAACACAGTATGTAAGATAAAAAACACATACCGGTAATATTGAGTGCAGCGACATGGATAATATCACGCAATTAAGTGTACACTTCAGACAGAAGACATCCAAGTACAACCAAGGTTACTAACTGACTCACCCAAAAAAGGAATCTAAAAAAATTAATGAATATAAAGATTGAAAGGGACTAAAGGGTATTAAAACTTTTAAATTGAGCGCATATATTGAGTCTTGAGACTTAAAGTCTCAGTCTATATATAGTGTTTCTCAAAACACAAGCGAAAGTAATGTAGTTATACTTTAAATCTTACTTCACCCGGAAACTTTATAAACTATTGGGCTTTCAATAGTTCCTGTCAGTTAAATTGTAGTAAATGTTTTCCTATCTCTAAGGCAACTCATTTTTTCTATTCCCACGTAGTTTATACTTGTCTGAATGAACAGTAAAGATAAATCAAATTACGTTCCAAGACTGAAAAAAATATAATTAAGTTTTATCTTCCTGTATATAATGCATAGTTCCTCATTATAAGAAGTCTGTATATATATGAAGAGTTCCTGTGAGGAAGACTCAAAACCATTAATATTTTCTGCTATAAGAACCTGATAAAAACCAGCTTATTGGAGATAAGAAATCTTACTTAATATCGGTACAATTTAATGCTACTATACTGAAGACGTAAAGACAAGGTCCTCGGATACCGTGGCAGCGTTGAGCACCGAATTCAATCTTCAATATCAAGAGGTTTGTATAAAAAAACATACAAACATTCAATGTATTTATTGTTACGAACTTTTAGCCATTACATATATTCAATTGAAAATTTCAGAAGTTTCGTTGTATATATGCTTCTTTATTATACAGAAGAGAGTGAGATACTAAAAAATATACAGTGAGATATTTTCCATGTCTTCACTGGTGAAGATATCGATCACGTCGTGAAATTTCACAATTTTTTGCTTGGGACTATATATATATAATAAACAGAACATTACTCGCGCCGCCGTGTAATATCCTCTATATATTAGAGGTGTTATAGCACAAATAAGAAATTTAACTAAATGACTCTTTTATTTCTTTTTAATCACAAAATAATTCACTCTGATATAAAGTTGAACACTCGGTTGAACACCATCTGATCTGTATGCTTAGTGCGGTGACCTCTATATGTCTGGAGCAAAACATTTCTGCACACTTCTTCGTGTTTACCGCGCAGACAAAAATAGTACAAAGGGAGTGGAACTGACGTCCAAGAACTCTTGGTCATCTTGCCTTCATTTTCTGGATTCGACTTTTCACTCCAGTTATATACATGTAGTTCACTGGGAAGATTTTCCCACGATGTATACTTAAATGCACACGATGGGTGGTATAGCATGAGATCATCTCGCATTCTAGAAACAGTTGTACTTGCTTAAAAACAACAACACTACGTGCAGTATGAAATGCATGGGGAAAAGGCGACATGTCTCATGCCAAATTAGTAGAAACCTTATGATGTACAACCATAGGACAAACACATGACGGCTTCACTATTACATACATACATACATACATAGACTTTATTTTCTCACGCTGGCCCCAACCGAACCTTTCGGCTGATTTCCATGAGGGGGCACACATAAACTATTTACAAAATACTATTTACATTGTCAAATTGCATGGCTAACAAGCCAGTTTCAACTCATTTTTGTTTCAAAATCGTTTTGAAGTTTCAACTCATTTTTGTTTCAAAATCGTTTTGAAAGAACCTAAGGAATCAGCCTGACACTTACAACTTAAGGAAAGAAAATCCCACAACAAGACATTCACTTTGCTCTGTTTACAACAGCACAGACTAAACGTCGTGTACGATGCCTGGATTTCAAGTGAAGAAACTGTATGAAATTCAAAGGAAAGCTTCGGATAGGGATGCAACTACCTGAAAAATATAAGGAGAACTTCGACGTTTCAAGCGGCGAAGTCGTTAATTCGTTGGGAAGTAGCCAACTACGAACTTCCCGATGAAGTGCCTTTGCTAGACACGTCGAAGTTCTCCCTGTATTCAGTTTCAGGTAGTTGTATCATTAATCTGGAGCTTTCTTCTTATTGCCACTGCATACACTGGTACAGACAGTCCATGAAATTCATATGATTGACAATTCTCGATTAGTCTTCTTTTACTGGCAATCATCTATTTCGTACGCCAGGCATTAAAATAAGTGTGTGATTTTGACCGCACTTTGTGTCGTTGTGAATAGAAAATCTGTACTAGTACATTGAAATGTGTGTTTCTGACAAGAACGGGTAAAAATCTTTGTATACTGACAATTAACATATCACCTCACGATTCATTGCCAGGATGTTGGAAAATTGAAAATTGTAAAATTGATAGTGAAATCGAGTATTATCCTTCGGTAGACAAGCTGTCTCACAAAACAGCACTCCAAATCGGCTAAAATTGCCATGGCACAATATGACAACCTTTGCTTAGGCCCCTTCTCAAAAATGATTACTGAACTACGCTGCTCTTTAATTACAGCCATATTTTTCAATGAATGAATTGTCCCACATATACCGGACTACAAACTGAACTACTGAAGTCTATATATCGAGTACTTGCAAAAGTGTATCTTGTAAAAAAAAACCGGCTTATTTTGATGCCGTACGCCTACATGATCGTAAGATCTCTCAGTACTAAATTAAAAGAGCTGTATTTGTGAAAGAGCACGTTGCAATCTTTGCCATTGGTTTTGGAAAGCAAGACTCGTTTAGAATGTACGTAATTTTTCTAATGACCAAAATCACCGAATTACTTGGCGGCAAATTCTATACTTTCGGAATATTATTTCCGGATTATTCTTCATAAAATTGGTTGCGCACTGTTGCTTCCATTGTCCAAGTTTGGCGTGGACTGTGCTACAAGCATACAATCAATGTCTCAGACGCTATTATACAACTCGTAATTGCAACTTGATTTTAGTTTCGATCGCAAACAAATTGAAACATTGTTGGGACAAGTTGGAACACTCCTTCATTTTATTAACCCATTTATCAGTATTAACCATTGAGCGCACACGCGTAACTTTGCCGTTGCCGGCGCTGACGAATAAATTGGTGTGGTGTTAAACAGAGTAAAATAATAAAGTAAAGCGCTTTTTGTTAATCTAGACTAGAGCTTGAAACGGTCCTCCGTAACAAAACGAGACTGCCAACTCTCGCCAACTCTCATTTGACTGGGGCTTACACTGGAAAATATAATCAAATCCATGCTGTGGAATTCGTAATTGCATCACTAAATCCCGCATAGTATACTGAAGAAAATTTCAATCAGTATGAAAACTGGATTTCCTAATTCCAGCGAAGATCCACACTTTTTCCATAGTAAGGATTCTGAAAAAAACTTCCAGTGTTACTCTAAAAATAGCCGGTTGACTTGTATGTACGATAATACTGAAGGAAACCCAATACATCTTTCATTTTTTCTGTGTTGGTGTTGTGTACTCAGGTGAATATGATGTTTGTGATGTTACTCTGAGTGTATATCCACACAGCACACAGGGCAAGTTTGAAAAACATGCCTGGCCACGGTGGGAATCGAACCTGACCGCGTAGCTCAGTTGGCAGAGCATTGGGCTAGTAGTATTCCAAAGGTCGTAGGTTCGATTCCCACCGTGGCCAGGCATATTTGTCAAGCTTGGCCGGTGTGGATATACACTCAGAGTAACATCACAAACATCATCTTTCATTATTTCGAGAATTAGACCCATGGGCGCCATATATACTTAATACTTTAACTTATCAACTGAGGCATTAATTCTGCAACAGGTTGCAGCCCGCGCTAGAAAGTCAAGAATAAAAATGTTGCTGCGAAACTTTGTGAAAACTCATGTGCTATATATAGGACGAAACCTGTTTTCTCACTTGAAGAATCAAATGATAATTATATTGAGGATTACACTACTAAAGAAGCGGAAATGATGTCTACTAATTGATTCTCATATTTTGAACTTGACGATGTAATAACGCGGTTAATTAGTTTTCACTGCGTAAAGTATAATTTAGCGAGAGCTTACGGTGTAAGTGTTTCACATTTACCTTAAAAGGAGCTTAAATTTCGCTGAATCATGATTAATTACAGGAAACATTTAAATGATCATGACAACGTTAAAATCTCCTAGAATTCTATTAGTAATGGATACTATTCTACACTAGGCAATATCTTATTGGTCAAGGAAACCGGATCAGAAAAAAACATGCTAATGGAAGCGTATATGTGAGTGATGTGACCAAGAGTGTGATCATTTAAAAACGTCAAACGTGCTCGCACGCATTATACAACCACCCTAAGAACATGCCGTATACAAAAACGTCAAATTCAAAACTCATTACCCCCTATAGTTTTTCTGAATAACCAAGTCATAAATAGCATCAACTCTTTGTGTAATCACAACGTGTGCATGTACAACATGCTGACATGCATATATTCACGTCATTCACATGTAATGCAGTTTAATTAACATAAATACATGATGGGGCAGTTTTATTTCAATGCATCCTTAAAAATTTACCCACCGTCACCGAAAATACTGTAATTCGGCTGATGATATTTTTATATTGGAAAGGAGTTTCAATAATTGTTTTGTTTTGTGAAAACATTATAATTAGTGAATAGGTTGTCAATATCAGAAATGTCGGATTTTTCATCATAAGATTGGTTCTACTATAGGCCAATAAATAATTCTAAATAGTTTCAAAATTCATCTCTGAATACATTGAATTTTCGATTCTAACTGATAGATGTGTAAAAAATGGAATATAGCTATTGCATTTTTTTTTTGGGAGGGGGGCACTGTATATTGTGCAAATGGTGGTAAATAAATAGAATTTAAAAACAAAATGCCGGCATGTCCGGTTTCATTGTCAGCAACATGTACACTCTACAGTGCTGAAATTCATCTCATTTTAACTTATTTGACTCGAGATATTTAGTTTGATTTACATAAATTTCTATTCTTAACTCCAAATACTGATCGACAACATAAGACACATTAATCAAAGCATCGCCATGGTTGCGGACAAAGTAGATCCTTTGATTCCAAGAGCCGGCACATATTGAGTGAGATAAAATCTCAGAATGTGAATTAACATGTCGAGCATCGTCTCCATAATGTCAATCAACATCGTTTTAATTATTCAAAAATAATTATGTTGTATACATACAATTACATATATTGTGCATAAGATTTCAATTGACTGCATTACAAGATGTATATCACATTATAAGTGTCATATATTATATATATATATAATTTAACAATTTATAAACTTTACAATCAACAAAACGATTGAAGGTGCAGACAACAGGACTGAGGAGTCCCAAATTAAGTCCTACCTACACATTACATTGACATTGTAAAACAATAGAGACATGTTACAAACTTTAACAAAGCTACAAGTACAACACAAAATTACAACACACGATCAATGCGTTCCAAACCATCCTTACACTTTCCAAAGTTAATATCAGTGAACTAGACATGGACCGCCCATATATTGCAATCCTTTCTATATATATATATATATATTTATTGTAGATATCATCTCACGAAGTGGACCTTTTTTTTCAAATTTCTAAGATTTCTGATCCGGTGTCGAGATTTCGTTCCAAAATTCATATTGCGATAGCCCATATAGCGACAGGCACACCCACAATCAAAATTAACCCGGCTTTTTCCCTTTATTTTGATTACATATGGTTAGATCCCACATGCAGCTGTGAGGAATTTAAAAAAATGTCTGGATAATCACAATCGTGTCATTGTTCATAGTAGACGTGTACGATTACGAAATTCTCTGATTACATTCCAAGCAATGAGTGCTCGATGGTGATGACAGGCTGATTTTACATTCTGGGTTTCATGTTGAAATAGACGTGGGCACATCAGTGGGCATGCCGAGTTTTAGTTTTGTAATGGATTTTGTAATACTTTCTATATCGTGGGCCGTGCATGCATGCATGCATAACATTTGAATCGCGCTGAAACACGGTTTATGTCAAAGGATATACTTCACTATAAGCAATGATATCGCCTTCCTTTCTTAATCTACATTTCCTAATTTCAATAAATTTACTAAATATTGATTTTTTCAAATTTATTCATTTTAACCAATTTTTTCATTTTAACCAAGGCTAATTTATCTGATGAGTCATGTGCCACATCTTATGGTACGAAACTGAACAGTATATATAATAAAGTCAATAAAGATGCCTAACAGAGTTTATTGAGTCGTACGTTGTATTTCAATTTATTGCTATAGTAAGCACTCTTTTGCAAAGAACGAAACCTACATATACAGTATTTCAATTAAGGTTGCCCCCGAGCAAAGCGGAAAAGTCGAATACGAGCGGGAAAGGCTGCTGGGAATCGCTAACAAATTAATGTTAACGATTCCCAGCAGCCTTTCGCGCTCGTATTCGACTTTTCCGCTTTGCTCGGGGGCAACCTTAATTGAAATAGCTGTATATAATATATACGTCTTCCGGAAACACACAGTGCAATTGTAATTTTTTTTTATCTTTGTATTACTAATGGTGGTTGTTGTTATAAAGGCTCATCTAGTGTGGTCTACATGCATGATATATCTGACTGAGTCGTATATACTATTCTTATTCTGAGTTCCACAGTGGAAAAATGTCTCCATAAACTTAAATGAAAAGGAATTGTCAAACAATTAGAAACCCAAGCATTGAGTCTCTAGACTAAACGGATTCATGAATTGCATAGCACACAATACCCCACCCAACGTAGGCCTAATATTATTTTACATATATAATATACCCCGTCATACTAGAGTATAGCGTAATAACAAGTGTGGTATGATGATTATGAAGAAATAACATAATGACTATAAGGAAACTACGGGTACCATACACGAGAAATAACACGTATATAACTGAATACAGACCTTATCACTACATTTGATGTTGTATCTAAGAAGGTGTCATTTCAATGCGCGATAAGTCAAAGTAAAAAACTCAAAGCATAACATGAACTTCATTTTTTATCAGGGATAAGTAACTGAAGCCTTTTTCCTGAAAGCTGAACACCTAGCTGTCTATCTTGTAGTTAAGTGATGGTACAGTTTCGTAATGATTAACAGCCTAAATGCTATTTTATATAATTCGTTATTACCGTCGAACATATTCAATCTTTTGGGTATAAAAATATATAAATATATATATTTCCAATAAATGCCAAGAATAATTTCTAATCGTTAACTATAATACAGGAGGTTCAAGAACTTCAATTCTATATTGTTTTAAAAGATACTTTATTCGAACAGAACTACCAATACTGCTACAGTCATAGAATATAAAACATATTAAATTGACAGAAAGGCTAGATTAAAAATTAGAATTATACTATAGTTATATTTGATCACTGAGGACATCAGAGCAATACTTGCTACCAATATCCCCACGGATATATATAACCATGCATGCAGTGTCGGTCCATGATGGCCAGGCCTTCTCTGCAGGGCATTTCCGCGAGAACAGAAGGGGAGCTACTTATTAAGGGAAAAAACCCTTATTTCGATAGGAAATGGTTATTTGGTAGAAGTAAATAAAACTGTGATTTAGTTGAATATATATAAGGATTGGGTAATAGTTTTGAAACCTTTCCCATGACATACGCATGTAAACTTATCGTGGGTGTTTGTTAATTCTTTAAATTTCAATTTACAAAATACATGTAATAGTACCGCGTCCCCTGGATTCTTTGAATTCAATATACAGAAACTTAATGTCATGATGATAGACTGGACTTCACAACTCCCCCACCTTAATATTGCATGATTTGTTGTCTTTTACATCATAATATACATATTGCAATAAAGTATGGGTTGGTTTACCTGAAAATCTTCATTATACTGTCGGTTGAAGTTCCCCGTATATGGTGAAACTGATGATAGTGAAGATTTTGAGGTATGTGATCGCGTCCTACATTTGCTCTATATCGTTTTATATCAGGGTACACTGGCCGACATTTTGTAAAGCAATACACATTCTGTACGATATATGTGCATGATTCTGGATTGCTGTGGTGGGAAAGGATTTACAGCTATATACCTGAAAAATATGAGCAAAACTTCGACGTTTCGGGAAGGTCTTCGCTTACCCTACAACTTTAAGATGCGCTCAGTTTTACAGATGCGCTCAAATATACAGTTCATGGTCAAATGAATCTGCCTACATGATTTTACTCCAGATTTCACACTCCGCGTTTATTCCATATGCTGTCACACTGTGTAATCACTTATACAAATTTACACTAACTCACAAGCTTTGCATCAAATTCTTTCACATAAACCCATCCTAGGAAGGCCTAAACTTTACGAAACGTACATAATTTATCAAGAAATGTATGGAATCGAGCGATTACATCTCACTGGTCGACTAGTTTGCATGTCGGCAAGAGCGCACTACAGTATGAAATGTAATTACTGAGACGAAAAGAACACAATGGACTATTTATAACTACTGTGCAAGATTTCGCAACGTACTTGTCAATGGACAATAGACGCAATTGAGTGATGAGTATCTGTTAGATTACAATCCTTGCATGTTGCACGCTACGGCACACATTTAGTTACAAAACCACTTTCTGCGTCCACCAGATAGAACAAGACCCAGCACGTATCATTATGTTATTATGCAAGCGCTTATAGCGAGTGGCATCGCAACTCCTACGCCGTGCGGGTGGATGACGCTGTCACATTAACCATTAATATTAATAACTGAGAGAGTGAGAGGTATATAAAAAGACTCGGTATAGCCCCAGACTCACATAATTTTTTCCCACTCACTAGCGAGCAATTTGAAGAGTCAAGCAGAGAGCCAAGAGGAATGGTAGAACGAGAAAGCTATATAGTTTTAACCTCGTCACGTCAGCAATCCAGAGAGGATCGAAGCAACAGCAGTCGAGAAGGCAGTCCTGAAGCTATTCAAGCCAGGAGAAATTCAAGTCACGAAAACGGTCATAGCAGTGACCCTGAAGTACCATCAGAGAATATGCATTTCAGACATGAAGCAAGTATGGTGCATACAGAACACGAATCACCCACGAACCATTTAAGGTATGGAACTTAAGAATTACTTACAAAGATTAACTGGGATCATTGATCAGAGATGAAAAACTCAATAATTTCATTTCACTTATGATATAAAATCTCTACGAAAAATCCGTTGTCTCGATATCTTGTATAGAACGATCTCTAGAACGCCACTTCATCCAGTTTATGAAACTAAAAGCAGGCTAGAAGTATAGCGAAATCCATTAAAGTTATTGAGTACAGAGTAGATATTGAGTAGAGAGAATTGTTTGTTGTGAATGGAACATTCGAGAAGTCTCAGAATCCATTCCAACATAGATTATACTATATAGTTTACAACAATAATCAAGATTCCTAAAACTCAAGTCTTCACTCGAATACTACGGATGTAGTTGCGTCACTTTTTTCCAGAGCACTTGAAGTAGCAAGCTTTCTAGATAAGTGTGTGTGTTTAAACGACATTCCTTTTACCATGCATGTACATATACATTGATTAGGCACTTCAATATTTGCTTAACCTCGGGTGAAGTTATTTAGATATTCACGAAAAATACTTCCCATGGGCATGGTGCAATTGTGCAATATTCTTAAAATGAAATAAGGATTTAAAATGAAATACACTCCCAAAAATTATTTCCCAAAAAATTTCCAAGAGAATACCAGATCTTTTTAATTAAAGAACAATGTATGTCGTTCTTCCCTAAAATATTTTCCGATAAGGACAATTAAATTTTAATTCGCATTCAAAAAGTTGGTCAGTTTTATCGCAAAAACGTGAAAATTTATAACACTGACTGCACACATATATAACAACAAGACTGGAAACGTTGGTGTGAGGAAGTAAGATTTAAACATGATTCTAGTCGTATCGAGTGGTATGTATTAAAGTAAAACCGATGCGTCATTCATTCATGCATACTCAATTTAGTTGACTAAAGTGAAGTGTTTATATTAACTATTTATCTGGTGAGATTTTTAGCTCTGTACTATAAAAAAGTAATGATATTTCGATTGGATACAAAATGACAAAGCATTAGCCAGCATCCTAGTTAAAAGAGGTTTTAATTCTTAAACATAAAAGAGGTTTTAATTCCTAAACATATGTCTATATGCCTTTGGCGAATTCCAAAAAGCGCCCACATCATTCTGACTTAGCGCACATTTATAATTCCATGCAAAAACGTAATAACGTGAGTTATATTTGTGAATTGTGAGCGTATCACGGTCAATCACAGTCTTCATGAAATTGATTTGGTCTGTGGCTTCTAATATGACCTAGCCCACATCAATTTGCATGCAAAGATATAATGACGTAAGGTGTTAACTGTATCGATGTATTTCAACCTTGATAAAATCGTTTATTCTTTGCCGCAACTGTTTCTTCGTCGTTTCAATATTCCACTCGGATGTGCAGTTATTTGGTATCTTGCCAAGTTTCCCGACAAGGAAGCGGAAGTATAGTGGAAAATTCGGAAGCAAAATTGAAGATTCCCAAATTTTGCTTTGTTGTATTTGCGTCATAAGGGTAAGGCTTTAGATTACAACACGCGTTTGGTTCCTGTTTGTTTGTGCGCCTCATTTTGCCGGGCCACAAAGAATGTCCGGAACTCTCAAATAGAACTTCAGACGCGGTGAGATATCGCTTGAGATATGTGCTTTGGAACATTCTCGTCCGAGCTAATCACATTCGGAGAGTATCAGATTGGTTAATATTGGCTTTCAAATTACCATTGACATAGCAAAAGTATTTCATATATCGGTCAACTCAAGGGCAAATCATCACAGTATAGACGGAATTCAATGTAGATGTGATGTTTGTGGTAATTCATTGTCGCTGCGTCAATGTATTTCAGGATTTGGTGGCTATATTTATAACGACATGGTATCACAATCAGATTAAGTTGATATTCGCTTTCAAATTAGTATGCCATACCAAAAATATTCTTTGTCATTTGAAAGATGAAATCGTCACATAATATCGTTTCTTTAAACGTTGTAGCATTCCTCAATTACACGGAGTAGACAATGTTTCCTAGATCAATAATTATTGATATTGACCCCCTTATTTTACTGTTCACTATACATAACTACATTTATATGGTGGTACATCATATGTGAATTACTCAATAAGGGTGAAATAGTAGTGGCATTTAACATGGACAGCATTTAAACAATTCCAAAATAATATTATTAAAATATATAGAAATTCTTATCGAATTTAACCGTATAAAACAAATGCAAAATTTGATCTTATAGTTATAGAATTACATTGCATGGTCATTGCAAAATCCATGCTGTGTCACATGACTCTGCAAAATTAGGTGTGATTGTACATAAAATTGTGTAATTGTACAAATATGGCGCAACACTGGCAAAATAAACACACTGCGTGGCAATATTCAAACAGCATTATTTATATAATATGACGTTATTTGAACTTATTTCGTGTGCAATGAAAGCGTGTAATGGCTCATACACCCACGAGACGCTCTTGAAAACCGCATGGCATAATTATGAAAATGATTTATAATCAGTGTTGTGTATAGCTGGATTGCTGATTGGCATCGAAATTTTAAAATTTCGACGAAACCTAATCTCTTACATATGCAAAGCTGTTTTAAGTAATTTACTGAATGCCATTATCGTGTCGTTTGGTGACAAGCACAAGTTTCATGAAATCTAACACTCAGTAGGATTAGTATATAAGCTCCAATCTGCGGTTTCATCACTGACAACAACAGCGAGAACTGTGCGAATTCGGTGCAGTTGTACGAAATGATCTTCCATAGAAGCTTCTAGGTATATGCCCTCGACGTGAACTGTAACACATGCATCTAGGTAGTCTAGACATTGATTAATATTCAGACTCATGAGCTATTCAGGGTGATATTGACATTGACCTCGTGTCAACATGTATTACAGTAATAACACTGCATGCAGGCTACAATTGTCCTTTGTTTCGCCCAGTCAGTCTGGCACTCACTTGAGAAGCACAGATTTCATTCATATCATTTGCGCAGCGCCATCATTTGTTGTCGTCATTACGATCTGTTGTGCGCAACGTACAAATCTTGTATTAGTTGTATACAGTTGTACTCCTAGACGTTGTACTCCTAGACTGTTCAGTTGCCAACATACAGTAACGTCCCATATTTAAGTTGCATGTAGTCTGTGATATGTTCGTGCACAATTGTCTTAGTACGTCTCGTTATCCATCAGGATATCAATTGGAATTTAGTTTCTGTTTTCTTCTCTTGTCACTACATTTTCTAGTTATTGTTATTAAATAAAAGAACCTGGCAGCTTAAGAACCTATACAGCCTGAAATTTGCCATTTAGACAACCATTTTTATCGGAAAGAATTCAGTCTGAGATTTGGAAACTTTTTGCAACCTACACGTTTGCACAAACAAGAAATCTGCGTCATTACATATTGTCAAGAATAGCTAATTTGCGCAATATGTCCAAAGTCCAACCAAGCTTGGTTGCAGAACTGATGTAGTTATTGTTGCTATAATTATACTTCGAGCACACATGCGCTCACGCAGTTATCACGGCTAGCCATCAGCAAGCATACGATAAGTACCAGCTGGGGAAAATATTTTTGACGAAATAAGCTCTCATTACCGGTCGCTGTTATTTTTGTATACTAGATTTCGAAATAACTCTAACTATTAAAGCACGTATACACAGTTCTTAGGTATTTTGGTATTTATGACATTGCGTGTGCGCTTCAGGGAATGAGCACGGAGCAAGACATGGATTAAAACATGGAGTCCTTTACCAAAAATGCGAAAACGTCTCATCAAAATAGCAACTAGCCTGCGTAGCAGTCGCTTTATTTTATTATTGTAGGTTTTGAGGATTTTTGAATATTCTTCGCCCTTTTTTTCTTCGTCCATTTTTCTAACTCGCCATATATTCAAAAATCCTCAAAACCGACAATAAAATAAAGCGACTGCTACGCAGGCTAAATAGCAACGTATGGGAATGGTGGATGCATGAATATATGTATTTAGATTTGCGCGCGCTAAATTCGCACGATTTTGCGCATCCTAGCTGAATTTCAAAGCATCTGAACTCGAGAATTCCATATACTGCAACTTCCAATATTTTGGTCGGATAATTTCATGAAGACCTGGCAAATATTTGCCCCCCCCCTCCCCACCCCCACACACACACATTTGTTTCCTCCCGTATGGCTATATGAACGAACCTGCATGCCCTTACGTGCGTTGGAATAATTAATTTACACGACGATTTTTATTGACTGTTCAATTTGATGGTTTTGTTTTGTACAAAGTTTACGTCGGAAATACTTATTCATTAGTTCAAAAACAACCACGCACGCCATCGCTTGCACGCAAAAACAAGGGTGTTATGGCGTACTGTAAACCAGAAGACTCGATAACACGAGCAAATATACAGAATCGATTTATTTCAACATTTCATGTTCGTTATATTTTTCTGAATGAGAGCGAAAACCATACTCTAGTTTCGTGAGAAGTTCCAATGTGTTTTGTAAATGCAAACCTAATTTAAATCATGAATGACGTAAAAACAATCATTAAGGATTACTGCAAGTCTGCGTTACAAATTCACCGCGAAAACAAGAGCTGCTGTAAACATAGCGTGGGCAGGGAGTGTTTACAAATATGCATTAATGTCCATGGTAAATGCTGTGTCTTTGTTTCAATATACAATAACATAACATGACATAGCGATAGGCTTTTAACCGCCAACACTGCTGACTGCAGGGTTAATATTGACCTGAGTAGGTGTATACAATTAAAAGGTTTTCACAATAGAGAATTGCAATGAAACTATGAAAAAACACTTAGTCTTAGTTATAGGGTGGGGTGGAGGGCGTTATATTAAAGCAACAGTGATGTATAAACTAACTAACTTTATTTATACTGGAAAGCTCTATACCACGGTTGTAAACTGGATTAATTAGGATCGCCTTTGGTCCAGTATTATCGCAACCGCAGGAGGAAACCGGATTAAATGCGCCGTCGACAAATGGAGTGTGTGTAGCTGAGTTGGTTTTAAAACGTCCAAAAACTCGGGGCGATGTTTTACCGACAGGAGGAATTAAAAAGCGCGTGATTTGTATAGACATATAGCCCATGGACATACACCCTGTTATATTGATTTAATGATGTATATAAACTACAATAACGTTCAATATAAGCACTACAGCACAAAAAACCCATTCAAAGAATATGTTTTTATCGCATAAACACGCATCAAGCATACATTTACGTAGTTTCCAAAGCAGCATTCAAATATAAAAGGTCAAGTCAGTGGCTCTATTAGTTCGCGATTGTTCGAAACATTATTGTCTTTACGTGGATAAGGTGTTTAACAAGGTAGTCACGTTTTTAGTACCGCGATAAGGTGCTTGAACCATTATTGCGTATAAAAGAAATTTGTTCACATCGTTCATATGTACAACTATGCTATAAAAAAATGTAACTTCGCACACCCTTATTTAAAGCTTGAAATACTTTTTGTACAATATACAATAAATACGATGTTAAAATAAAATATGGTACTGCTATAAGCAAAAAGAGCAATATCCCAATATAACATCTTCAAATAAACGCACATTCCTCAAGGATTTGTATTAATTAAACTTAAACTCAAAATTAATATCAAATTAAAATCGTTGTTTGTCTACGACCTTTATTAACCGTGCTACCAACTGATAACCTCGGGGCGTTTTCTGGATCATTTCTTGTATTAGAATACGAGCATAAACTTTAATTACTTTTCTCTTATGACCGACATTGTTAAGAACACCATGTTTGATTGGGATAAAGTGTTTTGAATATGCGGTGTTGGCAATGTAAGAGACCGCCATATATACTTTGTGTGAAAACATTGGAGAGCGGATTTTGGTAAAAAGCCAACGGTATCGTTGCCAATAATTGTCACAAAGTCACGAGTTCTAACAAAATTTCACTGCTTCATTTATTGTTCGAAAACAAGTAAAAACAACAGCTCGAACTCCTGATCTCTTGTGGACACAAGTCTTGTTTCGGTTTGAAAAGCATTCTGCGAGAAGAGAGGGTGTGTATCGCGGTTCTTAGCAAGTGAAAGGCTACAAATATATAGCAGGTGAGTACAAACTGTACAACGAACAACAGTTGAATTGATCAAGTTTGTACATTTCAAAGTAGCGTAGCATCATGTGATTTTTGCATGAAATTTCATTCTAACATTGAGAGAGAACCTCTACAGTGTTTAGTGGAAAGTGAAAGGCAAAAATAGCAGCTTAAATGTAAGTACAATGAACAATAGCTGGTTGAATTGATCAAGCTTGTACATTTTAAACGTGGCATTTGAAACGATTTTGTACATGACGTTGTGACACTAAGAGAGACATTTGAACAACGGCTAGTTCATTTGAAATATAAAGCTCATCTCAAAGTAATCTCGTACCGAGCTTTTTGTGTAACACCGTCTGGACGGTACACACAATGAGTGTCTGTGTTGGACACGATACAATATAACAGCTACAGGCCATTCAATGTACATTATACACCACATGACGGAAAGAACATTCAGCGCTAGTGAGCAGTGTATAATTCTCAGGTAATATATGACTCAACTGAATTTGTTAAAGTTAAGTCAGGAAAGGCACATACATATAGAGCGATGGTTTACATTTTAAGTACTGTTTTGGCAATGAAAGCAGTTATATCACACTTCTGGTATATTCACTGCTTGAGATGTTTAATGTCCGGCATATTATCCATAGACTATTAAGTGTTTTGAAAATGTCATATTCACAAGCACTGCATCCTTACAAACATTCTTGTCTTCAGTTTCCTCGTTGCAATAGCAATACATTATTATGACACACTGCTATATATCCAGGCACCGTTTAAACGATAGTGAATCACATTCACTTTCTCTTAATCCTTAACGTGATGTGTTTTAGTATATGGAGCCCTGCTCAAGCGAGGCTGAGAGTTGATGTGAGTTGCCAGTCACGCAATTGTTATACATGCAGGGGACATTTCCGAAACTCTAGACAGAATAAAGGTTTGATGTGTGTTCCAACTATGTTTTAACTTCAATAAAATACATGATAGTGTTGGGAAAGCATTAACAACAGCTAACCAAGCTCGCGTGACTGTCAACTCTCATGCATGCACTAGCTCTCGTTTTCGTTTGGCAGTCAGGTTATATAATGTCGAATTTTGAGATGTAGATAGGAACAGGAAAATCGCCACTCTACTTGATGGGAGAGAAACATTGCCCAATGATTTATTTCACTAAACTATGCGAACAATAAGAACCACAAAGCAGCAGATCTGTTAAGGCTGATCTGTATACACTAACGTTTGCCTTAAACTGTCGCATATACAACCCTGCCTACGACAACGTAGATGAGTTGTGTGCTTGATTTACACAGTACAACTCAAGTTGTAAGCAGGTTGCATGCCATAGTTTTAGGCAAAAGTTGTGTAGTGTAAATCAGCCTTCATTCTTTACTGATGCGTCCAAATCAATCTCTAAATTAAGAAATGTCTTTAATGTACTTGTTCAGTTGCAAATTTTATATTAATAATTTAATTTTATATTAGATTTCATTTTCTACACTATAAAATACTGATGTGTGGATTTTATTATTGATTTTATCCATATACATACATATCATAGTTATATATTCATTGCAAATATATATAGAGACGTAATTGAGTTGTTTAGACTCAGTGCGAAGTGTTTTATTAACGATCTATAACTATCTAATGAAACTATACATCTCTCTCAATTCATTTTATTGAAATATTGGCCATGAAATAAACTATAAATTAATAATGATCATGATCATAATGATCTAATTGCGCTGGTAACTGCGGGGTTGATCACCATCTGTGAAAACTAACTCCTCCGCAGACTTTAAAAATTCGCTGAACAATTTTAATATCACCCACAAAACAATGCTCAATGACAATGACAAAGGTTGTTAAAAATTATGACATTTCTTGAATAAGTAACTATAGCCTACTTGCGTCATTTTATGACGAGTTAGAATTTTTTGTTGAGTGAGTCATGATGATTTATGAGCTATATATTTATACGAATATATACCATTTGAACAGCATGTAAATCAGGCATGATTAAGTTAACTGTCTGAAACTATTTATATCATCATTAATATTCTATCAAGGAAGAAATTTGATTTTAAAAAGGAAGTTGTTAGCACTGAAATTTCTTTTATAAGAGGAATGATTCGTAGTGTGTATGTCTGGACCTATAAGTGGCACGTTCTTTGATATACTAAGCATCGAATATAATATGTTGTACATTTCGACAGCATTATTTATAAAAAAACACTGTCATATTATTAGCAGCTCTTGCCGTGTGGGCGTTTGAGATATATCTAGGACAATAAATTGAAGTAAAGACATATTATACAGGTAAGCATTGTCTGTCATGAGCTGAAGCAACAGTCAATTACAATATAAAGTTTCCTTTGAAACAAGTCTCAGTGCTGACGAAATAACGAAAATAATTCCTTTAATTGAATGCTTGTTTATCCAAGTTTCTTTTGTCAAAGCAACTGCATGATATGGTGTTATGTGTCCCTATTAGGCTATATTTTAGCTACGTGCTTTGTTTTGTATTTATACCGGATCACACGTTTCAGAGATAATTCGGGTCATAGTGGAGACTTAAATATTTCAAATATTGCGAAGATATGAAATTGCCATTCTTCTTGTTCAAGAAGTCTTCCTTTGTGGGCGAGTTTAGTAAATATAGCCCGTCTACATGCGGGGTGGAAAGGTGCATGGATACGAAAGAGACAATAGTACATACAATGCAATAAGAAAAAAATGTGAATTAAGCGTGGGCAGTGCGGTGTTTGATTGGTACAAATGAAAGTATGAAACTAAGATATTTCATTCCAGAAAGACAGTGTAGACATTCCTGAGATTTCAGTAAGTGCCTATAAACATTATTTCGAACCACAAAACATTTCGCCAGGTGTGTAGCAGAAATAAAGTGGCATCTTTCAACTCGGCTTGCACTTCATTTCTAAGTAGGCAGTAGATGAAATCTGAGACTTGTAAAAGATTTCTAAGTCTTTGAAATATCAACAGAGAGGTGCCAGCAATGATTGTAACAACTTCTGGCTCCATGGTGTATGGGTTAAGGTAGGATAAACATATTTATATATTGAAGAGTATATGTAGTTGTAATATTTAATTTATTTAATACAGAATCATCCACCTGTATTAAACTACTTATACATACAGTCAAACCAGCGGAATTCTGGTTAATTGTACATTTTGTAATACATACGTACCAATATAGAAATCGTCTTTTCCTAGCGATTTAAAGCTACTGTTAACTCTAGTTTAAGAAATTTTCTCGAAGATTTACTAACTTGTCATCATTACAACTTGAAAAGTAATGATATTTGTCACTACATCATTTGGTTTACAAATAGGACAAACACGTAAATGATATAGGCTACCTGTATAGGCGATATTATTATTATTATTGAATACATCTTTTCTTACCCGAGATGGCAGAAATGCAGAAGGCGGGGGGTTCTCTGGGAATTCAAAGCTTATAAAGCATCATGACGCTACCAAATAAAAATATCAATGGGTGTTAACCATTACGCATTTCACACATAGATCGGTACATTTTACAAGATAACTGCCAACTGGTGGGTGGTATAGCATTTCAATCAGACTTCGCAAAATGAATCCTGTGTTTCCACAGCTTCCCAATGACAATAAAATACTTCTTTAATTTGCCAAGAATAAGAGGAATAAGCTGTCTTTATCATCGCACAATAACAATTATAGGCTGGGTTAATTCAAATTTCAATGCCTATTTCCTTCGTACATTTAAAACCCTGCAGACACCGGACACGATTCAGGAACACAACGCAATTTTTAGTATTTTTCATCTTTTGAAAGTCAATCAAAACAGTCTATGAAACTGCAAAGAAAGTTTCAAAGATCTCATGTAGACCAAATCTAGAATGTTCTAAATATTTGAAAAACTTACACCGTAGAGGCAGGGTCAAAGTTATCCATCAGCGAAAAATCGCGCTAACGTTGCCGAATCATTGCCTCGTGAAAATTCAGTTCAATACGCTGTTTTAAATATAGGTAATATACATATGCATTTAACCCCATTTTAAAAGGCTCAGTATATGATGTCATCATTATAGATATAATACCATATATAAACGCCTGTCAGGACTGTATGACTTATGCTACTCCTGAAACAAACAGCCACATGAGGAACGGACGTATATAGTCTATAGCATAGAGTGCCAATACAGAATACATATTTTGCCAACCTTTTGTGATTACCAAGAAGTGCAGAGCCAGAAGAAAGGTAAGAAGGACGAAGTTGAAAATCGTACAAGCTAAGTACGGATAGATTTGGAATTAAATTTGGTTCATTGGGAGTTACATTAACTCCTTGAAATAATGAAATTAAGAGGACGTGTATATATTACTAGTTATTTTTTTAACTGCATGTCTGTGCCAGTGTAGGTAGTGGCAATAATATGAATAAGCTTTCGTTGGGATATTACTAATTATGTTATATTGATATGTTGTAATATACATCTTATCCCTACCACATGTTATATAGAGTTAATGAGTTCTCAAACGACAGCCATCCTGACCTTGCCTTGGCATATTTACTTCCCAATTTTTCAAACGGTTTATAATTTAAGCTGTTTAAATTGTAAATGATGTAAAAAAGCCATGAATTGAAATCCTTATATAAATTGGTCAATTAGCAGCATAAGCCATAACACATTAAGACGGTAAAGTCACGAAAAGCATCTGTAATTTCGTGGTGTAAAGGCCCGTTAAACGAGGTCAATGTTGGTTTCGTTTTGAGAATACGGTCACACTTTGTTTAAAATTTTCATGCAACTATATAATTGAATGCCACAAGTCCAGAATTGAAACATTAGTCCCCTTAGCCTTACAGGTCTAACCCCCTATGATTAATGAATTAGCATGAGTATAGCTATAATATCATTAGTTTTCTCAATTCATTTCTTATTTCTCAATCTGCTTAAACTACAGTCATGAATGACATGCAAGGTTAATAGCACATAAGAATCTTAGAAATTAAAATTTCAGCCATGAAAAGGAAGTATTAGACTTCGCTTAAATAAACGAGTAAGATTTTAGTCATATATACAATTCACACTATATATATTACATTCGATCTAAGTGGCAAGGTTTTATAATACTCTTACAGTATATCAGTGAACATGAGCTTATTTTAAAAGTATGGGGAATTTTAGGGTTCAAAGTCTTAAAGTCTAACAGAACTTCGAGCGAAGGCGGGATGTTAATTATACTAAATGCTAAATTGAATAAAATAAAGTGAAAAACGAAAATATACGGTACATGATTAAACACATTTATTAAAAATTAAAGTTCACTTTCTATGTTATAATAAATATGAACGCTCATTTGCATTGGGCTTCGTGTGAAATTCTAGCGTTTGAAGCAAGCTAAAAAATATTAAGGACGGAAATTGAAACTCAATTAAAACGTAATACTTTGCATTTCATTGCAAAACTGAATACACATAAATAGTCAAATACATTTTTAGCCTCAGCGCGCGGAACTTCATATTAAAATGACTTAGCTAAGAAGTTCCTTGTATGATGGCATGCCAAGATGTTTGGAAATGTACATTCTTCGTTATCAGTACAAAGACGTCATTAGCACAAACATAATAGTGTAGTTTATAGATTCAACTTCCAGTTCCACTATGGTTAACGATCCGAGCTAACACACCTCGATGTTTTCAACAAAAACAAATCAATTATTTAAGGGTATACATGCCAACCAGGATATTAATTGTTATTTATAACAGACATGGATGGACATTTTCAAACTCCTGATCTTCCAACTTAACCCAGTCACCAGTGTTGAAACAGACCCATGCAAGGTTGCGTCCTTATAAGTGAGAGTTGCAAAACATGTAAATCAGTAGCAGTTAGAAAACACTTCCCCACACTGCACGAGACGTGTCGTATTTCTTATTGGGCAGACAGGATTTTGCCTATCTCAGCACATGACTATAATTATAAGCCTGGCATTAATATATATAAAGGAAGGTCCTACAAGTTCAGCAAGTATTTATATGATGTTGGCGGCGTTGAATAGTCATCAAACAAGTAAGTAAAGTATTCCTGAACTTGCATGGGGAATTGATTTTGCTCAAAAATTTGAATAAAGTGAAAGTTGTTGAACTTTGCTCTCTGAAACTAAATTTACTGAACACTAAGCTCATCACATATTCCGTTTTATATACAGCTATTTAAAGTTTTGCATAATACGGATCAGCAGATTTGAAATCAACTGCCTAGACTAAGATCAAAGAGTCTTCAGTTATTAACAAATGAAATACGCGAAACGTAATGCAATATAATGTAATCTTATATAGTCTCTCTTTAATATTTTTTTATATTCTATGTACTAGTATTGGAATAAATTTTGTTTCTTGTTTTATAAAATTCTAGTCGGTTTGGCAACCGGCAGTAATATTTAATTTAAATCTTAAAGAACATTTGAAGTTTGACGCTTCTTTCTCTTGCCAATTATAGAGGGCCCTGGGTACATATATAAGATTAGCTTTTGCCAACAAAGTTTTGTTATAAAATAAAGTTTGCGTCGATCTATATCTAGTAATTCTTTGCAATGGTTTGTAATAAAACTACATTGTAAAACGAAATTGGCCATACAATGGTTGTCTCAGAGGTCAGGGTTATATAGGATCTGTGCCAGTATAGGTAGTGACGATAACAGGATAGCTGTGGATTAAGGGGGATACAACAAGCTGAAGAATAGGGAGTTTAAGATGGCGACAACGGACAACGGGTACGGTTGAAAGCTTGTTTTCGCATTGCTGTAACAAAGGCAGGCGAAGTTTACATATCCCCAGAACATACTTTTCACCGTAGCGACCTTGGCTACAACGTGAAAATCACATTCTTGTGTTGTAAAACAGCATCAAGAACATAGCACTGAAACTGACTATACACAACGTTGCAGGTTGGAGAGTATTTTTATAAAGAAATTATGAAAATTGAAAGATGAATGAAACTTACCGAACACAAAGCCATGCACATAAAACATATTTGGGACAAATTTGCCATGACAAGCATTTAGTATTTACATATATACAACAAAAACTATTTCAAACGTAGCCGGTAGTTCGTCGTCAAGATCTTAAACTCCCTAATACAAGGATGGGTACGGTTAGTCAGTGGGTGACCAGCTCGCTTGGCTAGGGCCACCCTCCTGATAGGGTCACCCTCCTGATAGGGTCACCCTTCCTCCATAAACAGGCCCTAACTTCCCGACGAAACGCTCGAAACGTCGACGACGTTTTGCTTGGAACAAACGTTTCCTCGTATTTCATTGCGTAACTGATAACTGGCGGGGCTGTTCACACTAGCACACTTTGAGATCGGCCTAAAACCAATTCGGTTTCTGTGCTGGGAAAAACGCCAGGTTGCTAAGCAAGAAATTACTAGCTCGGCTGTGTGACGTGACCGATGTGAAATCACCTCTTGAGGTGGTCTAGTTGGATCGATCTCGAATCGGTCTCGTATTTGGTTGCCCACAGTTGGCCCGATACGGCTCTGAATCAATTACGCATCGATCTAAATCGGTAGTGTGAACGGCCTTGGCCTTATATAGACAGTTCATAGAACTATCCAGTATAAACAAAGTATGTTGTATCCCTGTCAATCCGAGGCACTATACCTACACTGGAACAGACTTTTCAAGATTCTAAACCTTTCAAGATTCGAAACAAAGTAAGGTTTTTAATTCAGTCAGCATAATTTCATATCACAATACAATACGACAATGGTGAATACAAGATGCCGAGGAGTGTATGCATTTGGTAGAACAAATTAATTACACAATACACAAACACAACAGGACTAGACGTTTCAATAATGTACTGAGTCATGACAACTTGATGCAACGCATTACAACAAAATGAACAAATTGCAACATAATACCACCTACAGTACGTCAATACAATTACAATAATAAGGGCTGGAACAATCATGTGCCTACGTAGAATGCCATACAATTATTCATAACACAAGTGGCTTTATGTCAAGGACGATTATTACACAATAAAATTGAATACATAATGAATCCCACCCCACTTCAACAAAGATGAAATTTTGAAAAAGCGATGTTGAAAGCCGCACGTAATTGAGAGATTTTTAGCATAAAATTCCATGCCAATATTCTCAAATTCACCGAGTTCAACGAAGGTGGCTCTTGGGAAATTTCTGTTTCACCCAAATATTGCTTGAGCAACAAACAGAGATTGAACAATGACAATTACATTTTGCGTGGGTTTAATAGGGTTGAGGTCAAAAGTAAGTATAGCTGTGAGAGGTCTCACACGCAGATGCCTTAATGTCTAAAATTGAAGAGCATACAAGATGGATATAGTGTTTAAAGTGCATAAGAATGACACGTCATGATTTACATTTGAGTGCTATTTTCGTTTTGCATTCGATTGCGAATAGGCAAACCGCAAACAATGTATAAAATCCACGTTCATCAAAGTCCAACAAAATATTGAGAAAGCATCGTTATTCCTACTTGACGGTAGGGAATAATTCCATATTATGTTGCGTTGCTATTATGTTCCGTCTTCATTGTATTGTAGTCGCATGTAGAGATCTACAGTATAGCGTCTCGATTTCGTACGAGGTGAACTGCTCATACCTCCTATTAAAACGTATACCAGTCATTGAGATAAATTTACTGCTTTCCTGAGATTTATAGTCCAAAATATGTGTAGATTTGCACTGACATTTTATGTACAATAATTACACACGACGAAAAATGTTTTAAATATAGCATCATGATACATACTACTCATTCTTCATGCTCAAAACTCAGAAGTAAATAGAATACATACAGTACAATTAAGGAATGTGTACATCATTGAATATATAAGTTAGATGTATAGCCATATAGTCTCGGAGTTACGTGTTAGTTTGTACAATACATCTTCAATACCGCAAAAGCACAATACCTTCGAACAAATTTGATTGATTTCTAAATTCGAGTTAAATCAAGAAAATACTGCTGAACAGCAGTGATTCGGCAAAGCTTACAATTGAATGAATAAATTATACATGTATTTTCGGTTATCATGGAATAGCAATATGCTAGAAAGATTCAGAATATTTAAATGATTCAGAAAGAATGAGGATGTTTCCGATAAATTGATTCATTCCTGACTCAAATGTTTTGATGCAGTTTTCAGTATTTTGATTACCAGTGCAGTGTCATATTGTGCAATATATACGTAAGTCGTATACAATTACAATACAATATCCATTATTCATCCCGGAAAGATCTAGACTATTACAAACGGTCCACTTGACTGAGTTCTAGTCATAGCACTGTATGCATATAAGGATAGTTCGAGAACATTAGTACACATTCGTCCCACATAGCAACATAAGCAAGATCGCGTTGGCAGCTGAGAATATCCCCATATAGAAGGGAGTGTATCACTCATCAGAGCATATTACGTCTGTGGTTCAAGTCAGAGTAAACAAAGGCAAAGACTATAAATATATATTGTGAAATAATTCTGCTGCTTAAATTAAGACAGTGGGAGCGAGGTATCAGAGTAACAAAACAGTCAGTCGTTCCTGAAAATCACAAATCATGATAGAAGAAATAAGAGCGGCATCATTAGTAAGGTATGAAATTAGATGTTTAAAACCAGAACATTTTTTACAATACTTAATTTCACATTATCTTTGTCTGTATCAAGAGTCACTGTAATATATACAATACACAGCTAGAATGGACAGATGTCCAGAAATATTCATCATATGGTTTTCATCCCAAAATTAAACTGGGTAATTTTCTTCACAATTTTGACCAGTGCTGCAACATTGAATAATACTTTTCGGTTTTGCTTTAAAATGAATCATTGGCGAATTGAGAAATAATGCAAAAACTTAGCATATGTACACATGCAGTACAAAGTACAAAGTACAAAGGACATAGAAAATCGTATTAATTTTCTTGGATACTTTTTAAGAAAGATCTGTAGTAAAAAATCTTATAATAAAACTATATAATCAGATGTCGAGTTTATAATTTTATAAGATTATTTAAATTCTTCTAGACATATTTTTAAACTGAAAGACTAGTTATTTAAATTCTTCTAGACTTTTTTTAGAAAATTATATGCCTATTCATTATCCGTCGGCAGTGTTGCAATTTCATTTAATAATCGCAAAATGAAATTCAATAACGTGCTGGGTGCAGGTTTTAATGTTTTATTATATATCACTTAGGTGTGTACTTTGTACTGTCTGTGAGGCAATTTACTCTACATAAATAACCGTCATCATAAGTATGTACACATATCACATCATGCATGCAAAATTGATAAGATCTGTCGACAATTCAGGAAACTTGTATGATTTTGTATCATGTTGGCAGCATACTAATTTGATACATATAGAAACTGTGTGAGAGTCTTGGTACTATTTAAATATGAAGAGCCGAAATGCATTGGTAACGCAGACATCATGCAGAGCTTGATTTACATTGCTAGATTACGAAGGCGTGCACTAAATCATGAAAAGCTATTAGTGTGATTGTGCTGGAATTGCATGAAATAAAGAACAGATGTTTCTGGTGCTTATGGTTTGTTGACACGAAGTCTAGACGACTGCAATGCTTCTTTTATATATAATAATATAACATCTCGTATCAGTAATACAACAGCAAAATGGACTAACATAGCTTTGGTTTCGATAATATATCAATATCTACAAGACTATATGATAAACAAAATATTACATACATGCACTTTTATACAGCATTATTATACATGAAAAGTGATGCTCTATGGTCGAGAGCTTGCATGAAGACGTGATACTATCATTGATATTCATAAATTTTCCAGACGTTTGCATTGCTTCTAGCAATCTATTTCGAGCAATATCTGTAGTGTTTCCGTGCTGACATACATGCATGCACGAAATGTTTCATGGTCGTTTGCTTGGAGAACTCAGATAATTGATACTTGGACTGTCTAGACGTTTCAATATCCTTTAGAGCATATGGTATATTGTCAAACGAGTTAGAAAATATTCTTAATGCTTTTTATTAAAAGTTGCACATAGACGTAGATATATATAGTTTGAATTAGTTTCATATTTATTCTCATACTGCAGAGAACAACGACAAATGTGTTGTCTCGAACACATTGAGCTGTCGAGTCGGGAGACTGGTAGCGAGTCTGATCCAATTAGTTCACTAAAGTGCACGAAATATTTTCGCGACGACTTACCGCTTGTCTTGGGGGGGATGTGAATTCCGAACCGTCCTTGCAGAGCTATGAAACAATAGTTTTATATTTATTCTCACACCGCGGAAGGAACAACGAAAATGTTTGTGGTTTCGGGTGGGACTCGCTACCTATTTCCGTTGACTCGATAGCTCAATAGGTAATGCAGCGGTCTGGATGCCCAAAGACATGTGAGTTCCAATCCCGCTCTGGGGGAAGCGGTGGTGTAGTCGTCAGAGTCAGTCATTGCTCTGCCGAAGGTCGTGGGTTTTCTACGGGTGCTCGGGTTTTCTCCTACAGGGAAAGTTGACAGGGTGGGTTAGGATAAATATAGTTAGGAAAGTAATATCACAATTGTTGTAAAGATAAATAGTCTAGGCTAAGTAAGTAACATAATAAGCGTATAATACTTGATGTAATGGGTCACTGAAAAGCCCTAATGGGGCTTGAGCTGGATAATAATGTAATAATTTTCGTTGTTCCTTCAGTGTCAGAATAAAAATGTTCAAAACTAGTTTCTCATATCTCGGAGGACAGACGTAGAGTTTAATTTTGTTACTCCTATCAAGGCGAAGTGCGAACACCATCTGATGCCCTGCAGTCACATATACAGTATAGACACAGAAGGTTTTGCTCACATATTTAGAGAATGTACTACAATACTTAACTCGAAAGGAATGCCAATGTTTTTAAATTTCCACGACTAAATATATGAAACAATCAGCTTTGAAACACGCGTGCCAATACAGTAAGTCAGTAATTAAACAATTTCAAAATACTGGCATTCTTCTGAATTCTGAATTGATGACTGTTAAAATTTCGTATCCATAGAGTTGTTTTGTATTTCCCAATAAAACTACCAGATCTCTATGGCTTCGTTATTATTTTCAAATTGTAAGGATGTTACAGCAGGGCGCAGCAACAATTAAGCAATTACTGTTCAACTATTTACACGATTGCCAAAAGAGCCATCGATATTGGACGGGATATATCCACTGGATGCATATATCCCATGCGGTGATTGCATACAACTCACACAAAATCCGACTATTATATATGCATGTTCGCATTAGATTTAAGAGATCAGTATAGTTAAGAGTTGGTTAATATCTATAGGTTAGGATTTATAGGATGTATTACTAACTTAACCAAGCTTTTCTGGTGTTTGTTAAATTGGCCTTATAGTTATAACTGTGTAGTTTCTATCCAGGAAAACTGATAAGTTGAATAAATTCAATGCAGCTATTAATAAAACACTAAACAATGGTCACTATAGTATACCTGCGTGATAAACTGTCGAAACAACTAGAAATAAACCATGGTTATAGCATCACAAATATACCTATATTGCCATAGTGATATTGCAATATTCTTGCATTTTGTCAATTATATATATAAACACTACAATAAAATAAGACCTGTCAGTATATTACTACAGGCAGAAACAGAAACACTCGAAAATTACTCGCAGTGTTTGCTAAATACTAACTATGGATATATTTATTAAGGCAAAATTCATCAGAAAACCGTTGCACAATGTTGAAATCACCGTGTCGTTAACACCCACGACACTATCCGGATTATTACAAAACAAGAAAATTTCCCATACGAAAATAAATGGACATATTTCTCGTGAGAACTAATTAATCCGAGCGTAACCCACTAAATACTGTAGTGTAAGTCGCCAACGGCGTTATTTCCCATATATAGTATGCTGTATTACGACTGTATTTCCTTTCCTCAAGGGTTTTATTCCGAAAAACTGGACTGTATAAAGCACGCCTTTTTATTATTGCTTAACGGTGAAGCTTATAAGAGGTCGCGCTCAATATTTTCCCCAAACTGCCAAAGCAGTTTCTGGTCGACTTCGTCTTCGAAATTAGCAACATTGTACAGTAATCATTATTTACATGAACAAGTATACGGATGCCTATATACGGTTCAGGTAATGTCTATACCTCTATTATTTCAGTGCCTATAAATAATGCTCCCTTGTTTCAAGTCTTGTAAACGTTATTATATTGGTGAGCTCTATTAGTCATGCCTGCTTTCCACATAGTCGTAACGGTCGTAAAGATTGAGTCACGATCTTTCTCAACGGCCAGATTATAATAGCTTATACCTGTAAACCACATATAAATCATAAGTATTCTCTAGTTATAATCGCTCTGCCTATTATCAGTGTTCAACTGTTGTATTTCGGCTGTTGAGAATGATTTCACGTCTAGTAAACGTTGTTACACTCGTGAGCTCTATTAGTTGTGTCTAAGTAATGAGGGCCATGGAGAATTCAATCTGTACCAGAATGACAAACTGTATTGTACAATATTACATTGTTTATAGACATAAGAGAAACCGTTCTCCTTGATCAGTTGACATTATCAAGAGTGGACAGCTGTGTTAGTTGTGTCTAAGCTGTTCTTCCTATAGACGTCGAGCATACAAGGCCAAGGCCATGGGAAACTATTTGTGTATCAGAATGGCAAACTGTACTGTACAATATTACTATATAGAATATTCACACGTCAAATATTATGTCAAAATATTTGGAATTTGGCACCCAGTTCAGTAGAATTCTTCTAGACATACCTATAACAGTTGGAAACTACAACATAACAAGCAAAATCTACCAAATATATAAATAATTGATAAAGTCAAACGCATTCATTGTTTTCTTGATTACAATAATTACTAGGAACAACATTTCGAGTAGGTGCATTAGTCAAGGGGGCCACATAGTAAGGAATTATAATTGTTTTATAAAAGCATTTCACAATAGAACTATTTTGGGAAAATATACTTTGACAATCGCTTTGCTTAAAATATATTTTTAAAATAGCAACAAATTAAAAAAATTTTATTTCATTAAATTTAGCAATTTGGGAAATTGGCAATCGCCTATTTGCTTAATATTCTGATTCAGTACAGAGTACTGATCGGAATTTCTCAATTAGTGTAAAATGGTTCTAATATAGCAATTTACATTTGGTTTAAACTACATTGAACAACAGACTATACAAGACATTCTAGAATACGTATGTTATAATTGTATGCAAATTGTGACATTCCATAATCTGGCCAAAACGTTTTGGGGGGTTAGAGATAAAGTACGTTGTGGTGTGCACATCATATTTTCAACTTCAACTTCATGATAATCTTTGTATGTTAAGAAGTATGTTTTTGCCTATGTAAGTACGTTGTTTTGTATTTATAAAGACTCTCCTCATGCGAGAGGTTGGCAGATCTTAAACTAGCATATTAAACTAGCAGTCTAGGCAACAGTAGAACGGCAGTGGGGGTCATAGAATCTGAACGAGATTAACTTCCATAATCTATGTGTGTCTCGCTAAGGCTCTCTAAGATGCTTAGGGCATTTGCCCTGTGTCTCTGTGTTTGCTATATATCCGTAAGTATCACTGATTAGCTGCCAAGCTGTCAATCTTTCTTACTGGTTGGGGGTTCCAAATCTTTCTATGTGAAGTGTTTCCTGATTTTATATTTATGGATGCTTATCATTAACGAGGTGGCCATTATTAAAGCTGTAATGAAAAGTCTAGTATAGTTCGTACGTACGCTGCGTTGTTGTTCGCTGTTTATGATTATAGACGTCGCGCTTAAATTAATCCAATTAAAGTCACCTCGTGAGGGTGACACAGTGAGGGGGTAGCACAGTGTCTGGCAATGTGCACCTTTTACCTGTGTGAACAGGGTTTAATTCCTGCAGTATGTGTGCAGTTTTCGTATTAGATGTTTTTCCCATGAGAGGGTCAGAGAGGGCGGGGTACCTAATATCGCAGTTCACTAACAACAATACACATCACCTACTGGAAAGGTCAAATTTGAGACAGTGTGAACATTTCTGGGCGGATCTCAAAACAAAAATTGACTAAAACTGATTAACTTTGACATAAGTCCATATCTATAAACTCTGGTCCATACATACCGTCAACATGGCGGATTAATCATTTACATCTTCTTCAATCCGCTTTCCGCTTTCTCTGAACGTTTTCTGTATGGAAGGAAGCATTTCATTTTTTTTGGTAAACGTGGAACATTCTGCAACAAAAAATTCCAGAAGTTAATGTTTACCAATGCGTAAAAACAGCTACAGTGTTAAAAGTGTTGTGTGTGAAAGGAAAGTGGAAAGAGCTAGAATTATACTAATGCAAGCAATGGGTCGTCATTTATCCGTCTGAATACGAAAGTCGAGACGGGATTCCCGTCTGTTGATATTGGGAAAGTCAGAATAAATGTATATAATTTCATATATTTTAGCATACACCAGTATAGTTTAATATATACTATAGCATATTTTAAAGCGTCCTCGAATCATCGGCTGGTCAAAATGTTAACACTAAGTTCTTTTCTTTAGTATGAACAATGATGCGAAGGAAAATGAAGACAACAGCGGGCCACCGTCGCCTAGTGACCCGGCATACCATCGTACTCCGAAGTGTGCCCGATGTCGTAATCACGGAGCAGTAGCCTGGCTCAAAGGACACAAACCTTATTGCAGATGGAAGGATTGTACTTGCTCAAAATGTTTACTGGTTGCCGAGCGACAGCGAATCACAGCAGCGCGTGTGGCTTTATTACGTCAGCAGCGAAAGGACAGAGCAAGGAAGACTTCGGGTGAAATAGGGTATCAAATGGATAATCGGGAATACGAGAGACAAACGGTTCTTCAGAGACATTCGTACGGGATGTCTGTACCTTTAGCAAGAAGTGCAGAAAACAGTAAGTGCAGTTTTACTCTCAAAGTGTCTGTGATTACAGTGGGAATTTTGCATAGGTAATGTTTTGAAGGATTGGTAAGAAATGTTTGAGGAAACTGACTGAGCAAAAATTTCTAACACTAAGCAAAAATTTCTAAATCACTTTTATCTACTTTCAGATTCCCCTGAACATGAAGAACCCACATCATCAGATGACAAAAGTGAAGAGGCCATGCCTAGTCCCACGAACGACCCCGTAATTAAACAAGAAAAACCCGACCATGATGAACTCGAACACAGCTACTTAGAAAGAGTCAGAAATCGACTGTGTACGTCACCGAACGGAAAACGACCGAGGAGTGAAGATTCTGGAGTATGTGTTAGTCCGACAAGCCTCGCTAGAATGTCAGAGAACTCGTCAAACAAACGACTCCGAACCGACCCAATGACAGTCTTATATAAATCGTTCCCGACACATAATCGGAACGTTCTTGAGACAATATATCGTGGGTGTGTGGGCAATGTAGTGCAAGCTATAGAATTCATTCTTGAGAACCAGAGTACCTGCCCCCCGTTGCCAATGATAACCGCCCCCGCCGCACCTCGGAACTTTCTGGCGGACTCACGCAGGGAGAATATTTTGTCTGCATTCCGTCCGCCAGAAATCGTCACGACCGATACCGAGAGTGTTCCGAGGAGACCCGAATTACCACACACAACTTTCTACCTGACCCCAAGAAACGGAGATCGCATAGTGCCCAATATCCAACTCACATCCCGGTTTCCAACGGTCAACACCAGTCCTGTACCGTTGGCGCGGACAAGAGACACAGCAAGCCCAAGTGATGATGATGAAGAAGAAGATGAGGAGCATAAATATTGCACGAACTGTGGCAGAAAAACACAACTCACTGACAATTTCTGTGGCTCATGTGGGCACAGACTCACCCGTTCATAGGGTTCCCAATTTCTTCTCATTCATCTTTTCACATGTGTAAAGTCCTGTATAGATGAGCAAGTTTCCTTGACAAGTTTAACTTCTCGTGTGTATGCTCAAACAAGTTCCCTTGACAAGTTTAACAAGTTTTCTTGACAAGTTTAACAAGTTTCCTTGACAAGTTTCCTTGACAAGTTTAACAAGTTTCCTTGACAAGTTAATTAACTTCTCGTGTGTACGCTCAACAAGTTCCCGTGACAAGTTTAACAAGTTTGAACTTGACAAGTTTAACAAGTTGCCTTGACATGTTTAACAGTTTCCTTGACAAGTTTAACAAGTTTCCTTGACAAGTTTAACAAGTTCCCTTGACAAAGTTTTGTTGCTTGCATGCAAGGAATGTTGTTAAACATTTACTGTATCTCATGTCAGGACCGTCTTTTGTTTGCCAAAACTTTAGAAGTATTTCTTGAACAATTGTCAAGTTTTCCTTGGCGGTTGTACACATGAACAAATTTTCCTAGCTTTGGAACAACGCTCCTTGCCCAGGAAAATTGTCAATCTTTGCCGTGCACACGAGCAAATAAAACTTGTCAAATAAAACTTGCTTGTCTGTATTTTGCTTGCTAAAAGAGTAGTGCCAGCAAGTTTAGTAATTGCAATGTTCCATTGTGGCTTGTACTGGTGTTGCTTTGATAACAGTTTAAATAACACATGTCAGAAGGTGAATGGAATCAAATTGGTCCATAAAGTGAATGTTTCTTTGTATGAGGGAGGGTGGTATATGTAGGTTTCTTCAAACTGATACATTTATATGGTAAACATTTCACATTTGTCATAGTAACATATAGTATTCTCAATTTTCCATCAACTTACGCGCCATGACAAACTTTATTGCAAGGTATACTTTATTGAGGACAATTCTGTAGTGATTTTGGTGAAGAAAACATCATTTTCAGCCACCTAATTTGGAGTAAATTGTGGAAAATTGCAAATACTATAGCCATTGAAACCCATATTCCAGAAAACATATTAGATTAATTATTTATTATAAGTACTGTTAATATTTTATATAATCAGTGAACAAAAATTGTATGGGCTGAATGAGATGGCCTCTGACCTCTATATAACTGGACTGTAAAATAATTAGTTTAGTTTGACTTGACCAAAGATAAATAGGCAAATATATATTTTTATTGTATTAGAATTTAAGATATTTTAACAAAGATGGGTGGTTTATTTAGATTTGAAATATAATTTCATAATTATATTAACTTTTGTTGTGCACGATTGTTGTAACATTATTTTTGAAATAAATTTATAACACATATTACACTTTTTATTTAATTAATTATTCCACAAAACATCCACACTCCCCCCACAGAGAAAATTGGAAGTTAGCCTCCCCCTCACCCTTCAAACACCTGTACAATTTACTGCTATTGAAGTGGGTTTAACCCATTGAGGGCCAGCACTCTTCCCTTCTGGCATTAGACAGAGTAAAATAACAATAGACAACTTGCATGTTAGACTAATTTTTTATTTAGGCAATAAAAAGAAAATTCCCATAAAGAACTTATCAAAATCAGTAAAATTGCAAAATTTGGTTACGAAATGTTGTAAAATACAGAAAATATAGCCTCTCCCCTCAGACAGCATAAAGTAAACCCAATTGACCTTTCCAGAAAGTATGCCACCTTGGTTTCCGATCTCTCACTTTCATTAAACTAATGTCACATTTGTGAAAAGAATGCTCTATAGACAAAATGATATACTTTCCAGAAGGGTGTATTACGTAGCACGAGTAGTTGCGTTATACCAAAAACATCTTATACAACATGGACAATATATGGCTTGTAATTAAAACATTTGTTGCAATAACTAAATTATTTAAACTCAATTTTAACTGAAAATATATGTGAATTTCAAAGTATTCCAACACAAACAAAAATCAACACATGTCCTTAGTTCTGCTTAAATATCATTTCTTCATGACTTGAATAACATCTTCATCATTCATCACATGATTGATGCCAACACGCTGAGGACTGTATTTTGTACTCGTGCCCCAAACTAACGCATACTTGAATGCATCCACAATACTTCTATGGATTGTATGACATACATGTTCGACCGTTGCTCCTTGGCGAAGGATGAGAGAGTCTTCAAAATCAGGTGGACATCCCTTCTTTTTCGTGTAGATTCGAAGCAGGGCTAGAGATTCCCAGATCTTTTCGAGCAAGTAATCCAGATTTAATTCCAAACCACAGCTGGTGACGACAGAATGAGGAAGGTGGGCAATACGATCAACTTCTTCTAATGAAACACAATCTATTTTATTATACACAAACAAGCAAGGTAGGTATACACGGTTGCCGGTAACAACATCGATAAACTCGTCGACACCACAATCTTCACGGAAAACCACCTCTGCGTTGAAAATTTTGTATTCGTGAAGAATCGTCTGGACGACTTTCTCGTTGATACGTGTTAGGGTACATGTTGCATTAAATGCTATTCCCCCACCTTTCTTCTGCTTGAAATAAATGTTCGGCCTATCACAGTTTAGTCGAATACCGCAGGTCTCGAGTTCTTTTTCTAACAAGACTTTCTGAATGTCACCTTTCGTCGCATCTAACATCATAATTATCATATCTGCCGTCCGTGCCACTGCGATAACTTGTCGACCCCGACCTTTACCCTGGGCCGCACCTTCGATAATACCAGGAAGATCTAGCAATTGAATATTGGCACCGTTGTAATCAATAACGCCTGGGATGCATGTTAACGTCGTAAACTCGTAGGACGCAGATTCACTTTCTGTCGCCGTAACTTTGTTGAGAAGGGTGGACTTGCCAACCGATGGAAAACCAATGAGCGCTACCCTTGCATCACCTGATTTCATAACATCAAAACCTTCGCCTGTTTTGGAAGATTTTGAGGTTGGCTCCAAAAGTTGTGCTCTGTATTTTGCCAATTTTGCCTTTAGAGTACCCAAATGATACTCTGTGGCTTTATTCTTTTGTGTGCGAGCAATTTCGCGCTCTATTTCGGCTATCTTTTCCAAAATTCCCATTTTACAGCCGAGAATAAAGCAGAAATATTATAAAACGTGTGCTTCTTTTATGAACAAACGAGACGTTTTGTCCGCGACAGGAATGGCGCTTTTGAAACGTCGCAAATATTTACGCAACTACCGGCAAATTTTAATTATTTATGCAAACGTACACAGCAGAAAAAGCATTCTTATAATGTAGAAATTTTGTCTAGCGTATTAAAAGTTTATTAAAAAGAGGTATTAAACATTATTACTTACTTTTTGTTGTTAAAAACTGTTTTAAAGTTGAGAAATTTGCAAACCATGTGGCCATTTTCAATCAAGACGCTAAAAATTACCAGACATCTTTATCACGAACTTGTCGATGTCGACATTTTCTGCTCACTGAGCTATTTATAAAACTGAAATATCTCATATAATTCTCAGTTTTATTTTCTGAAAATACATACAGTATCTGTTAGATCTCTTGTAAATATCTATGTTAGTAGTCTTAATTTCTTGAATATTTACTTTCACTTTATTACACAACATTTTGAATTTATGATATACTAACAAGGATTCTACAAGCACAAATTCCATAAAAACCCATCGACTACAATGTGCAAAATCATATCCAGTTTTACCAATTTCTATCTTATATTCCATCAAATTATATCAAAATAATATTTTCATGGGTTTATTTCCTGACATTTTGTTTCAAATTTATTTTGTTTCTTCGTGAAATATTCTGGGTGCGCTATGCCATGGTTGACGCGTGCCGTTACTTAGCAACGCGATATAATCAAGATGGCGGCAGAAATAGTTTAAGGTTTCAAAATCATTTTCGATAGTTTTACTGCGCAAATATGTCTGATGAGAGCGAGAAAAAACCTTCAAGAGCTCCAGAAAGTGTTAAAGTATTAGTTACAAAATGTACTAACTTGGTAAGATTCAGGACATATATAAAAATCTACTAGGTCTGTTGTACTTGTACAGTGTTTACTTTGTTGTACCGTGATTTTGTCTTGTTTTTGCGCGTATTTTTTGTATAAGAACATGCAGTAATACAGCTACCACTTGTGTAATAATTCACTTAAATTATTTATATACCTATTTTATTTGTCTTGCCGTTGTTTACATTTTGTTGGCAGAAAAATCCCGATTATACAAAACTATTATCACACAGGCTGCCTGGCAAGGGCGAATTTTCATTTATTTAAAAGGAGGGGTAGAAAAATTGCTGGTGGGGTGCAAGCGCCACCACTCAGTGAGCTTCAGCATGGGTTAGGCGTTTGGGTTAAAGCCTTTCACACAAAATAGGAGGGTGAAAGAAATTTTGGTGGGGTTGCACACTTTATTAGAGGGGTTAGAGAACTTGTGGGGGGGCCCACAGTAAATCCGCCCATGCACACAGGAATCTGTATGTCAATTCTATGTTGTTAATTCTTCCCACATTTTGCACTCTAATTTGTTCCGGAAAAATTTTTTCGGCACTGGTCGGGCACAATCCGAAAAAGTTGGGCAAATTTCTTTCCGCCCCCTAATTTTTTCCTTCCGGTACGCCCATGATCCCGCTTACCGGACTGTCTCACTAAGCGGGCCAGCCCGGCTTCCATATAAACAGGCCCTTAATTAGCTTATATATAAACAAAAGCTTTACTGAATGTGTAATTGTATTTTAATAAAATTTGGGGTCTTAGTTTTCAAGTTTTGTGGGTCTTAGGGGTCTTATCTTTAGAGGTCTTAGTTTTCAAGACACCCCTTAAATGGAGCCTAATGCCTGGATCAATTGAGGATGAGAGGTGGCAGTCATGTATTCTTACAGGGACATTTCAAGCTCTAGATTAACAAATGAGTGTTCCAACTATGTTTTAACTTACATAGAATACATGATAGTGTTGGGAAAGCATTAAGAACAGCTAACCATGATTGCAGGACTATAAATTACTCTCATCCTCATTCGATTCAGGCTTAAGAGTCTGGCATCTCCTGCCCGGAGACCTATTTCTATATACACCTTATCTTTGCATGGTTACAAACACAGAGGGGAACAAAAAGTGAAGCGTTGACGTCGCTCGTGAGAGTCGAGTATGGTCAAACATTGTTGGGAGAGTCCAGTAAGATTGAAACAACCAAAGATACAAAAATTGCTGACTACAACTTTACCACATCATTTGAATGTTCGTTTGATGAACCATACTCGTTTGATGGCATTTGTCAAAAACCTGTAGTAGGTATGGCATATTATCTCTAAATAATCATTCATGTCAGGTTTTTAACCAATTAAGTTATGTGGAATGACCCTAGCATGCCCTATTTTGTTATTTTACTCTGTCTAGTTCCCAGGGGGCGAAACTTGGGGGGGGGGGGGGC